TCTCACGTCATAAACCAACATACAGTATACACAATATAAAGCGTATATGTACAATATAACTAAATTATTAACCACAACAGATTGAGAGTCAGGATATTTTCTACATCATTTACTTATCCTCAGTGAATTAAACCACATCCACAAAAAGTATGATTAGATTTAGCATCCAATTATTAGGTGTCGATTACTTTTTTTGTTGGCCCCAAATCACCTCATAATTTTGCTGACAATCTGCAGAATTAAAGTATTGATAAGATATTTCCTGGATTCAGGACAAAAACAGCACATTCACCAGTAACAGCATGGTGACTACAGAGGTTCTTAGACACTTTCCTGTATTATCTCCATAGCAGCAAATAGTTTATTTTTTCTAGGACATCCATTATTTCGACTCTCAAATGCTCCCTAAAACATTTGCAAAGTTCACAAGCATTAAAGTCTGTTTAAGACAATCAAAACTGCACTTCCTTGTAAGCAGTAAGTGTAGTAGAGATTACCAAAAACATTTTTGTAACAACATTTTTTCCAGAAACACACTGCATGCTAAGTGCATATGTTACCGTTATTTCATTCATTATTCCTTCCCTGGTGTGCTAGGTTTTACCACTCTAAATGAAATTCTTTCATGAAAATAGATAAATATATAAACATGGTCCTTTACAGAAATCCCTCAATAAGAATGTGTTTATGCTTTAAAACTGTTTATTTATAATTGCACTTCAAAATATTGGAGCACGTTTTAAACTTATCTTGCACTGCAGGAGTTTTGACCTAAGCTTATATTAACCGAAAGAATGCTTCTCTTTTAACCACAACTATAGCAGTTCAGCCACAGGTAGCTTTGAGACATATGCCATTTGCCAACAAGCATTCTTGTGTGTAAGACTGAAAAGAAGTGGCATTATAATGACACATGACCTTTGAAAATGGTGACCTTTGAAAATGGTACACACATCTGGCAGTAAGGTATAAAACAGCAGTACACAAATTATACAGATTTTCAAAATGGCAATCTGTTTTAATTGTCAAGCACATGCATCATGAATAAGTACAGGTTATAATGCTCTTTACTAATCATTCCCTTGTCCCTTTCTTCTAAAAACAGCTTTCTGTTTCCATGTTTTACACAGCAAATTTGTCCTTTAACTCAGAGTATGTTCCCAGTACAATGGAACATTCAAATATTCAGGATCTAAAATGGCAATACTATTACTGCCAAATATTTGTAAACAACAGCAGTTCAATTCAGACATTTGTTGATGAATATAATTTGTGATTGCATGAAGGGAGGAATCAATGGACAGTCATTCCCAGCTGCATCAAACTAAACACAAGCAGCAATGTCTGTAGACAGGATATGACGCCTTTCATTTAACAGTATCGTTTTGCCCTCTTGTGGAGGGTTCTGTGGGATGTCAAAATGTTTCTGTGTAAATTCAGATTAAAAAAATACTGTGCCTGCATAAGATTAAAAATTGAGTATAGGAAATATCTACTTTTTAACCATAAACAGTTCTATATTATAGAAATTTGGGTTTACATAAGATATACTCTTTTTAAGATAAAAAGTACATTTTCTTACTGTATTTCTGTTTTGGTATTTCATATATTCTGCATTATGTTATTCATGAAAGATAGAATACAACCTTAAATAAGCTTCAAACACTGCACATAACACATAAGCTTTTATTTGCTTTATTATACTTGGCACTGCTACAAAAAATGCTGAAATAATTTGAGGTGTACAATTTATATATTTCTGCACAAACATGATAAAAGAGTGCTGTGCTTGCTCTGGGATATATCACTTTATACACTGGATGACCCACCCCTGCTTTATTTCCATGCCCTTTTTTTCTGTACTGGAAACTCTTCTAAGTTTTACTGAACTTTCTTGAAGGCACATGGTTCTGATCTGCAGCTGCGCTGCCCTTTTGAAGTTTTTGTTTTCTTCTAATGAAGCTGTAACCTTTCCTTTCACAAGGACATCAACCCCAGGGCCTCACCACAATGATCTGGACAGCTTTCTGAAAGACAAAAAAACAAACATCTACAACAATGAGAATCAGTCCATTTCTGACACTCAGACATCAATACTTTATTTAAACTTTAATGCAACTCAAAAGACAGAAAAGAAAACACCTTGTAAAATTAGATCTTGGGGTCAATCAAGTGCTGTGTGGTATCAGTTGATCTGGGTTTCGCTTGTGCTCTGAAAATCAGGTACACAACCCCTGGTAATGGACACATTTCTCAAATCTAACAATGGCAAGTAGAAGCTACATCTATTGTATTTAGTCATATGGACCAATGGAAACATATAGGAATATAATAAAAACAGTATAATATCAACATAAAAAATAAATACTATAGCGTTCCAGCCTAATAGTGATCTGTTAAGGCCACTCTCTCAACTTTGACCTCTTCCCCTTATTTGCAAGCCCACTTCCCTTTCTCCCTGCTCCCTCTATAAAAGGGGACCCCCTCCTTTTTCTTGCTCTCTTTTAGGTCACCTCGCAGTGCATAGCACTAGCCACTACGTCTCGCCACTCCTTTCCATGATTAGCCCACCTGTTGTAAATGAGAAGGGTAATGAAGTCTATGAGCTGCAGATACCATCTCCTACCTCTCTTTGTGCACTGCCTACTCTCTAAGAGAAGCAAAGAGGGGATTGCTGCAATGCATTGTACAGTATGATGCAAATATATTTAAAGTAATGCGGGTTTTAGACAACAACATTGAAAAACTGTACATCAGGTGCTTATATGGTAGTACTGTAGTGCAGTACATTGCACTGTATCACAGTTAGAAGAGTCAGAGAACCAACTCTAAAGGTAATGCAGGTGAAAAAGGAGTAAGCAGAATAATCCTTTCATATAATAATAATAATAATAATAATAAAATAATAATAATAGTAAACTTTATTTTATATAGCGCCTTTAAAGGTGGCTTCTCAAAGCGCTTTACAGAATGAGAACAAGAATAAAAAAGAATACACAAGATAAAACACAATTACAATATAGAGAGGAGACTGTGGATGGTGGTACTAGGAAAAGCAGAGGGGTGAAGAATGGAACCAGTTAAGTAAAGGCTCTTCTAAAGAAGAAGGTTTTTTGTCAGGATTTGAATGAGTTTAGAGAAGATGACTCTTGGGGGCATAACAGGAGAAGTGGCTGTCACCCATAGAATGTAGACAGGCTTGGGGGACAGTAAGGAGACCAGAATTAGAAGAGCAAAGGTTGCGAGGTGGGGAAGTAATATTGTGGGAAAAACAGAGCAAAGTCAGACACACACAGGCCAACCACAAGATTTAAAGGGGAACTTCAGTGCTATTTTTATGTTTGGCTTAAAAAGAATAAGCATTGATAAGGCCATTTCAAACCACAGTAAAAGTAAAATGTAAATCTGTGAAACCTCCAATTTACATAACAAAATAGACAAAATTTCCTGGTATATGTAGCGCCATATCCTGCAATTTAGAATGAGGCAACAAAACTTCTGGTGACGTGAAGCAGCCCTATTACATTGTAAACAAGCAGGCTTGTATATACACATCTCTTTTAATCCAATAGAAATATTGCTTTTGACTTTGAGATGGCTTTTCTAACAAATACTACTCACTTCTTAACTCTGCATACAGATCACTCTGTGGTGAAATGTCAGCTGCACAACCTGCACTTTAATGTACTTCTTTCATACATCACATTACATAAGTCAGTACGGTGACTAGTGAACAGGAAGGGCTCACATCGGAATTAATGGGAAATCTGTTTTGCCATCAATCAACACACAATACCTCATAAAGTGAAAACACATTTTTAGGAATTTTTGCAAATTTATAAAAAAAAAATTGAAATCTTCCATTTGCATAAGTACTCAAACCCTTTATTCAGTACTTTGTAGGATGACCTCTAGGAGCAATTACAGCTGCGAGTCTTCTTGTGTATGCTTCTACCGGCTTTGCACACCTTGATTTGGGCAGTTTTTCCCCCATTCTTCCTTGCAGATCCTATCAAACTGTCAGATTGCTTCACCATAGTGATGGAGTGCTTCAGAGATGGCTGTCCTTCCAGCAGGTTCTCCCATCTTTACACAGGCTCTGAAGCTCTGTTAGAGTGGCCATTGGGTTCTTGGTCACCTCCCTGTCCAAGGCCCTTCTTGCCCAAATACCCAATTGGACCCGACAGCCAGCTCTAGGAAGAATGTTGGTGGTTCCAAACGTCTTCGATTTGATAATGATAGAGGCCACTGTGCTCCTGGGGACCTTCAGTGAATTGCCAATTTTTTATATCCTTTTCCAGATCTACACATTGACACAATCCTATCTCAGTCTACAGAGAGTTCCTTGGGCTTCATGGCTAGGCTTTTACTCTGCCATGCACTGTGAACTGTGGGACCTTATAAAGACAGGTGTGTGCCTTTCTAAATAATGTCCAATCAAGTGAATTTGCCACAGGTGGACTACAATCAAGTTCTAGAGACATCTCAAAGATGATCAAATGAAATAGGATGCATCTGAGCTCAATTTGTAGTGTCATAGTAAAGGGTCTGAATACTTTTATAAATTAGAGATTTCAGTTTTTTATTTTTAATACATTTGCAAAAATTCCTAAAAAGATGTTTTCACTTTGTTATTATGGGGTATTGTGTGTCGATGGATGGTGAAAAAGAATCAATTCAGTCTACAACAAATAAGTATACATCAAAGTGTGGAAAAAGTGGAGGGGTCTTAATACTTTCTGAAGGCACTGTAGTTGACACACACACCTGGTGTACTATAGTGAAAACTTGCATGCATCAATAGGTTATTACACTGAACAGTACTTGTTTATAAATGACATTTTCAGAATTTCTTGAAGGCTGATTCAGACTTTGGAGTGGGTTGCCAACACTTATGCCTCAGCAGATAACTACCAGTGTCATTAGAAGTAATAAGGATCCACCCATTCCATATTTCCTGAAGTTCAGCGCCATATTTTACTGTGATTAACAAATAATACTCGGCTACTACATTTCCCATCATTCACAGTTTCCCAGAGGTGACTTTACAGTACTGTGAATTTTGTCATCTCGCACATTTAGGTAAGACAAAGATTTTTTCATAGAATAATAATATTATTTCATTGCATTTAGAAATTCTAAGTGCTATGTTGTTGTGTTAATATCTAAGAAAGCCCTGTATATAAATAAATCGATTATTTATCCAGATAATGCAACCGAGATTACAGATCTTCAGGTTTTCTTAAATAGCCTTACGTATTTATGGACTGTGATCTATAGATTTTTTTACATAATGAAAGTACATACTCTTTGGGTATATTGATCGTGTTTAGGTACAGTACCTTCAGAAACTGGCTCTGTTTCTTGTATTAACCTTTACAAATTCTGATATATAATCCACTGCAGGAAGTCATGTCTCATGACATCATAAAATTTGTAAACTTTGTTCTAAAAAAATAGTATGAGCTCGGAAATAATTTTAAAATAGAATGGAAATCTTTTTGGCGCTGAAGAATAAATGTTTAAATGTAAAAAACGGGTTCATGATTTAGATATGTCGCAAGATTTACAGACTTTTAAATTGTTCAGACTATTACTAGTCATTCTGGATCTTGTTTAAAGCCATTACGGCAGTTGTCCCTCTGTAAAAAAACGTTTACTTCCATGGAAAAAGAGATAAAAAAGTTTTACTTTAAGTACTATAAGTGGCTGCTCAGCAAATTTTACATAGCGTATTCGTATCTTAAAATGTAAAAGATCCATTGCCCAAGTACAGGTCTTTAAATGATTGCACGTCATCAAGAAGCGACTACTTTTACATGTAAACTGGACTTTGAAAGTGTTGTGAGTTTTCAGCAAGAGACATCACGAAATGAAACGCATTGAAAATATAGACAAACTTCAGTGGTGTAAATGAAGCAGATATTGAAATAATTTTCACAATCGTATATTCTTCTTAGATCATATTGTTAGGAGTACCGTACAAATGTATTATTATATATTCTAATTATTATTGTTGTTGTTAACATTGTAGCTATGATCTTTTAAAGAATGTTGTTTTAAAGAATGTTATTGGATTGTACTTCTTAAATTAGTCATGCATTTTAATATTTATTATATCCACAATCTACAGTGTGTTCTTGTGGAACACTGATGTACAATGTTATCAGATGCATATGATTCACTTTACATTGGCAGATCAATAGACTGAACAACACAATGGCTGGTAATCACGCGAGCTCAAAGGAGGAAATGGTTGCACAGTTTCTTGATTCTGCTGCCAGAGGAGATGTTGCCAGAGTTTCTGCGATGATTTCACATTCAAGCTCCCTGTTAAACGAGAGTGGGGATAATGGCTGGACTGCGTTAATGCTTGCTGCTCGGAATGGACATTTTGAGGTGGCGAAAACTCTCCTTGAAAAAGGGTAAATTAGCCTAATCACAGACATTTCGTATTAATTTGATTTGCTCAGTCTCTCTAACATAAAAAGTTTCATTTTAAATTCATTAAAGTCATTTTTTTAAACGTATTGTAATGTTGTGTTATTTACATTAATGCAGTCCCAAAACATTACATGGAGGTGAATGTTATTTATTTTGTTGTTGTCAAACACAGGACTACTTTATTACAGTAGTTATAATTACACAGCGCAATAAATAAAACCAGGTACAGACATGTTTATATACTGTATATGCATGTATAGAGACAGTATTTACTTATTTTGAAAATAACGGGGGAAAAGAACTTTGTATGTTCTACCACAATATATTTTTGGATGTATGACAATAATTAATGTGTGATGTTATTTTTCCTGTCAAATTTAATATGCTGAATATTCTATGATTTTAACATAGATTTCCAGCAGATTTAACCAAATCACTTTTAATGTGATTTTTTAAGAACATTATTTTGAAAATAATTCATCTGAAACCCATCTGAAACCCCGTGCCAGCTAAAGTCCATGTGACTTTGGATCATACTCAAGTGAAAATAAAATGCTGCTTTTAAGAACTCATATGCTATGTACAAGACTAAAGTATCAGTCAAGGTGTTTAAGTGTTGAAACTTTTTTTCTTCCTATAGGTGCGACAAATCTTTAATAAATAAAGCTGGTCAAACCTCACTCGATATTGCCATATTTTGGGGACATAAGCATATCGTTCAATTACTGGATAACGCTAAAAGTGGCGGTAAACATTGGTTTCTTTCCAGTATCACTGATGAGCATGAAAACTATTTCGGCAGAGCATTGCTGAACAGACTAAGTGAGAAGAGGACAGACAGCAAGTGGCTAAAGTCCAAGCAGTGCTGCCCGAGCACTGTGTATATCCTCTTCTCAAATTTAAATCCACTAGTTACTTCAAGAGAAGATGAAGCGGTTTCCAACAAGCCAGCTATTAGACTTTGTAGGCTGGGGCTGGAGTCTGTAAAAGGACTACTCTCTCTACCAGGCACAACTTTGATTTTCCTTGGCGTTGAGAAGCAAAAACAAATTACTTCCCCGTCTACTCTAAAAGATGGTGATGACCCTGTTGCCTGGTTTGCCCTCAGCGTAGATGACGTTCCCATCAAACAAATCAGACAGCAGCACGTAAACTCTTACTATCTTCAACCACTTATGCCTGGACTTTTAAAGCTAAATGAGGAGGAAGCTGGTGAGTAAAGTACCGGTCATAACAGGAGCAAATATGTCCAATATTTTTATTAAGACTTGGTTTCTATGCTTTTCTCACATTTTCTTCAGAATTTGGAAGATTTTGTGCATTGTAGGAAAATGTAGCCATTTCTTAGTTGTCTGGTCAGACTACCTTCATTTATGGGATAATTATTTCATCTGTAAAAGTGATATTATTTTCCGTAACAGATGGATGTGTTGTTATCACGTTTGCTATGATGAAAAATAATTATTTATTTATATCTACATCTTACAAAGATGTTACAAAGATATTGCACACTATACTGAAAACAATCGTTTTTACAGTGTGTTAGTACAGTATGTACTAACAGTATGAGGTAATTAAGGAGGAGACAAGGCTATTGGCGTTCTGTTCAGAGTAAAGACCAACTGTTCTTTCTGTGTTGTGTTCAGAGGAAAGGAGCAGAGAGGCAGAGAGCTATGTAAAGCAAAGAGAGAAAGACCACTTTTTTGTGTGGTAGGAGGGAGAATATGCACTGTTTATATTGGTTAGTGAGGGAACAGGCTGTATTGCATTGCACAGATGGAGAAAAAGCAAAGGTTCTTAATTTGTTGGAAATGGGGGTGGGTGATATATTTTGTTATTCTATTAAGTTTATAGATGATACCTTTGCTATTATTGTTTTTTAAGCTTTGACAATACAGTTGGACAGCTGTAACATCATTATACAGTAGCCTGTTTGATCTGAACGGACAGTTCAGATAATTCAGTCAATTCACTAGATTAACATACAGTAGGCAGCTGTCTCTTTGAGAATTGAGAGTGTACAAAAAGTCTGATACTGAAATATCAATGTGGAATGGTAAAAATATAATGTACTTTGTTCCCAGGGGTTGTTGCACAAGCTAGATCAGTTCTTGCTTGGCACGGCCGCTATAGCTTTTGTCCAACGTGTGGAAGTAAAACAAGGGAAGACGAAGGTGGCTACAAAAGGACCTGCCTGAACGAGGACTGCGAAAGTCTCCGAGGCATCCACAATACCTCTTACCCTCGAGTTGGTGAGAGCTGCTTTACAAGCAGTAAAACCTGGTTTCTAGTTATCATGTTTTCACTGATCATCCCACAAGCATCAATCTCGTATTCTTTTTTCAGTAATGAGGTCCTTGCAGGCCTGAAATAAAAACATGGCCTTCTTTGGTACTATCAGTGTCTTTTGGTACTATCAGTGTTTGTCTATTACTTGATGTAAAAAAAGATACTTGTGTTTCACATTCCTTAACAGTGGTTAGCATTGCAGTGCAGGGGGTTCAGTTCTGGACCTAGAGTGTTGTCTGCATGGAGGTTCTACAGTATATTCTCCCTTTGTTTGCATGTGTTTACTGTACTTCAGGTGCTCCAGTTTCTTCTCAGAGTCCATGATTGGCTCCCGCAAAAATTGGCCCTGGTGTGAGTGTGGTGTCTGTGTTTGTGTGTGCCCTGTGATGGACAGGCATCCGGTCCAGGGTGTATTCTCCCTTGTTCCTGTTGCTTGCAAGCTCCACTGTGACCCTGTATTGGATAAAGTGGTTAGAAAATGGATGGAATTTCCTTGTGGTCTGTTTGTGCACAAATTGGATCACTTTCATTTACTTTTTCTTTGATTTTAGATCCCGTTGTTATCATGTTGGTTGTTCATCCAGATGAAAATCAGTGCCTTTTGGGCAGAAAAAGAGTATTTCTGCCTGGAATGTTCTCATGTCTTGCAGGATTCATTGAGCCAGGTATTTCTTACTCTTTAGCAATTAATTGCAAATTTACTTGCACATGGGCTACTCTTTCGTTTTGTTGTCTGTGTTGTCAAGTCTTCGGAGTAACCAAAGAGTGAGATGTATAGCAGGTTTGTTTGAAAATCACCACAGAAGTATTCACAAATAATGCTGTTTTTTTTTTTCCTTTTAACAGGGGAGACTATTGAGGATGCAGTAAGAAGAGAGGTAGAGGAGGAGAGTGGAGTCAAAGTTGGTCCAGTGCGTTATGTTTCTTGTCAGCCTTGGCCAATGCCCTCCTCTCTAATGATTGGATGCCTGGCTTCTGCAATATCAACAGAAATTAAAGTTGACCAAAATGAAATAGAGGAGGCTCGCTGGTTTACACGACAACAGGTAAGAAACAAGAATTCTTTAATGCTTGAAATGTTTTTACACACACATGTAACACACACAGGTAGCTGAATGACTTTATTTCCAATTTTATTTCACTGATATTTCATGAAGTGGAGTGGCAGCCTGTAATGTGTTTATGTGCTGTACTATATAAACAAGCAATGTCAACGTAAGCAATGAAGAGACTTAAGGAAGCATTTTTATTTTTAATCCAGGCTTTTTTTTCTTCTAAATTTAATAATGTAATGTGCTCTCATTTTGACATTACCTTTAAAGTACATGGCATTTCTAGTTAATTTGAGATCAGCTAGTTAAGAGCTTTCCCCAAGTTGGAAGTCAGATTATTTCCTAGGTGCTTTCAATGTCTATTGCACATTTCTTTAAAACGACCAGAATATGGTTATAGTGTTATTCTTTTTTCCAGGTTGTAGACGTTCTTCTGAAAGGTAACCAGCCATCTTTCTCTATGCCACCTAGACAAGCCATTGCACATCAGCTGATAAGGCACTGGATTGGTGTGAATGCTAACCTCTGACCTTCACAAAGGTCACAATGCTTAGTTTTAGATACGAATGACTCTAATTGTGCTCCTGGTTGTAGGCTGTGAATGTCACAGTACTTCTGTGTCAGGACAAAAAAACAGAAGTAGAAATGTAGTTGTTTAAAAAAAGCTTCTTAAGCTCATAGCAAAAGTCTGGGTGAACTGATGTATACACTGTAAAATGAAAGACTTAAAAATTTAAGTTTAGTTCATTAAGGTTCCAAATATTTTATGTTTAATGTTAATTTCTTCTAAACGTCAAAGCACTGCTTAATTAATGTGCTATAGAAATTACAGAAATGTTTAAAAATTGTACAGTTCCAGAATATGGATAATGGCAAATTAAACAAATTGTAAATAAATGAAAGTCTTCTGTGTCCTGCTTTGAAATGTTGATTGACTTCATTATGTTTTAATTGTATTAAATTTTAACTGTTTTAAGTTCTCATTAAGAGTATGGTGTGATAAATTATAAATGGGAAAATCTTTATGTCAGTAATTTTTTTTTTTTACTGAAATGAACAGATGGTTCATTAACAGCTTTAAAACTGGTCGATTTTTAGTACAAAATGTAGCTTGTGCCCAGTGAGTTCTGTTTGAAAGACATTGTGCATTGTACATTACATTATATTTTAACTTTGCATTTCCTTTCTGCTATACTATCCGCAAAGTGGACAAAATGTTATTACATTTACAGCAAGCAGAGCACAGCAACCTCTTGTTGTTGTTAAATTAGGATTGCCTCACTTGACTATAGGATTTAATGTCACATGAGAGACAGGTGGCTCTGTGGCTAAGGATCTGCGCCTGTGGCTGGAAGGTTGCCAGTTCAAATCCCGCAGCCAGCAGAGGAATCCTACTCTGTTGGGCCCCTGAGCAAGGCTCTAACCCCAACTGCTCCAGGGGCGCCGTACAATGGCTGACCCTGCGCTCTGACCCCAGCCTCTCCCTGTCTGTGTGTCTCATGGAGAGCAAGCTGGGGTATGCGAAAAGACAAATGCGAGAAATTGTATGGGGTTAATAAAGTGATGTTAAAGAACCTGGTGTAATATACTGTGCAGGAGTGTTATGAGAGACTAAATCGTTTTTCAGGTTTGAGATTTTATGTATAAGTAATGTTTAATTTAATTATAAACCAACCATATTATGATGCATAAGAGGAAAGCTGATGTCTTGTCAATAATCTTAAACACAAGGTCTCAACATCTTGGGAGCACAAAGCTGTTTACAGTCTTCCACTGGTGAGAAGACATTTGTTCACTTAAATAATCCAAACTTCAAACTAATCCAAACTAAAATGAGAGGTAGGTATGCCAGCAGGTACTGTACTGTACGTATGCCAGCCAGGTGATTTAGGTTGAACAGATTTGTCTTGCCTCAGCTGCTGAGGTTTGTCATATGTAAAGAGTCTCTTCTCAGTCGGGTGTTGTGATTAAGTCTGATACACCTTCCAAAGCAGATACAGCGAGGTAAATGTAAATTAAGAAAAAATATTTTTTAAAGTCGTTGTAAGAACATACTCAAAGAAGGATAACTCCTTCAAACTGATTTATATTTGAATCCTAACTTGGAAATCTTAGTGTGTAGTAAAGATGATTAATGCAAATAGCTCCAATCCCGTGGGACTTACTATGAGCTTACTGGGACTTGTTCACATACTTGTTCACATATACCTTTCATCAGCATTTGTAAATGCAACTTCTGAAAAGATGTACCCTGATGGGCAGCAGTCTCTTTGAAAACAGTTTTTATATTCTATGTTTTGAAAAACAATACATTCTTGAAAAGGACAAAATAATTGAATACCTTGTGGTCAACAAATTATGCGTTCATGAATTTAATGGGTTTTAATCTTATCCATATCTATTGGGAAGGTAAAGAATATTCAATGTTTTTGTCTATAGTTTCTTTACATTTAATGGCCACAGTGCATCTAGATATACTGTATACCCCTTTTTTACTTTAAGACAGAGCAACATGGTTCTTCTTATGTATACTGTAACTATCTTGGTTTGTTAACGGTAGGTAGAGCATCACCCATAGTTCATGGGATTATGCCTAATAATCAGCTTCAAGGCTTTAGAACAAAAATAGCATCACTAAGAAGTGGAGCAGACCTAGAGAGACAAACAATACTGATTCTCCTTTGTAACAGATACTTCACGACTTATTTTCAACTTCGTGGTCCTTTTGTAGTTAACAAGCAGTGTCTGGGAGCGTTGTTGATGGTAAGATTGCAATTTCTTCAGTGTACTTTCTATTAGCATTATTTCTGTGCACTGATAATATAAAGGCTTGTAGCTACAGTACATTTACATCTAGCACAGAAGAATGTTATGCTTGTGTACAATATATAGTCAGCTTTACAATTAACATATAAAAGCCTAATTTTCTCGAGTTGCTTTGTGTTTTTATACTACAACTAAAATACATATTATCAACTATTGTGTTCACATACACCAAAAACATAAAAAATAATATTTTCCTATTAGTATTTTGTAGTATTTGCGGTTGACTGCTGTCATATAGACTATAGACTTTTTTCTTCAGTGCTATTTGCTATATGGAGCTTGTTTGTTATTAACAGTCACAGGGCCTGCTGGAATAGTCAGGGTTCCTGAACAGTTTATTTAAATATGCTGGGTTTACTGAAAGCCAGAAACAATGACAATTAGCTGTTTTTTAAATAGTTTGTACAGGTGGTAATAGAATCCTAGAGATTTTTGAAATGTGATAGGAGATGCTGATTTAAATATCATGAATCTTTTTAGTCAAATTGTCACCTTTATACTGCATGTGATAAATATTTTCTTTACAGGTTATTTTAAAATAACAACATACACTAGTTTTTACTTTTTTAAATAGTGTTTTAAATGTTTGCAAAGATAACAGATAACACTTAAATATATTGTAATTGTACATTAAAGTCTGTGAAAAATAATTTCAAGAATCAAAATTAGTATAAACAACATTTTTGTTAACAAATATAGAGGAATCTCTATAAATAATTAAATACTGAGGAAATGTTTTAGTTCCTTGGTATAAGATCCAGAATTATTCAGTAAGTGGGAAAATTGTTGTAGAGACAGATTGCAGACACAATTAACAAGTAAAAAAACATGGAGTTACCTCTAAGGAAACCTTAAGGAAGCCCTTAATGTTCTCCATGACTCGTGAAAGATGCATTTCACACTTTTTTCCAATATGTCTGTTTTATGGTTATACTTTTGAAATTGAAGAAATCTTCTGAAGTCATATATTTATATTTATTATTTTGAATAATAAATAATAAATATTTTATGATTTTCTAAGACAAGGACATTAATTCATTTTGAGATAAAAAAATGCTAGTTGGAAAAGTCTTTGATGGTTTCAAATGCAGGAAAGAACTGCAGCAGTAGGGTTTTCGCTAAGTAGATCTTAATAGCAAATAATTCACCAAACAGTTTTTTTCAAAAGGAGAAGTACTGTACAGTATGTGTTTTTCATGTGTTTTGCATGTAAAACAGTGTGGGTGTAAAAAAACATCTATCTGTACATCTGAAGCAAGTATGACTGTTGATGAAAGCTGCCATGTTTCAATTCAATTAGTACAACAGTTCTTAAGAAGAAGATTTTGAAAGATTTTTTGTACAAATGTGCAGGTCAGGCCACTGTCTTAGTTGATGCTGAACAACAGTGTTTGTCACAGATTAGTTGCTTATCTTTTTCCTGGATACTGGCCATGTTTGAAGTTGCACAGCTGTCTAGTCTTCAGTAAGGTCCGTAACTCTGGGGAAGAAAAAGAGAAATACTTATAGTTACAATATGGTGTGCTATGCTGGGAAGCCTAGTAGTAGACTAGTAGTGGATTCTGATTGTTTATAGTATATTTAAGACTATTTTATGGGTTTAAGCTTGATACTGTACATCATTCAAAGGAAAATTAAGTACATGTTCTATTTTGAATCAGGTGACCATTTTAGAAATTATTCTAAATCTACGAAAATCTACATGTGAATCCATGTACTGTAGGTGTGCTAAATACTATTGTTTCTACCTTAAGGGAGACAACCCTCAGCATGAAGAAAGCAGCTTCATAGCAGGAAAAGAGGAAGGCAGTTTTCTATCTTCTTCAGTATTTCTCTAAAGACTTTAAACCTTCTATTTAGTTTCATGAGCAGTGACGTGAACTGCAGATTTAATTTATATACAGTACACATATATTTTCATTTATTTTATGTCATCTTAGCTAATAAAAATAGAAATATAAATGACTGCTCATCATTCCGGAAATTTAATTTGAAAGGTTACATCTTTTAAAAATAGCACTTCTCCATCACTGACATTTTAGAAAAAAAAAATGTTTAAGGGGTGAAGGCATCTTTGGCTGACATTTTGACTGTATTTGAGTCTACACAACCCAAGGGTATTTGATTTTTCTTAAAGGTTTTATTCCAAAATGACTTTGGCAAAATAAATGCTAAATTATGCTTGGCGTTATTTAGGTAATGCGCTAATTACAAATCAAAACAGATCAAGTGCATCCTACTGTGTCTTTTTACAGATAAAAAACTTTAAAAAAGTTTTTTTTTTTGCTTTTGCTTTCCACCAAAATATAGAGCCAATAATCACTGTGATAATCTTACAGGGCTTTATGTTAATAGCATAAAAAATTCAGTTATTACACTCAATTTAATATGGATATATGAAATCAATTGATTTTTTTTCAATAATAGTACCAGGTAAACCAGGACAGATGTATACATGCATAATAAATATCTCCACTCCAGGTGCCAAACCTGCAATAAGACCTGTTTCCCATAATCTGTTGTAGAAATATTTCTAATGGCTATGCACTTAATGCATTATTATCGTCTATCGTTTCCAGTGTGCCAAGGGTACACAATCTATTGAGATCTTACAAAACACTGAACCATGTCAAAGTGAGGCTTTAGATAACAGATGACGAGATTCCACAGCCATCCCCATGGGTCAAAGCATCTTGATATTTGACGTCGATGAGGGTTATTGCATTAGCAGTGCAATATGGCCACCATTCACTCCATCCTTGGGGATTAAAGTAGCGGCACAATTCCAGTCTCATCCATTGATCTGTGAAGAGCACAGGCAATAAGCCAGTTAAGTGATGTGCCAAGCCGAAGGCACACTTTGGAGGGGAAAAAAGTACACGCATATTTTCAGCACGTGTTCACAAGACTAGCTGTCTACTGATAAAAGTAAAACCACCTTTCAGCCCATTAGCGGAGCTTAATTGTTTTGCACAGCAACGTTTAAACACCCTTGGATTTCATTATGGCGCTAAGAAGAACGTTTTACAAACTTAAAGGCTGTGCTAAAAAAAGAAGAGGACAGTGGCGGCACGAGGTGAAAAGGAGAGTTGCCAAGATGTATTTTTTACTAATTAAAGCTTAGGTTCAGCTGCTCTCTTGAAAACCACTTTTAATACTGGGTGGTATTTATATTAATTAATTTGCTGTATCATTGTAACAGAATTAATCACACACAAAAAATGTATTATGAATTATGGTTTTTCCTTTGAGCTTACAAAATAAGTCTTTTTAAACATGTAAGGTTTATCATATACTGTAAACTAAAATGAAGGTATGGGGAAGTGTGTATGTTTAATGCAACATTCCTCTTAAGGACTATGACTAACTATTCATCTTAAGGACTACGCAAGGACATTCACTTGAGTTTCTCGTGTCTAAAGAGGCAAATGCCAAATACTGTTATTTTATTACAGCATGCTGCAGTGGGTGAAGCTCAACAACAAAACAGGTCCTGCTTTCCATAAGTGGCAACTTGTAACAGAATCGGGCTGTGAGATTCCCCTTTTCTGGTAAAAAGATAATATTGTACGCACTGCAGTTTTTTACAATCTATCACTTTTAAGTGGGCACACAAGCACAGTCATTGTGTGTGTCCTGTGATGGACTGGCATCCTGTGCAAAATGTATCCTACCTTGAGCCCATTCTCTGCCTGGTTTGGTTCTGGGTTACTGACTCAATGTATTGGACTACGTGGTTATTGAAAATAGCTGGTTCAACGTTTAGTTTCCGAATCAAAGAATCAACGTGAAAATGTTTATATGTAGGGATTTGCCCTTCTTGTTACAGTATGTTAATCCCTGGGTTCTGTGGCACAAACGACAATGAGCAAAAGAAGGAGGAGAAACAGCAAGAGAAGGAAAAGCTCCAGCAGTACAAAATGTGAGTGCTCTGTTTAAGATGGCTCTTAGCAGGACTCTGAGGTTAAGCCTTTAATGACTGTCTGAATCAGCATTCATTAAATGGAAGGGCACTGATTTGCGCACATGACACCCACACTGGCCCACAAGAAGCACCTCTAATGCTAAAGACGTGCTTGTAAAATTCCATCACGTGAACAATTTCAAGATTGCTAAGAATCTCAAAGCAGAACCTGTGAAATGCCTTAATTGATATTATCCTCTCTCTTCAAACAACAGTTGTACTGTTCAAGCAGTGTTATTATTCATATTGTATGTATGTGTGAAATAGGATCAATTTATTTTATTTTAATCTTTTCTCTAAAACTGTGGGTTAATTCAGTTATAAAATTATTGATGTAGTTTTGAGTCAATATTAGTTTATTGAATATTATATTTGAATACATTTCAGGTATGTACATAATATTAGTTTCACATCTGAGATCTGTATTTAATGAACTGTACACAATTTCATACCCTTTTAGAACACATGATGTGAATGTTTCTGTCCATTTTCAATAATACACAATTCTTCAAAGATACTTATAGCTGTAAAACATATTTTACAGCCTTATTTTATTTAATGTACACTTTTGTCTTATAGGGTTATCTTTTCCCTGTAATACCTGTATATTTTAAGCTTTTATCTGTTAGTTCATATTCTTCACTGTATGTCTGTATGCTAATAGAAACATGTTTTACAATGTTACAATCAAATATTCACTGAAACAAATTAAATCGTTGTATATTTACAATTGTTTTATTAAAACAGTTCTAATATGACACTTTTCAATAACTTTCAGACAGCCACTCTCCATTTCAATTTCAATATCATAGCAGTGAACCCATACATAAAACGACAGAATACGAAAATGACAGAACTTCAGCTGAAAAGGGGGAAACGGATACAGCACATAGAGAAAACTTTGTACTGGAAACTGATGATGAAGAGGAAAGTGAGCCTCATTTCCAACACAAAAATAAAAGGTTTAGCCATGACACTCTTCAAGACCACTGTTGGAACAAAGACAAGCACACAATTCCACCACCCGATGAGGAGAACATAAAAGGAGTTAAAATAACGACGTCAGTGACAATAGATGATCAAGAACTGTTGACGTCTGGAAAAATAATCTTCCAGCAGTCCCATGAACCCACAGATAGAGAAAAAATCAACAAGACAGTGACAGTCACCACCACCAAAGTGAAGTATACTGTTTCTAACTTGAAGGTGGAAATTAAAGAAGTGCTCCATTCAGATGACCCAGATGTAAAGTCTACTTTTACAGTCAAAAACAAAGAAGGGAAGAGAACAAAAACTTGTGTTAGCAGTCAATGGAATAAATGTCCTTCTCCTAACAATGATGTGCACAATCAGCCCTGCTCAGTTAATACAAATATAAATTCTACAATACAGAGCCAAGACAACAGAAACCAGAAAAGACATAACTTTAATCTTAGTATCACTGAGATAAATACAAACTTTGCAGAGACTGCAAAGAATTCCATCGAGTGTGAGGAGGACACAGAATGGTATAAAGGCTGCTGTGAAGATCTAAATAATAATAAGTACAGGTTACATAATCATCAACTACAGAGGGACTACAATGACATAGACTACCAAGAAACGGAGGGCTCTTGTAGTCTTTATACATTGTCTGACTGCAGTCTTCACTGGACGGAACACTCAGCTCCTGAGACACTATGCAAAGAGGTAGTATCAGAGATTCCTCCACCTCATGAGTTTGCAGACGAAGATGAGACGTTAATAGATGACCTCACAGGGGACATGGCTTCATGTGAGATTGGAAACTGCTATCACTCAGGAAACCAGGCAGAAGCAGCTACTGCTCTGGGTGGATTTACATCTTTTGAGGGCACTAGATACGTTTTTGACACCAAATGCCAAGACTCTTTGGATAGTGAACAGAGTCCTAATGCAGAAAATCTATCTGAATGTGATAACTACGACCCCTTATTGATGGGACCCAAAATGCCAATGAGTAGGTCCAGTTTTACAAAACATTTTATCCATAATCATGAAGGGAAAACTTGGATGAGAAATAACAGCATTGCCATTTTAGAAAGCAAGCCTATTTCATCCTGTTACTTTGAACAACAGTCTAAGAGAAGAAAGACATTCCCAGAAACTGCAGATTGTTCCAACAAAATGCAAGACAGCTTGCCATTGTACAGAGAATCTATTTCTTCCGGCACACTTTCCTCGTTTTTTATGAAAACACTTCCCCTTCAGTCAGGAAGATCAGGGAGGTTTTATTTGGAGGATGAGAGACCTTTTAAGTTTTGTGCAGAACGCCGGAAGTCTTCAGAGAATGGCACATGTCATAACCCAGGAAGGAGTGCATTCAGTATCCATAAAACATTTCCTTTAAACCCTTCCTTGTCAGGGAAAAGCAAGAACCCGTTTTATCCTTCTGAGTCTGAGGAGAGCACAGATGAGGTTTTTGCAAAATTTGGACATCATTTCCATGAGGAATGCAAAGAAGATGAAGAAACTGTCATTCTAGAATCAAATTCTGAGATGAATTCATGCAAAGATATAGTAGATGGAGACTGTTACCGTATCGGAACTATAGAGCAGGGTGAGTTCACTGAGAGCGGCTTTGATGAAGAGATGGTCGATGTCGATGATCATAATCTTGAACTTTCTGGGGATTTCCATATTACAAGAAAGGATTTACTTATCCATGTCACACCACCTTCCCGAAGCTCCTCCATTGAATATATTAGTGATAAAAGCCATGTCAGCACTCCACTTAATGGACTTGAGGATATCACAGAGATACCTGAATCTAATCTGCATGAGAAAGAGAATCCTGACCTTGAACCAAAGAAAAGACGAGGTTCAGTGATGACAGTTATCATAGGAGACTCTGAGCAGAGATTTATTCAAAATGACAATAAACCTCAAGAGACGTCGGTTCCTGAGAGGAATCACAGAGACAGCTTAAGTACAGTTTATAACTTTCCATCAGTGTCCCCCATTTTAGATGTGGATGAGATGGAGGCGGACAGCAATGGTGATTCACATGTTGAAGTGAAATTGTCCTGCCAGAGCTCTCTTGCACTTGAAACAAGCATGTCAAACCAGGCCCTCGCTGAGGTTTTAGAAGAGCAGGTATCCACGGGACCAGCTGAAGGAAGTCAGGAGATATCCACAAATACAATAACACTGAAACAGACCTCTGAGCAGTGCGATGTAAGCCCTTTGGAGGAAGATCTGAAAGAAAATGAGAAAACTGAAAAAGAGGACACTATGACTGTGCCAGAGACATGTGGTCCCAGTTCTGATTTATGCAAGAAAAAGCTGCAAAAAGAAGATTCAGCTGAGAAGCCAAGTGGCCCAAAATGTAAGTGTTTTTTTTTCTGATTGGGAACTTTCCACCCAGTTCTAATTAATTCTGATGGTATTTTAAAATAATTTATGATTATATAAAATGTTGAAAATTAAATTTCAGATATAAAGATATTTATTAATTTGTTAAATATTAATATATATATATATATTTCAGATTAAAGGTCCATTCCTTCACAAAGAACAGGATTTCTTTGGGGGACTCTTAGCAAGTCAAAAAAGGACAAAATTGTTTATACTATAATATGTTGTTTGGTATGATGCTTTGTCATAAATAATGGTTTCTAATGGTTACCTAGAACATAATAAAGTTTAGGAGGCCATTTGGTCCATCTGGTCCATTTGGTAGTTAGTAGCTTATTGATCCAAGGATCTCCTGCAGCTGTCTCTTGAAGGAAGCCAAAGTATCAAGTGCATATGGTTAGCACTGTAGATTGTTCCATACTCCTTCAATCCACTGGGCAAAGAAGTGCCTGCTGTTCTCATTTTTAAATGACATCCTCTTCCACTTGTGCCCTCTGGTTGGTGTTTCACTGTCTATTCAGTGAATATTTGTATCAGGTTCCTTCATAATTTTCTGTGTTAAGTTGTAAAGATCACCCTGTCAGTATAGTTCAACCTCTTAAGCCCCAGAATATATCTGGTTACTCTTTACCAAGTTGATTCTAGATCAGCAGTATCTTTTTCTGTAACATAGTGACCAATATTTTACACACTATTCTAAATGAGATCTAATCAATGCAGGCTACAATTGTAATATAACATTCCTGGATTTCCATTGTTTATTATTGATTTCATAGTCTAAAATTTTAGCTTCTTTATTGCGTTCACACATTGTCTGGAAGATGTAAAGAATGTCAAACAATGTAAACAATTCAGTTTTTGTCATTGTCCATTTATAGTTTGTTTTTACTGCCTGTATGCAAATTCCTGCACTTGTCTACATTAAACATCAACTGTCAGATTTATTCCCATTCTTAAAATTGTATCTAAATATGGGTGTTTCTAGCAGTCATTTAAATTTAATAATTTCCTGTCTTCCTTTTTAAAAGCACAATTCAAAATAAGCTTTTTGTAATACTGTATATGATAAATACATGGTAATTTAAATAAATGTTAAATGTTAAAAAAAAATCTGAAAAATTATAAAAAATTAATTATCTGTTAAAGCTGGTTAATCTGTCTGTTGAACATGCAAATGTTTATTTTTTAAAATACTGAATATTTCAGTTTAAATATGTCTTTCTTGGCATAACTCTAACGTAATTCTGGTGAAACTCTAACGTAATTCTATTCCCATATTATAAAGATTTTCCAGGCTCATCTTGAAAGTATAATTCCCTACAATAACATAATTACAGCTTCGTTAGTTAGAAACACCTGGTGTCCGGTGTATTTCAGCACCCCAAGATAAGAAAACAGAGGTCAGAAAGCACCTGAAGCCACCTGCAGACCCGGTGCTGAAAGACACACGAGCTGCAGAGAGTGTCCAGGAAGATGAATCTGATCACTGGGCCAAGAGGCGCAAGCTGTTCAAGGAGAGTAAGCAGTGGAGTTCAGCCGGCGGGAGCTCAATCACCAGCAACATCACTGAAGAATCAGGTTAGTCCAGTTCCCAGACAGTCAGGGGCTGAGCAGACCACCCACAGTCAGCACCAAGAACTCATCATCAGAGCGCAAAGGAAGCAGCCTCACAGTAAAAACATACAGTACACTGTACCTCCCCTGCGGGCGACCCAGGAGGGATTTAGATCTACCGTGAAGACTCCAGAAATTTCAGCATTTTGAGGACATCCTGCAAATGTCTGGGATTTACAGATGCTGTGTCAATGCAGTATGCAAATCTCACTAATTATTTTATAGGATAATGTTTGTGGTTTTAGGTATGTTGTGGTGAAACCTGTTAACTTACTGTGACAATTATTTAATAATTAGAAGTATCTATTTTATATAGCACCATTGATTTCTGTTAGCTATCTTTGCCCCATATGTTGACATAATAGACTATTAAAAACATCAGTAATGCTTTCTTTCAATGAGGTTAAAAGACTCATAGAAGTTCCTGAAATATGCACTGCTATGAAAATATCAGTATTGTATCAATACTTATAAACTACAAGAAAGGTATTGCTATAGATTATTTTTTACATATTGCAAGCATAATATTGGACCTAAAATCTTATAACCAAATTTCAAGTTAGAATTCATGTAATGTATATACAGTATACAACAGAATCAGATGCTACAGTCATTAAGATAGTATTTTAGCTTCTTATCTTGCATCTTATATTCACATGTATGTCTTACATATTATACCCTATGGTTCTTTCTGCAATCCGATCTAGACCACTTTGCTTATGGTAAATCAAACATTCATTTTTATAATAATATGCAACTAATTAGCTGCATACAGCATGAACAAGCAGACTAGGGTCTCATCTCATTTGTAAACCTTCTCACATCCTTACTTTTGTAATTTGAAAATAAATTAACTGAGATGCCATTTGCATGATGTACAGCATTGCACGAAAGTTTATGAAAATTACTGAATACCCTTATTTTCACCTTTATATCCAGTTGTCGGGCTGTATTTGCTCTGCTTTAAGGAATTTTCAGTATAAGATAACCTTGGTTTCTATGCTATGTACTGTATTGTATGCCTTGAGAAACCCATTAGGTTATTCTTGCCTACTGAAAATGTACAGCTGTGAAGATGTTAAAGAGCATAGTCTTGCTGTTAAGGGTCAGATAATGCTGGAATACACATGACATCAAGATCTCCTCAGAGCAGACTCCTTTAAGATATACCTAACAGCAGAAATTTTTGCCTAAAATGCCCGAACAGTCAATTGCTCTTCTTTATTTCATAAGCACAAAAGCTGATACAGTGATGACTGACGTACTGTATAGTAAGTGGCTGAAATCTGCATTTTTTTTTCTTTTTAATTCATACAAAAAAAAAACCCACAAAATATACAAACAGGTGAGAAATTCAAATGAGTCACATGGCTTTCAACCACTCATCCGATTCAGGGTCACAGTGGCCCAAAGCCTGCCCTGGTAAGCACTGGGCACAAGGCGGGATACACACTGGACAGGACACCAGTCCGTCACAGGTCAGACACATTCACACTCATTGCAGGGACAGTTTTTATAGAAGCCAAGTAATGTCTTTGGACTGTGGGAAGAACCCGGAGGAAACCCATGCAAACACAGAAAGAACATACAAACTCCATGCTGATAGTACCCCAGAAATTGAACCCAGGACTCCAGCTATAACCACTGTACCACTATGCTACCCCATATTCAAAAGAATTTCCCCCCAAAATGGTAGAAGTATCCAATTACTGTATTTCCGCAATGCTTCCACATATACAGAATGCTATAAATTTCTGCCCTTTCAATCAAATTAGACTCTACATAATAAAGTAAACCAGACTGGATGTGATGCATCATTACAAAAAAGTTACCTTCCAAGTACAAGTGGGCTCGTTTTATTTTCAGTATACATTTTAATTTTTGTATTTCATTTTTGATATACAAGGAGTCACTTTATTATCACAGGATTCTATAATTATACTGTGTACATTTTCCAGATTTTATCAGGGAGAATGTGTCCCAAAACATAACTGAAGGGAATGCTTTTTAAATGTTGTAGTCGCAAAATTGCTACAATATATTGTATTCCTTCTATCAAAATTAATTTCTAATCTAAAAAGAGGATATTTCACATTCATTTAAATTGACAAAAATGTTCTGCTCTTCTTATGATGTCCTATTCGGTTAAATTATAAATGATCTGTACATAATTAGTGAATACTCAGGGTCAGTCAAAATGCCGTTGACAACTTTGACAGTTTATTACAAATTAATTACTGTGACAAAAAAGGTTTCAAACCAAAGCATGAATATCAAAGTTTCTAACAGTTACCTTACAATCCTTTGCCATCTGTGGAGGAGAAAGCAAAACTTTAGTAAAATAATTGGCATTTATACTTGCCAACAACATTTTGACTAACCCTGTATGAATACTGTAGGAGTATTTATTCTGAAATTATTTAAACTGCTATTATTGCAAACAGAGGTCATTCAACTCATTGCGTGACTTGTCAAATGAATATTCTGTACCTAAAATAATTTGGGATTGCCATAGCTAAGGGGGGTGAATATTGATGCAGTTAACATATTTTAGGTTTAGATTTTTCTCTGTACTTTTTTCTGTTCTATAACTACAGTATATACTATATATCCATTATTTATTTCTCCCATAGAAGTGTTCAGTTTGAGCATTTACGTTTTGATTAAAAATATGTATACAACATTTGTGAGTTGACACGATGGGACACCTCTGTGGTTGATTCCAGTGAACTCAGAGGACACTCGCTCAGTGGATCTGGCAGCGCGGGAGAATGAAGACAAGGGCTTTTACACAGAGACCTTCCATTCAGCCTCCTGGATCTACAGAGGAGACGATGTCAGCCCAAATGACAGCCCCAGGTGTCTAAGCAAGAGGCCTCGGCCTGTAGCAAGTATGGACAAAACTGACTTCGCTTTTAGAAAGTTAAGCTACTGTAGATATTTCTACTAGAGTTACAGAATACTTTCTACGAACGCTTTTGTCCTCAATTATTATATTACAATGATCATCAGGATCGTAAGAGTCAATAAGTATTAATGTAGGCATATTGATTAAATAACATCATATAATATACATTTGTGAAATTTTGAACAGGCCACTGAGTACTTAGTGGAATGATACTTCTGGTTATGAAAATGTTTTGTATTTCTGATACTTATTACTTCACTGTTTAAAGAATATACAATAATATTTATATTTATGTGTAAAATCCTGTGGAAATAGTAAAGCCAGTATTATCTGCCATGCATCGTTCAAGAACTGTAGAATGGTATTTATTCATCATTCCACTAGTCTCTTCCTCTGCTCAGTTACACAACCCCATTTGTACAGTAATTCATTTCAGACATCTTTATATCTCTGTAGCATGTCCAAAGTACTGCTCGTGGCCTAACTGATTTCATATTTTGATACACCTGTAGTTCGAGAGAGAACTGTGAGAATCACAAAAGGAATGGGAGACTATCCTTGGGGATTCAGAATCCAGTTCTCGAAGCCTATCTTGGTCACAGAAGTTGACACAAGTAAGTATATTCTGTCAGGTGCCCTTCATTGAAGAGAAAAGGAAAATCATATTAAATATCAACAAATTGTTAATGTAGGAGGAATGTTAAGACGTAGATCCAATATCATTGTTAATTCCAAAGACAACGACAAGTCATTTTTTAAAATGAATTTACAATAACAGTGCTACATGTTCATTAATTTAAAGATCAAATCTGTAAATTGCTACAGTATAAGGGGAATGGAGAAATTTGTTCTAGCTTTGTTCCCTGAAAATGTAGAAAATTAGTGTCTCACTAACAACAAAATATTGTGTGTAAATGACTAATTTAAATAAGTATTTAAGTTATGAGTGGTGGTATTATAATACAATATTATAGAACTTTTGTAGCTTTAAACTATTCAAATTTTATATCAAAGAGTGTCAAATCTGGCAGTGTTATTTTTAAAATACTTCCAGTTTATGTCTTCTAATGCGGAGTCCTAATGTGGGGACCATTGCAAGTTATACAAATCTGTTACTTTGTTCAGAAGAAGATAATATTTTTTTTTATTATGTTTAAATTATTTATGTAGTAGGTGCAGGTCTCGAGTGAAATGCCAGTAACTTTCTGAGTGTCAACATAAATACGGCCACAGGGTGGAGCCGTTTAAACATCTGATACTCATTGTCCTATTTGCCTTTTTATCTTACAAAAAGCCAACCTTTTCTCTTCAGATTTACTGATTGTTTTATGTTTAGTTTTATTGAAAAGGTGAGATGAAGTTTTAAATCAAAAATAAAGGTAGCACCTTACCTATGCTATAGCACAAAGAATCCAGGTGTAGCACATTTGGGCTTTTACGGCTCTACACGTTAACAGCCTGCAGTGAAGTCCATTACATAAGTGGCTTCCGATGGGTTCCGACTTTGAGCATTCCCTCTATTCCCGAACCTGTCCTCAAACCCTCAGTGCTGTTTGTGTTTGTAAACCTGTGACCTTGAGTGTGTCTGCATTGGTTTCAGATGGAGCCGCGGAGGAGGCGGGCCTCCTGGTGGGAGACATCGTGATGACCGTGAATGGAACAGATGTCACCAGTGTCCCACACTCTGAAGCAGCCGATCTGGCCCGCCAAGGTAAAATAGCCCAGATCTTCAGTAGTGGTGCTGCAGGGCTTGGTTTTCGGTTGTGTAATCTTCTTCACTGTACAACTGTGTTTAGGAATTGGGAAACACAAACCATTTACTGTATATCTTAAGGTGAGATTTATAAATACATGTAGTGCCATGCACATAACTGTATAGGTGTGTTTTTGACTGTACAGCTGTGCTATGAGGCTTCTTTGGAGCTTAGTATTGCCCAGAGATCACCAGCTGCTGGTAGTCTGTGTGTGCTGACAGCTTAATAAGCACTCTAGTCCTTTTGCTGATAAGGTCATGAGGTTCCCTTCAGAAACAGCAGCTATATTTTGAATCCTTGGCTGAGACTGTCTACCTACCAAAGATATGAAGTGCCATCAGCAGCAGGAGTCCACTTAGTCCAGTGCTGTATAACTCTATTTATTCACCTTGCTTCAGCAAACACAATGGTTGTCACACTTACTTGAGCTCATCACCTACTGCATAACCCAATATCACCTATATTGTATATAGTCCTATTTCACTGGTCAAAGTTATGCTATAATTATGAGCCCAGAAAAGAGTGAAATACACTTTTCATATAAAAAACAGAATTAGAATTACCTTTTGATAGTTATGAAACAGTGACAAATAGTATTTATACATTTCAATTTATTTAACCTATGATTAGTGTTAAGTTCTGACTGTTTTTGAAAACAACATACATTAACATGAACGCAGCCCCTTAATACAAGAATTAAACATACAATACCCCATTGCACTCTTGATTTGTGCAGCCAAGTGAATATTTTCTTAAATTAGCTTCAAATCTGGAAATCTATCTATACAGTGCATGGTAAAGTCAATGTCATCAGATATTTAAAAATAATAGGGCAGCACAGTGGTTTGGCAATTAGCTTAGCTGCCTCACGACTCTTGGATCCTATTTTAAGATCTGGTCTGGATCACCTCCTGTGTAGAGAGACCTGGTTGACCCAAATCGTGCACCTGAACTAATTTATGAATTTACCATTGCAAATGCTTGGAATTTGTGTTTTTATGGCCTTTTAACTTAATTCATCTATAAAAGTATTCATGCTCAACATTCTTTCATTTGTAACTCAACAAAATGTAAAATTTGAAGGGTTGAATGCTTTTACAAGGCTCTGTACCAAGTTTAACATAATGTTCAAATTCCTGGCCATTTTTTGCTATTGTTGATTTCATGTGTGAATTTCTAAAACTTTTATTTTTTCTCTATATACTATTATGGTGTTTGACCTGTTCCTATTTTCACTTTCTCTGCAGGGCCAGACACTCTCACCTTAGTGATCGGTTCTGACATCAGCAGATGCCCCAACACCCCCAGACCAGCGTGTCGGGGATATCTGCACAAGCGCACGCAGTCAGGGTTCCTGAAGGGCTGGAGAAAGAGGTGGTTTGTGCTGAAGCATGATGGTTGTCTTTACTACTACAAAAATAAAAAGGTATGCAAGATAATGTCAAAACCAAAAACATACAATTCATAATTTGTTAAACAGCTTATAGTGATACAGTCATAGTGAGTTGCTTTTCTAGGTGTAAGGAATTTTGAATGTCATTGTTAAAGTTTACAAATGTCAGGTGAAAGACTAACTGGTGTGCCACTAGGTGGCAATGTGTATTAGTTATTGCAATCACACACCTTCACAACTGGTGGTGTTGCTTCGATGTGGTCAGAACTCCATTTTATGTTGTTCTGATTGTTGGACTTTTTTGAAAATAATAGCTATAAATCCGCTAATTTGTGTCATTAGCATATTCCAGTGTCACCTCATTTCAAATAATGACCCAAGAGACTAAAGAAAATAATGACACAACTCAAAGTACAACAGGCTGTAAAAGTTGGAATGGTAATTTGTGTGAAACAGGTGTTTATTTGTAAGTGTGTGAGTGTTTTATGTGTAATTAAATTATTCTCTCATCTGTCTGTTTTATCTTTCTTTTTGTAAGTCAGTTACAATCAAAGTAGAGCAGACCGACTATGTTAACTATAAATTGTATTTCTGTTGTATTTCTGTTGCCCAGGATGAAGGGAAGTGTCGAGCCCTGGAGTCAATGAAGTTAGAAGGGGCTGAAGTGGGGCCTGATACTAGCCTTGGAAAACCATTTGTGTTCAAGTGTTGCCCTGTCTCTGGGAACCGAGTTTACTACTACTGTGCAACATCAAACCAAGAAATGAAAAGGTAAAGATGAGATATCTAAAGATAATCATGATTAATCACTTATAAAACAGAGAGAGCTGTGCCCAGTAATGTCACCTTACTTCGGATTCTTATTCATTTTGCTGATGAACAAAGTCCAAAAGGTCATAACTGTGGCTCTATGCATCTGGAGTGTTGCTCTGTAAGAAGGTGTCTGTTATTTTCGCTGTTTCAGGTGGCTGGAGGCAATGGAAAGAGCTGTCCACCCTATCACTCAGGTACAGTTTCATGCACAACTTTACTATCTTCCACTATTTTCCCATGAACACAGCTACTTAAAGCTGTGTTCATTAGTTAGTCTACTGTATATGAGTGCCCCTGGCTAATTTGTTTGTTTGCAAAATGAGGTTTACAGTATATTATATTAAGTCTTCATTTAAATTGGACAATTAGGAAATAAAGCAAATTTGTGCCTGTTTTCTTACATTCCAAGGCTTAGGGTCTCCAGATAATAAGCCAGAGCTGACAGTAGCCTTAAAGAGACTAAAATGAGTATTAACAGTACAAATGTATTCTGTATTGGGTGACATGTAGTGTGTCCAGCTTGATGTACAGTATATGATGTATCTTGTAGAACAGGCCTAACACCGTTCCGTGAAAAGGCCTCATGGATTTATCTATGTTAAAAAATAAACCTTTACTAACACTGTTCATGAAAAATTATTTTGATATTTGGCTTGCAAGACGTATTTTTTAAAACTACTGAAGACCTACAGTAGAATGAAGCAGTTTGTTTAGAACACACTTAATGCAGCAGTGTTGTTTCTATAGTGCTCATGGTAAACGGATAGCCCTGAATGGTGTCTCAACTTTGCTTTGCACGTTTCTAACTGCTTCACCCTTACTCATGTTCCCCTTCTCTTTTTAAAGAGCCACACCTTTGTTATAGTGTAATTTAAATCTGAAGCTGTGTGCCTTGTGGCATGCATCATAATGTTCACAAGTACATACCTATTTCTTGTTTGATAGATGTTGCATCACCGGTTTTAAAAGGGGTCACGAGCTCCAGTTCTCTACAGCCTTATGATACCCTTTGTAATATCTTCCCCAAAGAGTTTAAATAGTATATGAATATTCCTGATATAAATGCATTGTATTTCTCAAGTATTTCAGTATATTATTTAACATTATAAATGTTTAATGCAAATTATTTCATAATACAGCAGTTTCTTCTTTGACTGTCTACTGTTTAAAAACAGGGCAATTATTCAGAACTAAGAGAAATACTGTGGACTTGTGTGCATTAAGTTTTGTAGTTAATTTTGAGAAAGGATCCTTGTAAAAACCTTACAGTACTAATCCTTTTCTCTTTTTCATCATCATCACAGATCTGATAATCTAGTCTCCTTACCTTGATTCTTCAGATTTCATAGGTGTCTTATGTCACTGTCTTAGTAAAATATCCTTCTTTCAGCTAATTCAAGAGGGACCTTATATATAGCTCTGGACAACAGTCTTGATGTAGCATCTCATTGGAGCAATATTTCATTTTTACCACAGGGGGTCCTTGTACTCCTTCGTACAAAAAGACTTTCTTCTAAGAAAAGCAAAATAGGACACAGAGAAAGACTTAGACATTGCATCACTTTCACGTAAGGTGGAGAAAAAACAGTTTATTAAAAAAAAATCAGTGGACAAATATCTACTTTATTTGAAAATTATTTTACTAAGAAAACACAAAAGGATCTGTTTAGCCTCTGGAAAAAATTATCAGAAAGGGCATCTTAAAAATGAAGCAGTTGTGTACAGTTGGTGCACAGATTTTCGAATACATGAACAGATATATTAGCAGCAGTCTACAGCTCAGAACATTGATTTCAAAATCTACTTGTCAATTTTTAAGGACTTGTCAGACTCTTCCTGGCTTTCTGCCTCCCCTAATTAACTTATTTGTTGCCTTTTCCTCTATATACTATGCAGTTACTTTACTGTGCCAACATTTCAATGTGTACAGTTTGTATCATGATGTGCAGTACCATACATCTTTGTTTACCATGATTCAACATTTATTTCATTGAAACGTGTTGCATGTTACTCTGTCTATAGCATATTATGCCACTGTACACTTGTACTTAATTGCTACATTCTCTTGACTTTGTTTTGTACATAGATTGTCACAGTACATCAGCAAGGTACTGTAGCAATATGTGGAGCATGTATCATGAACATTTTGCTGCAGCCTCCTCTGAAAATTAAATATTTTTGACAAGAAAATGATTATGTCTTGGTTTCGGTATTATTTACCAACAATAGATTGCACATGTAAAATAGTATAGTTATGTATCTGGGTGATGCTGCAAAAAAAAGTGCTTCTTTTTTTTTTGATGACTGTAGTTGAAAGCCTTATAATCCACATAATAGAAGGTTTACAAATAAGTGGTTAAAACTGGGGCAGTTGTTGCCAGAGTGATACTTAAGACACTGCTAATACTGTTTTCTCTTGTAGAATCATGTGTGGGTGGATGTCTCTCGACATAATGCCAGCCTTCCCCCGCTGGCTATCAAAAATCCTGAATGCCTTGGCCTTCTTCATCAAATGGACAAAAACAAGGATGTGTGGGTGCAGCACTACTGCATATTAAAAGATGGATGTCTCTATTTCTATACTGGCATTCGTTCAACTCATGCTTTAGGTTTGTATTCGAAATGCAAAATGTTTCCACTGTAGAAAATGCCAGCAAATGAACCAAATACAAAGCTGATTGTTCCAGAACAGTTATAGCAATACACCTCGATCTTTTTGGTACTCAGATGGAATACATCAAAGGAAGTTCTTTGTTGTCCAGTTGTTACTGAATAGAGTGTTAGTAGACCAGTAGGTGGCACTAGTCCCACTATACCAAAACATTTCAAAATCATTATCATTATCCCAATCTATTGACAAGTATGTGTGGTGCCATAGATGGTATTGCCTCTGAGTCAGTTATTGAACTGATTTGGATAGTGTGGACATAAAATACTGTATCTGTGTTGCTGAAGATATTCTGAAGATATTTTGATAGAATCTGCAGTGCCCTTATCAGGCTGAAGCCAGTTTGCCTTGAGTACGTTTTATCATAGAGTCCCCTTTATAGTTTGGCATAATGTGGCAAAAGACAATGACATTTTTAGAAATAACCTATATAAAAGATCCAAAACCTAAGCAAGATCAGGTCTAGTCCATACTGGGAAAGAAGATCTCTATGGTGGTGTTAGGGGACCAGTTGGTGGCCTCTTTGCATTACACCAGCATTTCTAAAAATCACTACACTCCAGTATGGTAAGCCAGGGCACCGTGCTGCAGGAAGTGTCACTCCTTTATTTTTTCATAAGAGTTTAACCCTACTGCCATGTCATCTACCTAAAAGTTCTCCCCAAAATTCAATTGGTTCACTTCAAACTCTCACTTCTCCAGTAAGGTTACTGGCTCTAAGTGGCACTGTAGGTACTGTAGTTCAGTGGTGGATGAAGCTGGTACCCTCCTGTATGTAAGATTATGATCCTCTGAAATGAAAACCAGTGCCAAACAGTATATACATGTCATCAATAATAATTTTAAAATATATTTATATTTTTCACGTCTTTTACTTTTTCTAAATGTATAACACTTTACTGCACATCAATGGAACTAACTAAATTTTTCACAAGTTAAATCTTCCACGCCAGTAAGGATCCAGAAATTACTCAACTGCCTGGAAACCTCAGTGATTTAATTTATTATCATGGTTATTTACTTAATACTGCTGATGTAAGCATTAACCTTTCTGTGCACTTCCTTACTCTGCACTTCTCTCTTACTACAGGAGGAATCTACTTGCATGGTTACATTGTGAGTGAACAGCCATTTGGATCCAGAAGGTCTACTATTGAACTGAAGCCCCCTTCAGAAGAATTTAAAACCTTCTACCTCTCTGCAGAGAATGCAGCCGAAAACAAACGGTTAGAAAAGTTTTGGTAATTAGCAGGGATACCACCTTTAAAACATAAAAAAAAAACATCCTAAAAACGTACACTTTCACTATGGAGATGTGCGTGCTGATTAAAAGCATAATTCCAGAGAAAGAGAAAAATCAAATTAATACAGAGGAATCTCTTTCCTATCTAGACACATATGACAGGCAAACAACATATACTCTAATAATCTCCGTAATTACAAGCTATTAATCTACAAATTTCGAAAGCATATGCTTAACATTTAGGGATGTATAATCTTATTTTATGTGCTTAGGAAAATGAAGCTACTGTATACAGTAAGGCCATATTCTGCTGCATTAAAATGCCCTACAGAGAGTTTTAATAATCATTTTTATAATGTTATTGAATACTGAAGAGCACTTTTATAATAAGTTTCCATTCATGGATAATAAATTGAAATTGAAAATTGAATTACTTTTCTACTTTGTTTTCTCAGCTGGATCTTAGCGCTAAGAGCCTCGATAAACAAATGGCTGCCTTTACATCAGGCTATCCAAGACTTCATGAATCGCCCACCTGAAGAAACCAGAATGTGAACATGAACAGCAGACCACACTTTTCACACAGCTAATGCTGCTTTCTTCAAGTGCATTGTCTCCTCAAGGTTCTTGTTTAGACTGAGACACATTACCTTTCGGCTTTATAGAACAAAACTGTAGATTTTATACAAATGTATTTGTCTCATATAAAATACTTTAGTTGTAAAAGTATTCCACATACTATAATTCATACATCTGGTACAAGTATCACCTAATGTCAGTTTCCTGTTTTTATATATTTTTTATTGATGTGACAGTCTATACTTTAATTTGGGTAGTTAATTTCAATTTAAAAAATTAAACACCTCAAATGTTAAAAATATGAAAATATATAGGTTAATATATTAATAATGTATTTTACATACAAGAATCTACTTATCCTTCTAGGAAACATTTTATAATACTTTTACTGTATGTGTTTTTTTAATAAATAGTGTTTATCCATTTTCACTCCTATTACCAGTCTTTTTGGTAGTTTGTGAACAAATATCAAAAGTATAAATTGGTGTACAACATAAATTATTCAAAATTGCTCATTTATTTAAACTTGATAGAACATTCTAAAAAATAAATCCTTAAAAATAATCTAAAAAAATAAATGTTGAGATCTACTCCCTAAAATATTTTGCCTGGATTAATCCAAAACTCTGACCCACTCTTCCACTGTTAATTCTAAGCATCTACAGTGAAACTTTTCTATTGCTTAAAGCCTCTATAATGTAAGTCTACTCAGTAAAAAAAAAGATGTAATTTGTGATTGGTAGAATTGCCAAAGTTTTATTTTAATCCTTCAAAAAACCCTATTTTTATTACCTTATGAGGTAATTCCAGATGCTGATGAGAGTATTATTACTACGCTACTATAGGTAGTAATCACAGCTGGAAATCTGCTGGTATTAGTCACACCATGTACTGTGAGGTACAGTTCAGTAAGTATGCTATTAACCTATTGTAGCCAGAATTATATCATTCTGCAACTCACAACTGGCAACCCATGTAAGTTAAGCAGGTGTGAGCCCGGTCAGTACCTGGATGGTAGACCACCTGGGAAAGCTAAGGTTGCTGCTGGAAGTGGTGTTAGTGGGACCAGTAGGGGGTTTCTCACATTGCGGTCCATGTGGGTCCTAATGCCCCAGTATAGTGAAGGGGACACTTAACTGTTAAAAGGCACCATCCTTCAGATGAGATGTAAAACCGAGGTCCTGACTATCTGTGGTCGTTAAAAATACCAGAGCGTTTCTCAAAAAAAGTAGAGGTTTTACCATGTTGTCCTGGTCACATTTCCCCTTGGCCTTTACCAAGCATACCCTCCCCATCTATGAATTGGCATCATCACTTTGTTTTCCTCCCCACTGATGTGTGGGTGAGCGTTCTGGTGCAGTTTGGCTACATTGCATCATCCAGGTGGGGCTGCACATTGGTGGTGGAGGAGGGGAGTCCCCATTACCTGTAAAGCACTTTGAGAGGAGTGTCCAGAAAAGCGCTATGCGTGGAAGTGTGAGGCATTATTATTAGCTTCCCATGGAAAGCCCTACTTCTTCAAATGCTTAAGTAGAAGTCAAAGTTCACAAATGTAAATTTCAGGGATGTAAATTTATTATAAGCACATCCTAAACTTACCCAAAACTTGTTCACTTGAGGCATAGACATGACATACCATACCTGCTATTAGTTGAGACGTAGTGTTCCACTTTTAATTCTTCTACTCCTCTAAATCTTCCTCTCACCTCTTGAGTTTGCCACATATCCTCAACCACAGAGTGGATTTTTTTTTTTAGTTATGGAATATCATAACGTTAAAATACCTGTACATAAAACATGAATCATCAACTGTTGTGCTACTAACTGGGTCTACCTGTACAGGTATGTGGTCTGAGTTGAGGCTGATTGAAGGCATTGCTTGTTTACACCTGTTTTATGTCATACAGTAACTTGGGTGGACCCAGGGTATTGTTACCTGCTTTACACCTGTGATCTAACTGGTTTGGCAGGAGCCTGTGAGCCTACAGTGTTGTCTGTAAGATCTATTGTACATTTGTCCTCCTTCAGATGCACTAGCATTATTACTGGAATTTACAACACAAATTACTGTAGATAGATGCACATTTTCGAGGAAGCATGTTCATTGTCTTCATTTTGCCTATGCTGAAGGTACAAATTTGCAATTCCTAATTGGGGGTGAGGTAGGAAATGTATTTCTTAATTCACAAAAATGTTTTAAAACACTTTATAGCTATTAAGAATAACAGTTGGGGTCAGGAACTGTTTATTAATCTACAATATTTCCAGCTGGTAGAGTTCAAATATTAATACAAAAGATTCTACTCTAGCTACTGTAGGCAAATAAAATGAAAACAACATTATATTCAATGTAAACTCAATCATGTTTCATGAAGCCTTCATGTATGAAATTTAATTACTTAAGCTTAAGCTGCTGCACTGTAGAAACCTTAATCAATTTTAAAGAAAGAAGACAGCTTGGATTTAAGGTCATCCTTTCACCCCTGAGGATCCACGGTACAGTACAGTATATACTTACTGTCTGGTGACTCAGACATGTTCTTTACACAGTGCTTGGGAAAAATAGTATCTATAGAAAAAGGATATAAAATATTAGCCCAGGTGAAGAACAAATTGCAATTAGTTATGTATAATATATCTTATATTATGTATCTGGAATGTGGACACTCAAAGAAATAAGATATTGCAATTTTTTCCCCATTTTTTTGTGATATCTTGACTTACAGGCACTGCCAGAATATGAATCATTGGCTGAGATGTGAAACGAACCCAGAATGTTTTCTCTATAAAATGTACCACATTAGTGCTTTGTAGCAGCAAGCGTATTAACAAACTACTGAATTAAATCTTGTATTTTAATAAGGCCTCTTTGTGGCCTCAGCTACAGAACAGCCTTAGTGTGCCTTTTGGTGATTAGAGTTAATAGAAAACCCATGTGTAAAAAACTTAGAATCCTATCCAAGGTCTTCCACAGAACCAGACTTTATGACTACTTAACAGGCCCTTGTTGTGACTAATCACTGGAGGTAATATAGTTGGATTTTCAATGACATGCTTTAATATAGTCATATTCAGAAGTAGCAGTTACACCCAACAGCAAATCAAATTTCTTCTCACTCATCTAGACCTCAGTTCAACTTGGTGCATGAACTTCTAAAATCTAGTTAATCTGAACACTATTGTAACTAAGGTACAACGAACGACTCTGTGGGAGATTCCTTCCTATTTAAAGAACATGGTTATTCACTCTTTCACTGAGAACCAGCTCACACCAGTTTATGCCTTCTTTACTCTGCTCACCTTCCACGCTTCATTAGACCCATACAGTAATGGCACAGATTGAAAAGAATGGTTTTGAGGGCACCAGGTGTCAAGGACTTGGTAAAGTAAGGGTGTTGCATTTGTTTTTTCTTTTCTTACTCTTCACATTGATCCAAGACCCTTGCTCAGACATTCATTAATTACCACACAGCTCAGAGGTGACGTGGGGTTTGTGAGACAGGCTTAACCGTGCCTGTAACAGGGAGGGGAAACTCTAGAACAGGGTGCAAAGTGATAATGCATTGTTACACCTGGCCATCAACAGGTAATGTACTGTATGTACAGACAGTTTCTCAAAGAGCCCTGAGCACTTTGCTCTGCCCACACCCAAAACATCAAAGGAACCCTTCCACCCCTCCTGAGAATGAGTCACAGCCACAGCCATAAGAGTAACTACACTCTACTGCCCACTAGTGGCACTATCATTAAATCGAATCTACTACATTCTGTCCCCCTTAACCCTGGCATTTATTTTTTAATAATATTTCTCTCACCAGAAAGCCACCTGCATCCAAATCCATCCTAACTGTTTCACCCCTTTACCCATAGACACCTGGGCTTGTAACAATATGGTCACTTAAACATTGGGTTACACTTCTTAAAAGCCTTTCTGAAAGGAAAAGTTTTGAGTCTAGATTTTAAAAGCACTCAGAATAGGTGACATTCTGGTATCCTTGGGGATAGAATTCCAGAGATCCGGGGTAAAGCAAGAGAAGGCCCTGTCACCCTTAGAATATAAATACGTTTGGGGTACATACTGAAGACCAGAGATGGACAAATGGACAATTTTGAAGTCGACTCTAAACCTAATCAGAGGCAAGTGCAAGGTCAGGATTTCAGCTGCCAAATTATGAACATTGTGGAAGCTGATAAATATGAATTTCAAATGTCTCCTGAAAAATAGCTGGACTGGATGACCTGCCAAATTGTTAACGATTGTTCATAAACAATTCCTTGTGAGTGTTCATTGTGATCTGTCTATTTGATTCCTCATCAAGCACAATCTGCTGATGTGTGACTCATATCTAATTTTGTGAATTTGTCTCCACCTGTGAAATCTGCCGGCACATTTTCCATTTTTGGAAATGGATACCTTTCCAGTTTGAAAAGCCAATTTACTATCAGCTTGGAATCATCACAAATCCTTACTGACTTGTCTGGTTTAAGTACAGAAGCTATGGGAGCGGCCTATTCTGCAAATTTCACCACCTCAATAATGTTTTTTCTCTGAAGACTGTCTAGCTCTTCTTCTACCTTTGTCTTCATAGTGTAAGGCACTGCCCTTGGTTTAAAAAAAATCTAGGTGGAGTCTCTTTGTCTATGTATATTTTGCTGGAGGCCTTGTAACATTCCCAGTTCCTCTGAATGCTTTTGCATTGGTCTGGAACCTACTGCAGGGTGAATTTGTTGTTTCCACTAATCTTATTTACTGTTCCTCAATCTAAACTCAATTCTCTTATCCAGCCACAGCCCACCATGTTTGATCCCTGTCCTGTCACTAACACTACAGGCAACTACTACTTTACATCTTCATTGGACAACATGGTGTAACACTTGAGCTGCCCCCAGTATACAGTATACAGTACAGTATTTTACCTGTATAGGATTTTTTAACTGCAGGGAACAATTCTGATGTTCTGGAAGTTGTGGATTGTTCTACAGTGTAGCATATTCTGGCTTGTTCACTAGGGTGACACTGCTCCCAATGTGGACTTAAAAATTATCCACAGATTTTCTTCTAATTGTACTGTGATGGGAATTACCTTTGAAATAGTTGGTTCCATTATGCTGTAAGTGGTGAGCACATCCTCTTAATTCCAATTAATGAAATTTTGTTGCTGCTAGTACCGTATGTACAATATACAGCAAGATTAGCACAGGAAAGCATTAATGGGTTAATTTAAATTTAATACTGTACTGATTTGTCTAACAACCACATATAGCTGTTGTGCTGTAAGGATTCACTGTGTTCCCATCAGAATTTCTAGTAATAAGAAGAAAACATTTAAAAAGTGATGATGCCTAGAGACCATGACACAGTGGTGCCTTCTGTAGTACACCAACTGACAACTCAGTAGTATTGGTACAATACCAATGGTATTGAAAGTTTTGAATCCCACATAATGCCAATTCAGTTTCTCACTAGTTACATCATGAAGACTGTAAACATTCAAAATAGATGCATAACTTTGAGCCCCAAGTCCATCAACAGAATGTGTAGTGAAACCATTTATCCTCCCTGATTAGAGAATGTTCTTTATCAACTACCTCCTGCCCAACACTTTAACTAAGCTATTATTTTCTAAAAATGTCCAACATTCTCAAATGTTTGGACACATAACTGAAGAAATTGCAAAAAATGGAAGACCATTCATAAAACCCTCCCTGGACATGCTCATAATATGGCAAATAATTTCAATCTTTATGTGCAATTTAAATCACAAATGTAATTTCTGACTGGGTAACAGCTTAATAAAGAAATCAGAATCCAACAGCAGAAGCACTTCGATGATTTAAAGCAGATGGGCTATTGAAAAAACATATTTTCCTTTCTGGTAGGTTAGTTAGTATTCAAATTTAACATCTGAAGCTCAGTTTGAGTTTGCAAGGTCTGTTATTTAACTTCTGTCAATCCACCCACATGCCTGATTATCTGGAGACAAACAATAACAACAGATACTCCAGTGCTCTAAGCTGCTTTCTGGTAAATGCACTATGGATTTGTTGGTAATCTGCTTTCTTTTCAAAAGCACCATAAAGGAAATAGGGAGAGATGTATCCACAAGAGGCTCTATAACTGCAATTCCATTTCTAATGCCTTGTAACATGTTGTTCAAGCAGCATTTTTTTTTTAAATAGCAAATGAAAATCATTGGCTCCTGGGCTTTGTTCAATGAAAAACAGTTACATTCCAGATGGTTTCTGTGCAGTTGATAAATGTTTTTTTTTTTTTTGGAATAACATGACCTACTGTACATTATATCTGATCTCACTTGCTTGGTTAATGGCTTAATCTATCAGGGAAAATTTAATTGTTTAATTTTTTTATTACTATACTGGTATGATTACCAGTAATGACAGGACTAACTAAAAAATAAGCACAATTCATTCTTACTGTTTACTGAGTCCCAATGATTTGTTTTCATCCACAGAATGGAAGGAATCATGCAGAATTAAAACATACTTTCAAGGTCGGATCCGTCACAAAACATCTCCATCTAAATAAAGCAACAGTTACCTAACACTTGGGAAAGCCTTCTTGTAAATAAATAAAATGGACAAGCTTTTAATCTGCCAAGTTATACAAGAGAAGTCGATTGACAAATGAAATCTGTGAAGCTTGCAATGGAAAATCCCCTATCTGCCTCACTCACTGAACCAGACAAATAGAGCCATAGTTGCTAGGACACGAGTTAATCACGACAAAACTGCTTCTCTTTAGGTCAAGAACACTGCGCATGACAGCATATTCATCACACTACATAGATTGCACTGAAAAGGTCTTTAATTGCATTTGGAAAATCAATAAATAGTTGCAAATTTTCCACAGAGAAACTGGATCACCTGTTCTAAACTTTAAAAAAGTGCTTTTGCATTGGAAACTAGTAAAATGAAATCAACTTGCCATTACATTCTGCTAAGCAATTCCTTTAGTGTTTTGAATAATTATACCCTGTAAAAACAAATGATCTGGAAATCTTTAGAAATGCTAATGCAGAAATGCTTATTGAACAGCAGCTTTGTTACTATGTTTCACAAATGCAAGGGCTTGCTAATTATTAACTAAACAGTGGAGGGGGGGGGTCTGTGGTACAGAGTAAAGTAGATACTTCCATCATTGTTAATTTTCTACACATTCTACATTAAAACCAAATACAGTACATCTAATATTTGCAATATGTATTTAAACATAAGGTCAGTTGTTTTACCACTTACAAATTCAAAGTCATAACAATATGATAGCACCATATTGTTATACGACACACTAAATGGCTGGTCACCACAATAGCAACAATGGGCTCTACTTGCAACTAAAGAAGGGTCTTTAAGTACCAGATCAAAATTCCATTATCCTGATCACTCCCATATAAACACAGGATCCTTTAACAAAAAAGAAAACACCACTCCTAATGTTGTGGTCTTGAGTCCCTTCAGTTTTACAATACTGGACATCTTAACCACTAACCTGCAACTACTTAATCACTAATCATAATTAAAAATTACAGGATCGTTGCTGACAGCCAAACCAGCACACCACGGGCTACAGCTCACATATTGTGATGTTATACCTTTGGTTTGAGGCTTAATTAACAGGGCCTGTACCCAGCAAGTCACACCTGGGCTCAATCAGCCCCCTGGAATCACCTCAATTAACTTCAATTATTTTCTCCAAAAATATTAAAAAACCATGCAACTCAAGCCAAGCTGGATTGACTATTACCAAGATGTATATTGAGAGGTGATGAACTGAAAAACTGGAAAAAAAATGAAAAACTGGAAAAAAACCATGGGAAGATCTTTAATTTAATCATTAATTTATGAATGTAATTTAATAACTCAAATGTAAAGGATACTTTCCCTCCAAAAGATACAAATATGCAATAGTATATAAATATATACTTTATATGTTTCACATATATTATGTATTATTATATGCTTTATAAAAAATGTTTTTGGGGGGTGGTAGAGTAAAATAGGATTATTTTTTGCATATATCTTTGTGTATATGCATTTTGTTTTATAATTTCATTGTTCATTTTTCATATGATTATTATGGAAAATATTTGATGGTAAAAAAACTAATTAAAAAAATCTTCTCTGAAGTATACAGCATGTGATGCAAATGGCAACAGGAACCATCCATTCATGCAATAGCAAAAGAAAATGTTTGAAAAGAAAATCTGTTTTAAAAAATAAAGGGTACTTAAATGTACTTGCATTTTTCCAATTCATTTAATTCAATGTCAGAATGCCACTACCTGAGAAATCCATTTAAATTCATCTGGCTTCATGTACAAACATCTTCTTTTAAAATATGAAATATTTGAGAAATGCAATATTTTCTATTGCTGTCTGAGAAATTGCATCGGGAAAAAAACAGCCTATCCCCTGCATAAGAACAGAATTGTACACCTACAATAGACTGCCCAGGCTGCTGAAATGATGTTTGCTAAATAAATATTTTCTCTTAAAAAGGATCTTTGGCCTTGGTTTCACACAGCACTAAATAAAATGAGGGTACTCACAAAAAGGGTTATAAGAATGTAATATTGAATGAAAGTATTGAATTAAATTCAAATTTCTTCCAAGGCAATTATCAATTATTTCTTTGATAGTCAAAAGTCACAACTCGCACATCTTTTTGAACAGGTTATGGACAGGGTCTAATTCCACATGAATTTCATTCTTCAACACTATTGGAACCCTTACTATGGGGTGGTGCTCTCCATGATGTTGTCAAACTCAGCGATGACCATCATGTAAGTTGATTGTAAATTAATATTCATCTGAGAACATGACACATGACCACTGTTGCACCATATATCCATGTTGCACTGGAACAACTGCATGGCACTGGATTGTCCCACTGAGGAAGGCCCACCTTTTAAGTGTAGCTGAAATCATTTATTTCATTTCATGTAGTATTTAAAATTTGGGTGTCTTTCAAACTATAGATTCTTCTCTTGGCTCAGCTTCAAATGCTTGTAAGAACCTCCTCCGCAGTGTAAAATTGAAATATATTCTGCCTCAAAAATATGACTAAATACATTAAAATGGTTGCACTAATAAAAGCAAAAATAATGAGAACAAACTGTGACAGCTGTTGTGTCAGTTAACTTTGAAGGAACTTTGGTCCTTCAGAGTTAATGAGCATTCTGAGTTTTTGTTCAAATTGAGATGAAAATCACATGCTTAAATGATCATAAGCTTTTCCAAGACTTTATAAACTGATGATCTATTATTAATGTAATAATATTTCTGCACTGAGGTTGTCCAGGAGCAGGGCTGGAGATGCCTGCAATAGAATAAAGTGCATCAATACTGTGGTGTGATAAAAAAGGCATTTCTGCTTTCACGATTCAGAGATCTATTAAGCCATAGATCAGAAAATGAGTTAACTGCGTATCACTCTCCTTCATTCATTTCTAAAAACAGTAAGTGTGTGACCCAGATTCTTCATGTTTTCTGCCTTCTAGAATTACCTTGTTTGATAAGATTCAAACATCTGAATCATAATCTTTTCTGAAGTTCCCCACAAATAACATTTGAAACATTTAATCTGAAAGCATTTTTTCTAAGAGAATCAAAGCTTTTAAGTGTAGACAAGCACTCATTTTCTATTCACCTCTACCTGTATAATTTTATAAATACTGCTTATACATTAGCTGATATCTAACACATATGAGAAACCAGACTTTGTTAGCCTCTTTCAGTACGGGAGTATCTGATCATTTTAAGCTTTACACAAATGACATCTTGAGTATTTTCCCATTTATGGTGCTATGACATGATCTTTCAAACTTTACAAATCAGTGAAAAACAGTTTTAGTGTCCTAACATTGTTTTTCCACAAATGTTTGAAAGAAACTCTCAGACTCATTCCACAGCTTAGTGTTTTAATAGTTATGTCTTTTAAGAACACAAAATGATACGGCCATCCATACAGAACAGTTCACATTCCCATTCTAGAAAAAAAAATGACTGTAGTTTTCTTCAAAAACCGAAATGGTTCCATACAAATTTGATGATTATAATTATCAAAATGTGAGGAAAAGAATTCATTACTATAATGTTAAATCATAAAAGCATAAAAAGCACTATACAATTTAACAAAGAAATTAAAAAAAAGACAAAGGCAAAAAAGATCAGTTTTTAAATTCTTGATTTCTCATCTTACAATTTAAAGACTGGACATTTTCTTATTGTTAGTTTGATATTACAAGTTGATTCAGAAATATATTCCTTTGAGGATCACAGTTTTGCAACTTTCAGAAATCTTGTGAAATCATCAATTCTTGTTAAATGTAAAATGGGACCAATTAGCCCTCTTGAAATGACTTACTTGAACAAAAGTGACTTTTTTATTTAAGAAGACAGGTACAAGGAATGCGAGAAGTCTGTAACCATTGAATTCCAGGGTTCTAAAACGGGAGATAAACGGGAGCTAAGGGTACATTTCTTTTTCATGATCCAGTTGTTTTTTATCACTAAAACAACCTACACTAAAATAAAGTCAAAAACTGTTTTAGAAAGAAAATGTGCAGTACAATTAAATTCAATCACCATCTAGCAAAAAATACTGTAAAATCCAACTGCATAATCAAATGATAATAATTAAATCACAATACTATTTTTAAAAAAGAACATAAACATTAATGTTATTATCCATTCAAGTATTTCCCAATGAATAGCAAAAATACATATAAACTCTTCATTCCTGGATTCTTAAGCCATCTGCCTCAGGCAAAAATTTCTTACTGTCAGTCTTTTCAGCTCTGCCTAATTCAGGTATAGTGAAATCTTTCCATGGTCTCCCATTGTGGAATAAAGGGTTTATAAAAATAGGACCTAGGAACTTTTCAGAAAGTGCATTTCTCTAAAATGTACCATTGTCCTATAAGTCAAAGACAAAAGCCTTTCATAGCACTATGTACAGAGTCATATGCCAAAATGAGAATTAAATTACTTCATCGTGATGGCACCAATCAAAATAACCATGGTAACAGTCAGCTTAAAACTACAGAAACAAAGAATGCCCCCCTCCCCCCATCACCAATAACCCCCCTTTAGCAAACCAACAACTACTAATGGGATTAATAGAAACATGCACCAGTATGACCAAGAAAGATTTTTATTCTGATAGTACCTACCTCTTTTAAGCAATATAAAGGATACAGTGGGATAATGATATGTTGCAATACTAAGCTATACCTGCCGAACATTGTGTATCACATCTACGCTATTCCAGAATATAAAGGAAACCAATGCCCTCCATAACCAATAAGGTAACTTCAACAGACACTGTTTAAAAATAACTATAATAATATTTGACCAAAATGGGGAAATAATATACAATGACAAGTAAATAACCATTACAACACCCGTCTTTTACACCAAATAGCTTTAAAAAAATGTAAGTTGTATAAATCAAAATGTGGGAATAATTTGCATCCTTAACTTATCAAATTCTATTGTCATCTACGCGTGGACTGATATTTTTGGTTTTAACTGCCCATGTAAATAACAAATGTTTTGCATTTGTCCTTTGGTTTCACAAGTATGCATTTGAGGCTAAACATCAATGGAAAATTTTGTCTACAGTACATGGGCTGAATATTTTTTATTTAAATTGGTCTCTAAAAATTCAAGATAACCCAAAAACAAAATTCCACATATTTGATACAGAAATTGACCTGTATTTAAAGTATAAAAAATCCTATGAAAGTCCCACTCCACCTAATAAAGTGTATGGCACTTAATTCTAGTTTATGGCTGGAGGAATTAAGCCTCTGTACAAGTATACAGTATATATGATAAGGTAATCTTATCTTAGATGTCTGCCTCACTTAATCAAACTGCTGATAAGCTACTCCTCCATAAATCCACACAAAAGAGAGAGCTGAGTTGGAGGTTTAAGTAGTCTTAATGATTGTATAACAGTCAACATTTTGTACAAATTTATTTACTGCCAAAACTAAGAAAAAGTGAATCTGTGTGCTTAGACTCTTGTAGTTAAGATGTATTCTGTACAAAGGCTATCTTTCATTATGAATTTCTTAATCTTAAAGAACAGTGAAAAAAAATTACACCCATGGTATTCTGTAATGGTACACAATTTCCTTCCTATTGCATAAATACCGACTCTCCAGTAAAAAAAGTAATCGTAATGCGATTAGCATTTGATGTTTCATCACTCAAGTGGGTGTACATCACAATAAAATATTAATTAAGAGAAACTGACATCTAGAGTTGAGCGGAGGAGTGCCATAATTGCTTAGTGCAATTCCATTACCTATATAAAATATGCTCAGGACTGTGATAAAGAGTGCAATCACAGAAGCAAACACAGAAAAAAAGAAAAAGTGCAATAGGTGCATTTAACAATATTCCCCATTACCAAGCTACAATTTTCAAAAGTCACATGAGGTTACATTATCAAGCACATACAGTACATTATTGCTAATCTTAAAGGATTCCATCTCTGTATTTAAAACATCTAAATCCCCCTATCAATAGCACATACTAACAAAAGTTTCTCTTCTCAAAAGAATCTGCAGATGTGGATTGATTGTGAAAACACAATTTTGATCCGATGGTAAAGAACACAGTTGAATGATAGCAACATCGAGGATGTGTTGTCATCTGCTTAGGTTCAAACAGCTGTCTGTTTTGTCTCACTGATTTGTATTACCGGCTGAGCAGGCAAAAAACAGCCACGGAATCCTATGAGACTCAAAAATAAATGATAACTTTGTCTCTCTTCTTCATGTCTTGTTTCTGGTGAACATCCGTTCTCCTCTTAGAGTCAGATGCTGAAGCTGGTACTGCAGTACCTCAGTATCTGCAGGCTCCCTGATGCTCATTTTGTCCAAGTTGAGGTAGTCCAAAGATTTGGAATGAGCCCTCCTGCCCTTTAGGAGACAGAGAGGTAGAGGACCATGAAGGACTTTGCTAGGCTCCACAGAAGACTTGAGGCTATTCTCACCTGAACTAGGCATGCGTCTTCGTCTCCTCCCATTGACAGCTGGAATGTCGTAAGGCTGGTAGTATCGGCTCTTGGTTTTATAAACCCGGGAAGCCCGGTGCAGCCCTAAATCCAGAGGTTTTGTGCGTGGGCTGGGTAAGGCCTCTGCTGCAGTCTTCTCGGTGCTTGACCATTTCTGAGCAAGTTTTAAAAGCTCCTCCCCGGTAGTGAAGCCCACAAGATAGTTGGAGTCCATGTGGAGGATCTGGTAGCCCGAGACCGTCCTTTTGATAGGAGAACATGGCGTACTTGAGCAACGAGGCTTCTCAGGTTCGGACTTTGATGGAGAATTGATCTCGCTGGAAGGTGTAGGCAGAATGGACATGGAAGTCCTGGAAACTCCACTGATATCCACCTCCATCTTTTAAGAGCTGACCTTGCTATCAGAGAGATGAAATACAGAATTAGCATGTGGCTGAGTTAATGACAGCTGATTTATTTGTAAAACCTTGACATTAAATTACAGCAAATTCTACACAAAATACATTTTTTTTTGTTTCACTTATTTCTATATATATACAGGAGACATTCACAAATTTGTCCATTGACCTCATCCCTTTTGATATAAATGTTATTTCCATTTCCAAATATTTACCCATGGGACAAATGGTTAGGCTGCAATTTCTCAACAAATATTTATTCCAATTATTCTCAGAGGAGCTCAAAGTTAAACCTTTTTTTGGTGTCTCCACCCTTCCATAACATATTCATGTACTGATCACTGATAAACACAAAAAAAAAATTATATTGTTTTAAAACTTAAAACTTATAAATGGGCTTGTGTAAATAATTTCTTATGCCTGTAAGAAATAGGTCTATTTGACCTCAGTATTAAAAAAGCTAATTTTGTTCCACTTTTATAATATATTTCAGATTTTTTTAACAGTACCCAAGCATGATTTTATCAGGTCATTGATAACTCTTTCACGATTTGTACAAGATCATTCAGTAGAATCTTTTTGACCGTTAGGTTTTTTTGAGCAGAAACAAATTCAGCTCAGGAATCACTACACCTAAAGGATCTAGATAATATTACTGTAGATGAACCTGATCAGGAATCAGGAATGCAGGATCTTAGGGTCACTGAGATCTTTATACTATCCTATTGTCCTGTCTGATATTGAGTGGGACTGCCCAATTCGTGTCCTGGAGGGTTGGTACGTTAATGGATTTTCATTCCATCTCAGATCTTTATGAGCTACACCAGATGTTGATACCTAGAAAACCCACAAATGCAACACCCCTCCAAGACCAGGACAGAAAACTTTTGATCTAGAGGTGTTGCAGGATTCTGTACAGTACCACTTTGAATTTACAATCTCCAATTAGCTATACCCACATGACTGGGAACAGCTAATTGTGTGTTTTTCCTGTATTGGATCTCAGCTACAAACCCCATTACCACATATAAGGGTGAATCAGGAAGCATAGGCAGACTTTTCCAACTCATTCAACCTTGAGGCATTCAGCTTTTAACATGTCACAGACAACACAGCCTCATACTGGAGGATTACAGTCGACTGGAAGAGAGACATGTCCCTCTCCAACAGCATCAATTGTCGGAATACAACCAGAAGCTGAGAGAGCCCTAACTGACAAATCCTGCCCTACCCTCAGCAGCGCTCAGCCAATTGTGAGCTGCAGGAAGGAATTCCAGTCACAGTGGGCTAAGATAAGATAAGATAACTTTTTAGCCATATACAATTTTTTGCATTAGGACATTAGGCTTGCATTAGCCTAGTGACATGACCTATGCTTGAACTCGTGACTGTGCTTGGGCAAGGGCCTTTGCTGATTGAGCTACTCAGGAGGCCCTATAATATTGTTACATTTCAATCCTGGACAGAATCTACAAGAAAACATGCAATAACGTATTATAATGAGCATCCTACAGAACATTAACCAAAATCGAATCCATCCTGGCCAAAATTCCTGCCAGTACACTGTAGAAGCAGTATGGAGTGCTGGTTAAAACTTTGAACTCTTGATCCAAAGGCTGTAGGATGAAATCCCAAATGTGGATGTTTCTGATTATATTTAAATTTAGATCTCTAAATAAACATATTTAATTAAAACATTATTATTCGCAGAGCACTGTACACTGTACATATCCCTCAATGACAGTGTCTTGCCTAAAGGGACTTGAAAGGATAAATTCAACACAGACACATACCCGATTGCTAACATCCAAACCTGTTCAACCAAGCATGGGATAAGGATTAGTCCCATCAAGAAATGAACCAAAACACCAGACACTAGAATATAGGTCAGGGTGATCTAAAATTTACAAGCTGACAATATTTGACAAAGAACACACCAAAGCAAAATAATCAGATTAAACTTTAAATAGCTTAGATTTCAATAATGCCAAGCTCTTTTCCTGATGTTTCCTGATGTTTACAGAGAGGACAAGCAAAAAAAAAAGATTACATTTTATTTTAGTTGACATTTGAGCTATGTATAATGTTGACAAAGGAAGAATATGGTTTACAGGTAAGTAAACAATTGCCAAACAATTGCTTGTCAGATTTTTGGCTTCAGTAGATTTTTGGAACCAAATTAAAAAAAACCTGTCACGTCCACTGTAATCTGTCGGTAGTAGTAGAACAAGCTTCCATCACCTTCACAGTAAACCAAAGAAATTTACTTACTGTATGTGCAAACACATTCATTTTTCCCCAATATTGTTGGTAAAAATATTATATACCAGTAAAGAAAAATATTAGATACATTTCAACATATTTCAGAAAATGTGCTACGGAAGGCTGAATTATATAACAATAGGCAAATTACATATTGACATATTAGAATCTGTCCTGCTGTCTCAGAGATGCCCTCTTCAGGTGCACAGTGTTCTTGAACTGGACATCCAATGCAAGTTGGAAACATGCCAAAGCAACAACTTTGATCAATAACATGCAGAGGTGAAATATGTGGTGAGAAGGTCAAAAAAGCAAACTGAATCTGCACTATGTTATTTGATTTTATGAATATCTGGAGCTAAGCAAACAGGCTTGTTCACTGGTTCACTGCATCCTGTGGCATTCCTTCAGGCCTTCACAGTGATGCTGCAGGGTACCTAAAGCAATCAGCTGTACACACCGAAAAAAAGAACACTGCATCCACCCCAAGACAAGTACATTTCTTAAGGATTTCCATTGGAAATGGAAAATCTTTAGAAGAAAATTTTCACGTGAAAGATCGGACATGTTAAAAACATAATGAAAGGCTCTGTTGTTATTTCAAGTATGCCAAGCTATAAACAATTTAGTAAGTTGACTCCTTTCAGTGTCCAGTAATAATACTAGACAAAGTAAACAAAACTTAGCTATATTCAAACTTACTTAAGTAGATGGACAACACATACTTGCTTAATGTTTTTAAATTAACAATAGTAATTCAAAAAAAATCATGTCAAATAAGATACGACTTAGAAACTGGTGTCAAATACATTTAAACATTAAAAGAAAAAAAATGCATAATTACATGTTCCTTTCTTAAAAAACAACACTGCTACTTGCCAATGCAAATTTTCAAGAGTCCTCTAACCTCTTCTTTAATACAATGGAGAACACCCATACTGTGCACGGAGGATATAAGAAAACAGGTGTTAGGCTGTCACTGCTCACAATGTACCATACACACTACAAAACTGTGGCATTGTAGATAATCAAGGTAAGCAAAAACATCAAATGGAACAAAATCTAATCTAGCCTGAAAATTCCTAAGTAAGTCATATCCAGGGTATAACCCCACCTTGAAGCCTGTCTCAAAAAGCACAGTGTCCAGCACACCATGAAACACCTAGAAATAAAGAATGGATGAAGAACAATATAATGTCCACTATATTAAATGTTTACACTATAGTGTAAATCTAGCACACATACATGATTCAATCCCTTACTTTTGATCAAATAATAGTATTTATTGACCTGATGATCTCAATGTGTCCTAAATGGCCTTCGGAAACCAACTATAGTTTGTTTTTGGCACCTACAACTCGCTCTGTTCTCATTTGTTTCCATAGTTGTTCCTCGCTGAGCACAACGTAATCCCCTATGCCTTTTTGGGTCGTCTCCTAACATCCTCCATCAGTTTTAAAACACACGGGGCACATAACTGCTACAGTAGTTCACACAAGATCAGAACAGAACCAGTCAAACCTAGCCAGCATGTTTATAGAAGACAGGAGGGAAACACAAACCCCACACCCTAGCATTACACTATTCAAACCATTAGAAACCATACTAAAACCATTACATTAGGACCTTAAAATGAATAATAAGGCATAATACATGATCATATGGACAGTAAGGATTCAAGGATTAACATTAGTTTAAATGTACTGAATACTTCATTTGCAATTAATTCAAGACAAAACCACAGTGCCAGCTGTCACTTTGTGAAGACCTTCTACTTGCTTCACACCCACTACTCAAATGGGAATTGTCTAACATTCAATAGAAATGCAATGAATCAGCAATGGCCCACTCTCACCCCTATAACCACACAAAGTCATCAATATTCCTGACCCATTTATTAAAAAAAACAAACGGTGGCCTTTTAAATGCTGATTGTTCCAAAAAATGAGCAGACTGAAATGGGAAATGATTTTGTAAATCTTATGTTTTCACAAGCAGCTACAAAAAACACCTTTCACAACTCCTCATCAATACAGAATGTAGAGTAGAAGCAGTGTTCTCCCTTCACATAGAGTTTGCTCAGTCTTGCAATCCTCTGTACATAGCTTAGAGTTCCTAACCAAAAAAACAAGAGCAAGCTGTGTGCAGAGTAACACCCTATCAGATTATCCCAGAGGATTTCTTCTTATTTGTATTTTTTACTTCTAATAGAAGTTCAAATGTGGTTCTTATCATACAAATATATTTGAAAAGACTTAGAAACACAGGATTTACTGATGAATAAAGAAATATCACACATTTTTCAAAACCTATAGAAGACGCTTATGATTCTTTTTTCAGTCAGTAATGTCAGGAGAAAAATTCTGTTTTGCCTTCAAATCACGAGCAGCTCTGAATATATACATTGTCTTACCTGCAGTGATCCAAAGGTAAAGCACAACTCATTCAGTTTCACCCTCTCAAGGCTTATGCATTCAGTAAGCAGAGAAGAAAATGTGTCAGCAGTGCTACAGCCATTTAAGGGAGGGGATATCTGAATAGCTAATCAAAAGGAAGGTCATCTGTGAAATCGTATGTAAAATATTAGGAGAGAGGCCTTTTGTGTCTACATGTAATGGAAGATGTAACAGACACTATCCTGGTCTAAAATACTTTCAGGATATGCATCTTTTTATGCGTTGCATATTATGCATTTCTGCAGATTCACACCATCCATCCAATTATTTTTAAAAAGTCCACATTATTTTTAAATCAGCATGAAAGGAAAACCGAATGCATATTATTTTAACGTGTTAGTGAAAGGTTCTTATAAATGAGAATTTACCTCGGTCCTAATAAAATTAAAGCATGGGTAAAGGGTAAGGTAAAGGTAAAGGTTAGCCAATCTAATGTTCATTCTGCCTATACATTTTAAAAAAAACTCTCGATGAATCGCAAGGTGGAAACGTGTTTAAATCATCGACATTTTTTGAAACCTTGTCGACACCTGTGCTGCACAGTTTTTCAGTTGTCAGCAAACACAGTGACGATGCGGAAGACAAACAGAATCAAACACAGAGGCCCAACAGCGCATGTTTGTTCAGTTCAAAGACAATTAAACTCAGGACAGTGACATTACATTCCCCCATTTACCGTATGTTTGTCGACTATGGTCACAAATAACTGGTTAAATACAAAAATGACAATCCATAAACCAAAACCAAACCAGTCCCATCATATCAGATACATACAGTACTGTATATAACCCCACCCTCAACGGCAGCATTTGTCCTACACTACACAGAAAAGGAAGTCAGTGCATCAATGTTTTAGCGCCGCGTAACCTGAACATAACGAAACCCCTTGACAAATTAAAAAACACGATAGTCACAGTAATTCAGTATGCTCATTATCGTTTATTCAATAGTAATTCTGTATGCTCATTTTTATTTTTTTCTGCGTTCTTTGGCTTTACTGATTACCAGTTTCCATAACACTGCAATAAAAAAAAGCCCTGAACGGGAATGTTTTTAATATTGTATCGTAACGATAGAACATTTTGCGATGCATTTTATTGAATAATAATCTAAAACAACAACAAAAATGTACAAACCTTTGAACAGAGCGCAGATGTGAAGCTACCCAAATGCAAAGTAAGACGGATCTAGGGATGAGACCTCCAAGCTCTTCCGACGGTCACATGACACAGTGAGCTCATCTGGGCAGGACCTGCTCACAGCCAAGCTGTGGGACGTTGTGCTACGTGAGAGGAAATTAGTGAGAAGTAAATAAACACATATCAATGAGGGTTTAGGGGGCATTGAAACAGATTTCTTAAGAAGAACGGGTATTCAGACTAGTGAAGGACTGTGTCAGGCCCGTTTCAGACGGTTTAAAGTGTAATTCTGAATTTAACGTGGTACAGTAGCTGTGATGAAGCATGTGGAGTAATTGAAAGTCATATTTTTTTGTGCAACGCTTGTATACAGTAAGTGTGATAGATAAGGGATTAATAAATGTCCCAAAACCGTTGATTTGAAACGTTAAATTTCAAGTCTGTAGTTTTTTATTAAAAGGTATTCATTAACGTTTGCGTGTTTAAATACGTGTATCTAACACATCTGGATTCAGTGTAGCGGGGCTTGGAGCACATAGCTACTGTACATTTGCAGTGTAAACATGCCCCTCTTTACGGAACGGACACTACTGCAGTCTGGGGGCTCGTTGTCTTCATGGGATGCTTCTCATTTAACACTGCAGTCTTACCGATTGGTCAGTAGCTTTTTCGTATGTTTTTTAAATCCACTGTCATTTTAAAAGTCAGTTTAATTACAAGCTTCTGCTGGATGTGGAAGCATTTCAAGCAACTGTTAGCTTTTATTCTGCTGTACATGTAAAAAAATAATAATTGAGAAGGATAAGACAGTGGGGGAGTGTTTGACAAAGCAGTCCTTACTCTTTTATTGGTAGGAATTCTCCCATTGTACTGGACTGGAATAAGGTTTAACAAATCTGTGACCTCCCTGTCTTGTCTCTTTGGGCCAATTTAATCATTTCCTTCATTCGGCTATGAGGTCAGCCCATTGTAATTTTGGTTTTTGTACTCTTCCAACAATGCCCCAAAGTTGTATCCTTTCATTTATTTTTTGACAGTTTTCCAAACCTGCTGTTATACTGTCACCTTCCAAAATCATTTTGCAGTTTGAATCAATTTCTTTGATGGAGAAGTTGGAAATATCCCTCACTATTTAATTCACTCTGATGTGAGTTTACTCAGAAAGTCTATACATAGTCAGGATTCATCCACCATCCATTTTCTCATCACTTCATCCAATTCAGTCATTGTGGCTGATTGGGGAGCCCACAAGTCACACCACCTCACCAAGATTGATGGGGAAGTTCAATCGAGACAGTCTGTACAAGTGTTTTCGGTATAGGACTCTAAAAGTACTGATTGATGACAGCGTGACTGCGACATTAATCATATACTGGGATCTCATTTTCTTTATGAGCAACAGGACAGAATCTCACAAGATGACATCCAAGTGTGAAGCATACATCACAGACATACAGCTTGATTCCTAATATGACCACACACATAGTACTAATCTCTAACTTTCACGGTAGAACCCCTTTCAATCAATTCTGTTGAAGACCAAGGCTAATCAGCATAATGAATTTACCCATGTAATACCTTTTTGATAAAATGTCATTTCATCTGCAGACAACTAGTGCTCAGTATTATAGTTATTAGCACTCTGTGGTATTCTGCTTTATCTTATCAGTGTTTAGACCAGACAGATGTTCTACAAGGTATGAAATATTTTTATTCGCTGCCAGAATTTCATTACATTTATTCTTCGATAGTCTTTCTCCTTTCTAAACTACAGTATTGTGTCCTCTTCTAAAAACCTTCAGGTTTTCATTTTCCCTTTGCTCTTGCCTCTCATACCTACAGTATGTGGGGCGATCAGTTTCCTGTGCACATCCTTTATTTCCTCCTTCTTCAAGAATTCTTTAACTCTTTGTAGCATTTCACATTTTACATTTGCCATTTACAGCTCTAAACCTGGCTTTCAGCAGAAAACACTGAAGCACTTCATAAAACAACATTTATTTGTAGTCCCATAGCTTCTAAGATGTTGCATGTGCTCTTCTGAGGTCAAGATTTGCTTCTGCGAAGTTGTGAGTTCCAGTGAGCTACTTGATTTTGATCTGCGGAAGAATTTCATAAGGTGCAGTGATTTGTATATTTTAAGCTTTATATTAAAGCCATTAACTTTATGACATTTTTTGTCATAGCTTAAATAATTGTGGAAGATGAACCCAATTCTTATTCAGATTGTTCAAATTTTTTTTTGTACTGTATATCACATGAGGAAGAACTGTGAAGAACAAAATGTCAAAAATACTTGTATTACTTGGATAGCATATTTTTTTCCATAAGTCTCAAATTGATTTTGAATGATTCGTGCCTTGTAAAAACAAGACTGTCATTTCTTTTGTTTCACTTTTAACTCAAGAAAAGCTGTTCTGTGTTTTGTATAGCATCCCAGACCACAATGGAATAGTAGATAATCAAGATGGTGTCATAGCGTGAACAAAAAGTGTTCATGAGAAAATTGACCATGAGATTCTGCTAAAACCTTTAAACTGTTTTGAAGTTTGTGATGCATATCTTGCTGCTTAAGAATTTTGACCGCAGATTCCTTTTTCAAACAGGCTTCCAACTATCTCTGGTGATGGCCATAATATATTTTGCAAACTTAAACAGTAGGTTATTTTTTTTAGATTTTCACAAAAGAAAAATTCTACATTTACTTGAAAAACCTAACTTACATGATCAGTATGCAGTAATATACATTTACACTTAATATACCATATATAATATGAAACTACAGTACATTTAAAAGCAAATAAATATAGTTCAACATTTGAAGTTTGACAGACTGTTGCAAACTGAAATTCTAATCATCCTTTTTCAGATTGGAGAGGATAATACTTGCACTGAGCTGTGACTCCAGTGGCAGTTTTCTCAAGATGATCTGCACCAAACATTTAGAAGATTCCATCTGTTGCTACTGTATGTCTTTTTATCGCAATAATAATTCAACATGATATACTGGTATTAAACATCTAAAATTAGTATTTCAAAAATTTTAATACACCAGCATTTTAATACAGAGAATTAAATTAAAAATACAGTACACTGTGTGCATAGTACTACTACAGTATGTTGTGTATAATCAATATTAGTGAAAGTGACAAAGTACAGCTGGGAGAGAACTGCTGAGGCTGGTTAGGGATAGATTTAGGTTGGTGTGGTAAGACCAACTCCTGGAAGACTTGGATTTCTTTTTACAGTACTTCTGGCTTGGTTTCACTTTAAAATCTGCTGGAGTTTCGTGGCTTACTGAGTTGATAGAGGTGTTGAAATTAGCTTCGTTCGAGCATAAGAAAAAGAAAAGCCATAGCTAATTGAGGTCTGGCTTTGGTAATTGCAAATGCCAAATGCGAAAAACCACCATCGAGTAAGTAAAAAGCTAATACATACAGTACATCCATCTGTTTTCTAACCACTTCTTCCAATTAAGGATATCGTGGTATCACTCTTGTGAGGCAATGCAATGGAAAAGAAATGAAATGAAATACTTCTATTGTTTTTTTTTTCAGTTTTAGCAGAACTAGTACAATTTATTGAATAAGGGATTTTGAAACACAAAGTATAAACAACTTCATACAAATTTTCAAAAGGCAACCAAAATTTAAATTTGGATTTCAGCTGTGATGTTTCATGACTCGACGAAAAAAAAACCCCGAAAGCAGTGTTTCACACACAGAAACAACTCTGTTATACATCTTTCATAATATAATTTACCCAATTAATATAAAAATAATGTACAATAGGACATTGCAGTTTTATTTTGAAAACTTGTACACATTTTTTTTAAAAACCATATTTTGTTTAATTTGTCACCCTGTATAATAGACACCAAATTATATCATCTGGTGAAACATTTGTAATTGTAGATTTAAAGGTAGTTAAAAATATATATATATACATATCCGGGGTTTCAACAAGGTTCAGGCTAAATATATACAGCATGGCTCTTCAATGATGATGGAAATAAAATAAAGTAAAATGCTTCACAAAGCAAATATAAGGCAAATCCAAGTCTCGTGTTCAAAATCCATTTCAACATGAAGGAAAGGAGACTCGAGGCTCATGATTGTTTACAGGGAAGATCCTTTAGGTGTTTCTTGTTCATCGCTGGTCTGTTGCATGAGCACATTGCCTCCAGGAATGTTGTGTGGTGACAGATCTGCAGGAGAGGGTGGACCAGCACTTGACACTGGGCTTGAGGGTCCACTGCTCACTGTAAGAAACAGAACACGGCTTTGATTCAACAGAAGATATTAGCATTAGGATCTTATGTCTGATTCACTGATGGCTCTTTTTGTTTTATGTTTTTAAACATCAGCAAGTTTCAATTGCAGGCCTAGGAAAATAGCAGACGTTTTTTTTTCTCTAAAAATTAGGTCATGCTGGGTGGGATATTTTTTAGCATTATTAGCTGGAATCATTTACAATATCATAATTATGATTATTTGCACTAGAAAATGTTCTATTCTGTTGAATATTTTTGGGTTATCATGTTCAATAGCTAGCAGAAATATATGCAGATATGTATATACTGTATATATACAGGTATGTTTTTATATTAATATCAGTTGATAAACTGCAAACTAAATAGACTCTGGGATTAGTGATCTGCATCAACTGTGAACTTTGCTCTAGGGACTGATAAAACTAACATTCAGTGGCTATGATGAATTTATGAATTTATGAAGTGAAATGCACCTTTCTTTATTTTATACAGTACTTAGCAGAGTTTTACCTGTGAAATAGAATCAACAAAATACAATACTATTGTATGCAAAAAACAATTTAAAATGTGGACATGTTGCTACATTTGAAAACCAGCAATAAATTCACTTCTACAACTTCTCTCTTTGGCATCAACTACCTGTTGTGTACAAATTAAAAAATGTCTACTTTCCATTCACTTCTACAAAGAAATATACATTTCTTTTGTTTTCTTAACCACATCCTTTATCTACATTTTTTCTTCAATAACAATTACAAAGTTATTACTTACTGAATCACAGGGACTGCTTTGTGTATTAGACCATTACAGTGCACCTGCTTGGTGTGCAGTCTATATAGGCTCAGACAGGGTACAAAATGAATCAAGGCCAGGATTCTGGCACACTTGTCACACATGCTGAAAAATAATCATGCATGTTGGACACCCATGATCTAGATAATAGAGGAACCAGCAGCGTTGAGCTGGTCCCTATGAAAAGTACATTAATTCTCAATTCTTGTGTTTGTGCTACATTTGTGCTGCTGAAGCCAGAGTTTGTCTTGCCTTAGTTTTTAAGATATTAAAAATTTATCTTTTCAAGGGATTGAACCACCAACATTTGGATCAGTTTTTCATACTGATGTCTTTATCACTTAAGTACAATTATAAATGGGTCAATTTTAAAATTACATTAAAAATCAAACGGAAGATTATGCCATTGAAACTGGGTTATGTGGAAAATGACAACTTACAGGTAGACATATAAAAAATAATTCTTACCAACAGATGCCCTGTCTGATGCTTTCTTGCTTGAAGAATGAGAAAAAGGTGAAGGCAGAATCCTTGCTGGGGTGTATGTATTTAAAGATGTTTTCCTACTTGGTACTGTACCATAACCTAATGTAGAAGCTAGAAGAATCCATACAAGAGCAAACAACAAGTTAGTTAGTTAGTTAAGCTGAATGCCCCTGGGACAATGGCGGAAAGTTATACTTGTAATCAGAACACAAAGTATCATACGTGCGAGTGATCTCTCATACCTCTCTAATGCCAGCTGCTACATTTGTTGTCACAGCAGTGAAACGAGTATTTAGCAAACCGACATATTAAAAAAAAGGAATCACACATCTGTAGTTTGTCAGTAATGAGGATAACACATTTTAAAAGTGCAAAATACATGTGGCCCAAATCCACTCTGAGGCAGCACAAGAGACATCTGGCACAATTATACACATTTGTATTTAATCTATATACAGTTTGTACACACATGGCATGCATACAGATGCACTCTACCTGGGGAAGAGGTTGGTGTTTCCAAAAACGTTTCATTGGATGAAGCAGCGACAGAGGCCAAAAAGTCATCCACTTGTTTAAGGGATAAGGAATTGTGAAGGGTCTCAAGGGGACAGATTGAAGGCACCATGGAATACAATTCAAAACCTAGAAGAAACCATTTCAAGAGATTAGCATGAACTATTTCTTTGATCGACATAAGATGTGAATACTGAATGCAAAGTACTGTAATATACTTATTACTGAATGGAGCAGCAAATGAGTCACAACTGTTTATGATACAGTATGTGAACACAAATGTCAGATGCTACACACTCTAGTACATTACAGAATGGGATGCTTTTCAGAGATTCTGGTTGGTGTAGGTAGGTACCATGGAAGCAAATGAATCACATCAAGCTTGCCCCAAGCTATAATAATACTGTATTAAGGTGGTTTTAATACTACTCCGTATTAAAGGCAGTTTAAATATATGAAAATCCTTACTTACCTTAAATGTGTTAAATCTGACCATTTTTTCTTTCTAATTCCCATGTAATTAATTTTTTTTAAGTTAAAAGATTCTTAGATACCAGAACTTGGAGAAATTAAAGAAAACTTTAAGCTATGTATAGCAAAGAAGGCCCACAGGAACCATAATACAGTAGGTCAAATGGACCCCTTAACCTGAATGAAGGTAAGAGAGGAAAACTGACAGGGCAGAACATTAGAACAGTTATATAGCTTAAAGTATAAAATATGTATATATTTAAATTGTGCTGCAGTATGATCTTAAAATCATATAAATAAACATTATTTTAGATATGATCATACAGCCACTTTTTTCTGTTAAAAATGCAAACTCAGTTACAATTTTACAAAAGCTTCAAACTAAACTCAATTTTTTATACAGTTACCATATTCTAATTATCAAGAGCTGATAGGAATTAAACTGGGAATATAAAAACTAAAAAATGAAGTTATTTTTGTAGCCATCACTCTTGTATAGAAAGTGACCAAACCCATTTTTGCACTGTAATCTGTACTTTTACTTTCTAATTCCCCATACTGAGTTGCTCCTAATGCCACCTGATGTGCATTTAGGCAATTGCCTAAAGAATCTCTTTTATTAACTGATACTGCCAATGCAATCTGAAGGATTTGGCAAGAGGAAAGTCTAGCTACCTGCAATAAGAAACAACAAGGAAATGTTCATTACTTCTTGCCATTCGATCATGATAATTTATATCATTGGTGCCCCTGGAAATTTGGTAACAGATTTCTTTGAAAAGCTTGTCACAGGTATGGGTTTTCACAGAAAGCTCATTTTGAGCTTGTAGCTGCTGTGATTACCCTAAGATACTACTCTTTTCACTGTAATTTACAAGGGTGCAGTTTAAATGTATATTTGTGAATGGGTGCCTAATACATTGCAAAGCCAACCTGCTCCTGACTGATTCTAAAACATCCAAGATTACCAAGCATTTTTGTAGTTTTGGAATAAGTGTCAGAAAAAACAATTTACAAAGCAGATTACTTCTGCAATTAAGGCTTAGTTATTGCAGCAAGAAAGAACTAGAAATTCAGAGAGCAGACAATTAATTAATTTGTTTACAGGAGCAGTATTATATCCTACATATTTTATTCTGGACTTAACACTCAGGATTTTATTACAAGTGACCTGAAACACTGGTATGTTTCTCATTAAAAGTAATGTGCTGCGTATTCCCGTTGACATATACTGACCATTTGTATTGCGACTCAACACAAGGCCTTTTGAAGTCTGCATACTATGTCAGCTATTGTTTTTAGCAAACTAAAAGGAAGGATATGCCACTGCATGTATTTTCTGGTGTGAAAATAAATTATACAGTATATTGCTTTCAAGAACTGTGTTGAAATCAGGTCTTAGTTATATTTAAGTTATTAGTGTATTTTCATCATATTAAAGCTTAATGATAGACATTATAACATGTTTGTATTCTGTGATGGTATAGGTCACTTTGCCTTTCAAGATACAAAAAAACTTTTGGGAACATTGTACTATTGCCATGGAAGACAAATACATGCAAGCAAACAAGCTTATTACATAAAAACACAATTCAGTGTAAACCCATTCATTTAATTTTCAACACTGAAAAAAGCATATTTATACAAGAAGAAATAAACAGGAATTGTAGCTAAGATGGAGACGTGTTTTGACCAGCAACAATAAAATGATTTAGATTATTATTGTAGTCTGAAACAATTACAAGATGCAGAAGTGTTTAATGTCTCTGCAATAGAGCAAAAAAACAATAGATTGAGAACTAATTATAAGTTAAGTCTAAGTACCTTTTATAAGTATCAAGTATAAGTACCAAGTACCTTTATATGTTACAATATTATCTACAAACCTACAGATAATAAGAAAAGTTATTTTTTCAATGACTATACAAAGGTAAAACATGTTTTCAATATTTTTTTACTTACTGATTAAGGACACACATGTAGAGTTCACAAGTCCTCTCCCCTATTGTACTTCTACTTGACAAATATTTGCCTTAACCTTCTCATGCCAATAAAAAAAAAATACAGCACTTCTGTTGACCTGCTAAGAGATCTTTTTAATGTGGTTCATTAATTCTTTAAACCAAATGTACATTGGTACCAGTTATGTCACCAAAAAGAGTATAACTTTAATATTGTGTATTTAAAGTACAGTAAATCTTGAGCAGTTGACATGCAAATCCTCTTAAGGTATTTACAAGAGCATGGAATAATGCTGAAAGGGTTTACACAAAAAATAAGCTGCCTGGCCTCAAGCACAAGCCTAAAGCAACATACCACTGAGGTCTACATATTCCAGGGAGGTAACAGACAAACACCTGATCAGGTGTGGCTGCTCTAGGTCGAGGCCCAAAAAATAGGGTAAGGCACTCTCACACGACACTTGTTTCACCATTTTCCCTTTATTAAAGGTACGAGGAGAGGAAGAGAGGTCTGCGGAAGGGGTTAAGGAGAGGGGATCAGATAAAGTAGAAAAAAGAAAAAGGCAGCTGTAATTTAAAAGAAACAATAGTTTAGAAATTTACCCACCGAACGTAACAATCAACACTTACCACACAACATACTGGAAAACACTGAGGCATTAAGAAATGCAGATTAAAAAACAAAAACAAAAATGTATGAAAGTATGATGCCCAACAAACCTTTCTTATAAGACTATGCAAACAACGAAAAACTGCTATTTTTATAATAGTTTACTACATCTAAAGGATATATATGAAAGCTGTACACAACAGGTTTTATCCACAAAGCTCGCAGGAACAATGAAGTAAACAGCTGAACATTTGCTCTTTAAAAATACCACACCTTTTCCACAAGCACTTTTATAAAATGTACTTTACAAAATATTTTAAAATACAAGGCCCCATTCAATTATCTTTGTTAGTTTACAAAAGTACACATGTATACCTATAATTACAACATTTAAAGATACAATATACTTGCTCTATATCTTTTAAAATTCCTAAGCATTAAATTAATATACAGTATGGCTATGAGACTTCAACACTACTCATCTAGCAGTTAAATCTGTATCAGCCCTCTATACTTTTCCAACATTCGGATGATAATATTGTAGATTATAGTCACTTACTTAGTTTCTTTATATAATCATAATGTAATCTAATCTTCAGTTTTAATCTAACATTACCTTGATATTCCGCCTTTCTTTACCTACGAGTTGTTTCAATCATTTAAATTATGTAACACTCACCCAGATAATCATTTTTAATTCTAAATCTAGTAGTTTACACTACAGGTCATCGAGGAATATTTGTTGAAACAAACACATCAATTAAAGATGTTTACAACTAAACTTTGTGAAAGGACTTTTTGAAACTGGTATTAATTATAATATAATTATTAACTCCACTGCTCTTTTTATGTTCAATCTGGATATTAAACACAATTTTAATGGCATTCTTGAAACTGTGGGCTGCTTACTAAATTATTATTATACAAAAAAAGATTTTACACATTAAAACAGACCAAGAAGCGGATTTAAAACATGTGTGGCTTGGAACTCACCTATCACTAGTGAAATTCAGACTAAGGCTAATAGACTTCTGCTATAGCTTCATGAAAAACAGCACCATCCAAACACTGTAGTGGTGCAGGACTACCAGGTCATTGCCAGACCTCCTTCAGGACAGCCCTAAGGCTACTGTTCTTTGACTGCCGACTCCTTGAAACAGCTGATAGGCTTTGATTTTCTTTCTTTGTATTACAGACTCTCCTCCTGGACAGGGTCCATGAAGGAAAAGGAAAACTCTTCTGCTGACGTCTGGGTGACTCTACCACAGCACAGTTTAAACAGTGTTGTATTTTTGAGAAAGATACCTCATCTCACATCAGCCATGTCAATAACCTTCCAGGACTGAAAGTAAAGGCATACGGTATATTATGACTAGTGCATATGTTCTATTCTGATTAACTTTGACATAGCCTGATGTGATTTTAGCTTTTCTTCAGCTCCAGTACATGTATGACTTCATTCTTAAATATAATATAAATATAAAGCAAATATTTACATTTCACAAAGTTTCATGTACTGCATTTTTATTTTCTGACAGAAGATTAGTTTCTGACATACAAGCAGCAGGCTGTGCTCATTGTGAGATACAGGGTACCTACTGTAAATAATCCTTTTTTTTCACCTGATTACTTCTACATGTTCAAGAATATTTAAGAAAACTTGAAACAAAATTCAAAGCAACCAAAAGAGCTCAAAGATCACAGTTGCCGGAGCTCACTTTCACCCAAGTGGAAATGCAGCTACCTTGCTCATCTCTTTCCTTTCCCACTGTGATCTCTGCATGATTACTGCTCTACTGTGGCCTAACATCCCATGAGTACCTTGTCCCCAACCTTGCAGTGCTACGTAGTTTAACTATACCAAACATGCTTACCTTTTTCTGTAAAGATGCAAACATAATCATCTAAAAAGACATCTCTATCCCGATTCAAAATTTAGGAACCTATCGCAACTCCAGTGTTTTTTTGAGCCGTACTAAAAATCTGCATGGTACAGTATATACAGTACTGTATGATATACTTCAGCTGTCCCAATGGCCATGGTCAAATGGTCATTCCTGATGGTAGTTGTGCAGGGGTTAGAGGAGGACTGATGGACGGAATCTTCACACCCACAAAAAAAAAGTGATGAAGCAAGGGAGAATTCTTTTAAACAACAAAAGCAAACATACCATTGGTTGGGTGTCGAGCAAATGAGATAGAAAATCGTTTTACAGCAGAACCACGTGTGGCGTCTGAGAAAGAGAAAAACAGGTATCTGAAATTTAAAACAGCTAGCTACCAGAAAAAGACTAGAAAGGGAAGAAAAAAAAAGTAATGGACGAGGTAGCATGCAGGAAAAAGGAAGGATAAAGTAAAAGGGAGTAGTTAAGGTGTAAAGACTGTCAGCCAAAGCAAGGAGCAAAAAACTAAATCACCATTGTTTAATGTGGAGTTCTAAGTGAAACGTTAAGGTGTGTACTGCTTGGGAATTAAGAGAAAAGAGCAAACTCTGTGATCCCTGTTAGGTAAACCTTTCGAAATCCTGGAAGTCAGAATCATGGACAAGTCTCTCAAATGGCAAGCAGAAATGCATCTTGCCTTCTGCAGAAAAAGACTCGGCTGCTACCATTCAAGTTTCCCCGTTGAGATTGTTAGAAAATTAAACACCACATTTGTCTGCAAGCAATATTCTGTATTGCTGAAAATTATTTCTCTACCTAAGCATAAGAATTAGTCAAAAATCAAAATGACAAATGTAGTTACATTAAGTAAAGAAGTGATTCACACAACAACAAAGTTCAAGGAATCCTGGAGTTTTTGTGGGGTATTTTCAGACGGTGCTCAATAGGATTTTATTTTAGAAGTTTTCTAATCTGGAAAAGTAATGTCCGGGCAGATTTATTTTTACAATCACAACACCCACTTGTGGATGCAAACACCATTCCGAACAGGTGAAAATAACTATTTATACATGCAAGCAAGTGCTAAGAAAGTGTTCAAACTACCTTAGGACAGAAAACAACAGGTCAGACTTGCCCATAATGTAAAGAATATGTGTCCTCCACCACAACCCTCCCCCTAGACTAAGGTTATGCCTGTCTGATTGTGACAATAGTTAGGTCCTGCTTCACCCAAATAAATGAGTCTTGCCATGTAAGTGGACAACTCGAATTTCATTGACATCTTCATTGAACAAACTTTCCTTATTTTAGTAGCAAGATTCCAGCCAGACACCCACAGCGCAGAGCTTCAATTTATGGCTGGTAAGTTGGTCAGTCCATCAATGTCAATAAATAAAATGGATAGACATGTGCTTCAAATGTATTTGCGCTCTATGAACATACAAGGGTAAAGCCAATAAGCAAAGTGTGTTTAGCAGAACATCCGGTCTAAGGTACGGTGCAAACATTTCCAGAACTGGGAGAGTACATACAGTACATAAATGGATTTTACCACAACCTTTGCAACAAGATCTAGACACCTGCAAATAATTCAAATCATTTATAAACCTCAGCTTGAAATTCTTGCTGATGCCTAAGGCTGAATGAATATGTTGAATTACTTGTCCTAGCCACAGAATAAACACAAAACAGAAAAAGAGTTCAGCATGTCTGTTAATGTACAATTGCTGCACTCTGACTAAGAAAACTGTTGCAGGCAATAGTTATCAGCTCAAATTTATACAAGAAGTATGGCAATAAAAATAAGCTTTACAAAAATACACAACATTTCTTTTTGTAAAGCTGTAATCATAAAATTCCAGGATTCCTTTCCAGAAAATAGCTACAGGTTCATCTTTTGATGATGTGTGTGCGTGTTTGCACATACCATCTAAGAAGCCAGAAGAAGTCAGCTTTTTACGGTGAGCACGAGCATAATCCTGTAGGTTAGGTGCACTGGAAGACCCCCCGAGCACCATCGTGCTAAACAGCCCAGCACAATGAGACCCTAATAGGAGTTAGAGAAAACACATACAACAACCACATACTCTAAAATTTAGAAGAGGAAATGCATGCAGCATGCATTTATATTATGTAGGTTCTTGCCACAGAGACTTTGTGCAGCCTAATGCAGTGTCACATAATGCTTGTAATGTCACTTGGTAGATGATGAAAAATCTCCTTAACAGAATAACCACTAAAGAAAGCTTTATGTTGGCACCAAAAGCTTCTGAGGCATGGCTATAGTAGACTAAAATGTATAGACCTGCCAAAAATTCACATTTTCTTGCTAGTCTAAATTAAAAGTAGCTCTCCCGACCCCCTTTGCAGTTTTTTTTTTTGCTAGCTGGGTGGGGGAAGTGAGGGTGTTCAGTTTTTTCACTTCTTGCTTTCTCCTGGGGGGACATTTTTGGGGGAGCTTAAAATTAAGTGACAATCTTTTTCATTTCTGTTTAGAAATACAGAATGACTTCTTATATTAAATATGTGAAATGACATACGATTTTATCAGATTTTAGTCCTAATGGTGGTATCAGTCTAATCTTTGCACGAGTAGGCTACTGCAAAATGTTCCCTACAGTTTAATTAGTAAGCAGATAGATTTGCTATCTGAAAACAGAAAATGGTCATTCACTGCTTGAGCAGTGACAATTAAAGTTCTTGCTACTGGCATAATTGCAGCCAGCCTGTCTTTGAAATAAGTAGCCTGGAAAATGAGAAGGTCTACTTCAGAAATCAACAGATTATTCCATAGACATCAGGAAACTGACTCTGTGAAGGCCAGGCCATGTCCTGCAAGGGAGATGGTAACCACAGTGTCTTAGGACTATCACTTCCACATCTAAAACATTTCCATCACTCAATTGTTTCGAGAGTGCAGTGCTACTGCACAGTACAGGCATTCACAGGAAGCACCAGCCAATTTGGTGACTGACTGTAGTTGACCATCGGCATGAAACTTGTCTCCATATTTATAAGCCATTCTTTGGTAACATTGGCAGCAGAGAGACAATATGAATGACTCCTGCTTGCCAGAAAACATCTGATGTGCTGGCCGAGAAAGTGATAGACTGAATAAATAACAATCTTCCCTAAACATTCTTGATGGAAGACAACTATTGTGTTCTTCTTCAAACCCACTGGTGGGTTGGTGGAAGTGCCACGATCTAGTTGAATCTTCTTTAAAGTAAGGATGCCATTGGTGCTGACTGAGGCCAACCTTATTTCTCAGCAACACATAAACACAGTCCTTGATTCAGCGGATTTGGTGCTCCTGCAAGCCAATCGACAACTGGCGAAAAGAAAAATCACAAACTGCAAGGATCACAACGCCACATCATCAAAGTTGTTGTGGCCAACTTCTAATCCTGACCCGAGTCCAGTAGAACATCAATGGTACCACCTTGTTGGTAATAAGTAATAATTGTGAATACCATCAACAGGACACAACTTTGCCTAGTGACTGAAGCAGCACAGAAAAGAGAACTGGACATCCCACAGCTGTCTATCCCGAGACTGATCCGCTCTATGCTTCAATGGTGTTGGGAATCTGTTACTGCAAGTGATCTGTTACTGTATATACAACAATCAGTGCATCATCATCATGGCATTGATTTAGTCTCCACTGAACCTAGATTCACTGCTTAAGATGACTTGGCTTCACTGCTGGCAAATCTACCTTGATACCGGTGATACAAAGCATTATTCTCTTGATAAGTGGAGCATTTTGGTCCCTTTCTATGTTTTTTCTTCTTGATCATTCTCCATCAGGACTGGCATTTAACAGTGTTGATTCACCTCATGAACTGTGCCATGTTCTCTCACTAATGAGGCTATTTAGCTATTGGAAATCTGTAATGGTCAATTAATCAAAATAACTCCCAAAACATTTTAGCTACGTAAGAATTCCAAATATTTTATTTTTCTGAAAAAAAAAAACTCTGAAATAAAATTGCTACTAGCTCTTTTAATGCTCACCTATTATCTAAGAAACAATTATAATAATTGCATTTTTAGTTTTCACATACAGTATTTGTGTTTTTAATTACATTTTGTCTGGATTCAGATGTCTGGACATTTACTGAAATGTGCAATTCTAACATACTGTACAGTATATACTGTATATGTGTGTGTATAACATTGTATATTTTTGTATGATTTATGTAATATAACACAAGCATTTAAAGTTTATTATTCTTTAGAGTTCCTTAAGGGATCACTCGTGGGATTCTACATGGGATTCTAACTGTACCTGGCAAATTCAATAAAATGCAATCAAATCAAGAAAAAAGCCCATTCGAAAGACAAGTGAATGAGCTAAACTGTCCATACTTCCTAATTAGTTACATGCAAGGGTTTATTTGCTGGAGACCAAAGAAATTGAGTTACAACTTTCAACTAAACTAAATGAAAAAGAACTTCTTAAAATGTTTTGCTGTAGGGCGTATGATCAAAATGATTGAATTTAATCAACAATACACTTTATTAGTACTAGGTAAGAACTACTGTGGTGTCCTTGACCAAGGTGCTTCACTTTAGATTGCTCAATATCGTTCTGCCTAGTTTGGTTGCCATTTGGTGCTGATTCTGCAACAATGGACATTACTAGCATGTGTGAAATTTGTTGTCTTAGCTGCAGTTTATGGTCCAAAATGTGGCAAAAACCTTTTCTTAAATGTTTTACATTATTAATCATACAGCATTCATTTATTTTATTTCAGTGAGCATCGCAAAATACATTTAGTAATACACAGTAAAATGTCAGCCATAAATAGCAGGTTTTGATAGGAGAATTAACATTACAAGCAAAAATAGCACTGCAGATTGGCAAGATACGAAACAAAACAGCAAAGAATTAATATCTGATTCTGACAATAACAGTACTTAATCACAACCTTGGACTTTAAAACTGTCTCTCAATTCACTTACATTAATTATAAATCACTGAAGAAGACCCAAAGAACAACTGAAATGCTGTACAATTTAAGTGTGCAGAAACGTGTCTAGCATGGGAATAGATTTTATTTAAAAAATTATGTTGTCAAAAATTTTACCAGTCACTCTCAAATGAATGTCCGTTTTATACTGTCTCCAATTACGATTGAAAAGTACATAAAATATACAGATACAGTAGATGGTATTTGTATCACTATAGACACCATTTAAAAAAAAACTATTGATAGAATTTAAACCAAACACAAAGAGAATTATGCACCCTAAAACCATTACAGCAAACAATACTTACCCATGCCACTGTGCTTCTGTTCAGAATGCAGTCTGCCAACTCTTGTGTGGCTGTTGTTCTCAGACAACACCTGTACAAGGAAAAAACAGAGAATATTACATCATTTTAGTAAACCACTCTAAGAGTAATGTCTACAACTTTATACAGAGGCCTGTCCAGACAGACAAATGTTAATATGCAGCAGAAAGGATGTTAGTGCAGTGATACAAGAAAACGAAAACAAAAGAAAAGAAAGAAGGAGACAAGATTTCATGCAACATCCCCAAGACTGAAGATAGTCCATTCCATGTATGAGATCCTTGCAATTAAACAGAGCAAACTGACATCAAGGATGAAAAGGATGCAGGTACAGTAGAAGGAGACACAAGACAACTTTATGCATTTATGAGCCAGGTTTAGTGAGCAACTTTTACCATATATTTACTGCACCTGTCTCAAAAAAGAACAAAAAAAAAGACAAGTTTTTACAGTAGGTAATAGCACTGTTTCATAAAGGTGCCATTTAGTAGAAATGTTAAACAGAGGAGATCCTGGTTTGTGCCAGATGTCAGTGCAGGATCATACTATACATGAGTACTGAGGTTCATGGCTGTTGAATATACATGTAAGTCTTGAACTGATGAAACTGTACCCATATTCCACATCTGAAGATGGGATTCACAGCTTACCTGTAAGCACTACTATAAGAGGCAACCGTGATGATTTAAGGTGCCTAAACACCACAGAACAAAGGACGTGGTATAAGATTAAAGTGTGCTTTACCTCAATCATAATGGCGCATATTGGGTGTTACAAATTAAAATCCAAACATTTTCACATACTGAAAATACAGAAATAGGGAACATTACCAAGAAAAGAGAACTGTACTATTCATTGCAGAATACAGTAGTTTGGCTTTTTTTGCTTCTTGGAATTTCTAATCTGCCTTATGCAGCATGGCACACTGCTCAGGTGAAGTGGAATCAAACGTGTCCTTGTCTGGATGCAGCACTTACGTTATATAACGTATAACGTCATATAACGTTCAGTGTAGAGGCACCATTAATTCATTCACAAGTGATGTGACATCCCCAGGAAGCAGAACCTCCTGAAAGAAAATCCTAATCACCCTACAACTTCTTCTACAAATTAGGCTCACCCACAGGTTAACCTTTGGGACAAAAGACTATTTTCAGGCTTAAACAATTTTATCTCAAAGTGAAAAGGGTCCAGGATCAAACATGGCACACATGGACAAAAAAGAAAAACAGACACACAGAACTCACATGCATGCATTTTACATATGTAGTTTAGATTTGCAGGCTGCAAAGAACTAGTGCAATAGGGACCTGATTTCCTTGTGACAAAACCCATTTCCCAAAGTGATTTCCCTTTTAATTAAATTGTGAGAATAAAGGTTAGATTACATGCTACTGTATGTTAATTGGAAAAATGTTAAATGAAACACAGACATATATGGCTGAAAAAGAAGAAAAGGCTCTTCCCAACTTACAAACCAGAATAAAAACAGTGAATTTAGAGAAAAGTAGCATTTAATATTGGCAAAGCAGCACTATAACTGAGTTCTGGCAAATGTTAAGCACCAGGCCACTAACAATAATGAAAAACACCCCACCCCCAAAAAAGGTTTAAATGTCTGTTTTACCAATTGAATTCTTAGTACTGTAGAAACTGACAATTGTGTACAGTAAGTCTCAAAGGACATCTAATGCATGGTGACATTTTATCATTAAAACATACAGTTTATAATCAAAATCAAAAAGCTGAATAGTTCTCCTCTGTATTAACGTAAATTATAGAATTCAGTTCAGACATCTATCAAAAGACATTCATTATCACAAAAAACATGGAAGTAAAACTTCATGTTTTTCACGAGAATGTTGCCAGTTATTGATTAGAAGAATTCAGACGAAGTCAGTCTGGTTACAGCATAGTACACTGTAAGTAAAAAGGGTCATTCAGTGAAGAGGGTCAATTTGTCTGTTTGGTACAAAACTGATAAGCTTCCTTATGTCAGAGCTGCTTATGAGAAAGACTGGAGCTCTAAATATAAAGAAACTTAAATGGAGTTAAACACCAGGTGATTTTTAACAGTTTTTAAATGATCAAATATAAAACAAATATAAAAGTTTATAGATTACACAAAACAAAAGGAACAAAACATTGAAAGGGGTGATTTAGAAGTAAAATCCCTAAACACAAGGTGTGAAACCTAATTAAATAAATTAAATTTTATATAGCAATAAGAGTCTTCACCTGGCAAGACATGAAACACATTTTTACTGATTGACAGCTTTAGTAAGACCCCTTCTGAGTCACTATTAAAACATCACTCATCAGTAGCTCAAGTAAATCACTACTCCTTGACCTTCTATCACCTAAGATAACCTTACGAATGCATGAAAATTTAAGCATTTAAGTTTTTTAAGTTTATTGTGTGAAACAAACAGTGCTAAAATTTCCCTGCAGTCAAGGTGCCCTTTTTGACTGTTGTAATGTATTTGATACGCATAACAAAATGTCTGATGTTTTAATAATGAATAAATTTTAAAAACCTGTTGCCATGAGCCAAAAATAGTGGATGTGAAAGCCAGTGATTTGGGGGAGACAGGGGAGGAAGTTATTTGATCCCCTGATCTGCGTCTTCGACGCCCAGTACCCACACCACAGGTGTAATGAATCCAGGTACCAATTGACTCAGGGCTAGACACACTCAGGGGGCTCTCTTCCTGGAAGTGAGAAAGGGGGTAAAAACAGCAAAGTCATGCAACGTTAGCAACAATCCAGCTAAGTGCTTCATCAACATTCAGCAGTGTGACCTCGCTTTTCAAATACTAATAATTTACTCTAGTCAGCTGTTTCATTATATTCCTTCTGAAATCGGGATTATGGTACAAAAATGCTATCTGGATATAAATTACTTTCATGTTGTTAAAGATTTGCTCTATACAAATTAATCTGACAGATACTGACATTGCCATTTTAAAGTAGTGATTCTTGTATAGTTCTGGATTGAGCCCAGACGCAATAAGAGAGCAAGATGTTTTCATTTTATACTAAACTGTAGAAGAAGCTAGAAGGTGCCTACAAAACACTATGACTAAATTACATACAAAAGGCGAGATTTAAAGTTCAGTAAAACTTGGTTACAACTTTGTCAGTTGTGCTGATGTAAAAACCTTTGGAAATATTAAGAAAGCACGACAGTAGCACAGAAATGACAGCTATAATGATAACCTATCTTTACATTAAACATATACAATAATATTTGTATTTCTTCCGGTAGAGCTCACTCTCCTTGCCATAATTTGCTAAAATCACTTTAACAAAAGACAGGCACCATGTCAATAGAACTGAGGAGTACAGTTCTTTTTTGGTAAATGTGTAACTCTTTCCTTAAAATTCTTGAACTCAACAGTGCCTCTGTTATTTTACTTCTTTTGCATACTGTATGTACAGTACTATAATCAAACAGGACAACACATAGGCGAAGTCCTGCTTTGCTTTTTGTAGGCTACAAATCTAGACAGAGTTGACAGCATATGTCCATCAGCATTACTTTGGGTCAAATGTACCTGTAGCAAGGCTACACTATTCTCCAGTTTTGTTAATTTATGAGTCTAAGCTACACATGCCAGTGGAAGTCTGTACTGGGTTGCTGTTACAGGCCTCTGTGCTTTAACTTGAACTGTCAAGTTATAAAGCACAGGGGCTACTGAGTTACAACAAAATGTAAAACATTTGATGCAACCAGGTCTTAAAATGTACATGCAGTATACTGACATTCAACAAGTTTCTCTGTTGTTCAGAACGATGACATTTATAATGCAGTGTGAACTTATTACAGGAAGAGAAGGGAACAATTCTGGACCTACACTAATAAAATCTTTAGTATACATCACACATTCTTCTGCAATGTTTACTTCTTAATTTTGTCTATATAATTAATTAGCCGCACTGAATAACAGATTTCAAACAATTACTTGCAGGCAATCTTCTAAGTGTGGCACCAGCTTGGCTGTGCTCAAACTTGAAATGTAAGAACAATGTTCATGAGGAAGGTAGAAATATAAATACAAGTAAACATAAGGCATTATCAAAGACAGAGTAGTAGATGTTGGTTAAATATCAATTTACTTGAAGCTGATTAACATGTTTGATCATGACAATGTAAAGACTTAAGAAAATTTTAGTAAATGTTGCATTTTACAAAAAGGATTGCTGAGAAATTACTGTGAAACTTTATTTTTCTCTTCCTTTAACAAGGACACAGTTAAATAAAAGGAGCTCATCCAACTTCCAATCACTCATCCAGCTTGTAGGAAAACATAATCCTATAGCCAATTATTAATAACAATGTAATTTATAATATAAATACTATAAAACATGCATTGTAATTACTTCACAATGCTTTATTTCTGTATGTAAAAGTCAAAGTCTAGAAAATAAGTTGGGTGTTTCATTTTAAATGGATTACGTATAACTGACACTGGTGCAAACATGTCTGGGCAATATATCACAAAAAATACTGTAATGGCTTAAAACCGTGACAGGCCATGCAGTCTACTGTCTTGGAAATCTGAAAGACCAAAATCACTGCATCCTGAAAGGCATGCATGGTAGAATGGAATCATGAAATTGTATCTAGTATAGTAAGTGTATACAGTAATACTGTATGTAACACAGAATAGTGGAATAATAGAAAAATATTTTGTAGAACAAAAGTAAATTAGGAGGAAAAACAAGGCAAAGTGAGGATGTCAAATAAACTTGTTCAAGGAAACTACATTAATTTGTGAATAAAAAGGAAATTTCTACATAACGACTACATCATTTCTATGATTTGCATTAATACCATCATTTATACAATGTTTTTGTTTTTCATTTCCCCATTTCACTGAGAAATTGCTATGAGAATGTGTGAAACATTTCAGTTTTATACATTATTCGTAACATTCTGATGACATTTATACTAAATATAGTACCTTTTGACATTGATTACCTATTTAAAAAAACATGAAAAGTAACACCTTTAAGAAACAGCTCAACTCAACCTATTTCAGTGATGTATTTCAATGTGGTTAGTAAGATTCCTGCCTTATTGAAAAGATAACACAAGATATAACAAACAAATGACAGAAATAATGTGATTTTTAATTTCGCTGTGAGACACTGTAATAACTGTCTTTTCTGTGGCTGTATAGAACAGTGCCAGATTAAAGTTATGAAATGGAGGCCAAGGTACAAGATAAGGTTTGCGCTCTGCTCCATTTTGTCCTTTTGAATCATCTTTATTTGAAAGCTGCTTATTTTAATATGGCAGGATTCTGTACCATCATAAAACCACAGCTCCTCATTGAAAGAGAACAACCTTAATCAAAATAAGAATATATCTATAAATAATTTAAACAACAAAATGACAACGCACACGAATCTGAATAATCAGATATTAGAGAGTAAGCAAATTGCAGAAGTAAAAAAAATATATAAACAGATATTTATATTTTCCCTCCATTACATAACAAAAGCCATTTCTATAAATTCACGGAAAAATACAGAACTTGAACAGTGGAAAAATAATTACAGTGTTCAAGACAATTCATGAATTTCTTACTGGCATATTCTGAATTCTTCAAAGATTCAAGTTAACTTATTTCTGATTTGAAAGTCAAATGTTGCAGTACAACAAAAAACATTTAAATAAAGATTCACAAACTTCATCATCTGACATTATAGGTTATGTGCACTACAATATATTAGTTTCTATTGCACACAAGCAGTACTTTCATACTGGCACATTGAAAACTCGTCTAGTTTTTCTACAGCATGCAAGCATACCATACTACCTTCTCCAACAACATAAGAAATGCTGAACGATTACTCACTTCTACAGAGCCAATCTTCCTGGAGCGCGGAAGAGGGGACTTCCTGTGTATGTAGATTGGATCAGAGACCATAGGTCTGAACAGTGCTCTGTCAGGCTCATCTCTTTTAGCTGCACTAGACTCTTCATCACTGTCATTGATGGATTTTTTTCTTGGGCCTTCATTCTGTTTGAAAAAGAAATGAAATGGGACGGACCAGCAATTATTGTTTCATAACTGCCATTACACAAATCCTGTCTGCTTCTCATCTAGAAAACCTAACCAAAGACATGCCACTGGTAAAATTTGGATAGTTTATATAGAATAGTATGCAGTCATACATAAAGATCTAATGCTAAGATCCACGTATTACTATTTTAGCATTAGTATTTTCTGTTCTAGTAATAATATTAACCTAACTTCACAAAACAATTTAGACCTCTGGGAAACTATGAGGAAAAAAGACTACAACCCTCACCTCCCGTGAAGCTGGTCTATAGCCGAATCCTGATGGTAGGTTTTTATCTTCTTCACAGCCCTTTGCTCCTGGGCTAAAATGCAACTCAACATGAAAACGATCTTCTGATGAAGGGTCCTAGGGCACATGAAAAATAAAACCACCATAATAAAAAAGACAAATGCTGTTATCAGTGCTCTTTGTAGACATTAACTGTAGAAAAGCTGTACCTTGTTTGGGTCCTCGTAGAGCATAATGACAATCTGCGTCATGTAGTTAAGTTCACTAACGACATTGAGGTAGTCCATGGCCCTCTTCCACTGATCGTCTTTGGTCTCCTAAAGTGAAGCGTTTGTTTTCAAGAGAATTCCATGAATGAACTGTGAGCGAACATGATGGATACGAGAACACAAGTGGACACAAGGCGAAACTACTGTACTCAGTAGGGAATTTAAAAAGCAGAATTTTAGGTATTATTTTATTCAGTACATTAGGTTGTGTGAATCTGGAACAAGCCACTCTGTTGTAGAAGCCCATACACTGGTTTATTTCATGGAAACACTGCAGAAAATCTTAGGATCAAGCTACTGTAGATGAACTAGACAATTTGAGAGGATTCCTCTTGTTTGTAGTTTGTTGCATACGGTTGATTGAGGGATCAGATTTAACATAAAACAAAATAGGCCAACCCCAGCAAGCAATGTGCTCAAGGGTCATCGAAATGACAGTGACTTACATCGCACAAGGCCCCGTAGCGTAAAATTGAAAGCAGTGAGTGCACATGACTTTCACTAGTGAAATACAGCCTTGTCCTCACATGACGTTCTGGTGACATAACTCCTCTGGAGTACCTAAAAATAAAAAATGATAGATCTTTACAGACGACTGGAGAGCAATTAATGCAGAGCAGGATAGAGAAGCATATGCTGCCACCACAGGGAATTACATTATGTCCATATTGCAACGAATGCAAACTGAACCACTGCCATTGTGTAGGAAGGTAATGACTAATACACACCTGGCTCTGACTGGCAAGCTGTTAAGCCACTTTTTTTTTAAACCCAATGGGGAAGTAGAAAACTTGGAAGAGCTACATCTAGAAACCATTTACACACAAGATGCCGCTCTATTGAAAAGTACACAAACTCTGAAGACAATCTACCCAAACAACATTAACTTTTCCTAATCATGTGCCTCATCAGTACTATGTACTGAAGTCAACAAGGAGTACAGAAAGCTATCAATGGATATACAGTACCCTGAAAAGGATTAACTGGTATATTAGCAAAATAACTGAAATCATCTAAAAGTACAAGTCAACTCAATTTTACATTTTGTACACACTAATTAAAATATATTGTTATGAAGCACACACTTAAATGCTTGCACGTTTATATAACATGCAAATTTGGAATATTTTATAAAGAAATGATCTACTGGTTCAAAACAGATATACTGTATAGTTAAACATTCTTTTATGTTATTTAGACAGTCTGTTTTATCTGTGTGAACACCTATCAAATGTTGGAACCTTACACTGGATGGAGTTTGTTGACAGTGTCATCATCCTGTGTTCTCTGCAGGTCTGAGCGAATTTTCCTAATCAGAGGGGTGCAGTAGCCTTTAGCAATGTCCAGTTTTTCAGCTTGAGCTATTCCGTATTCCTGAGAAAGAAAGTGATAAGAACTTTAAAAGCAATGTAAACACATGGATAAGCTATATCTAATAGAGCTTAGAAAATACTTTACTTATATATATTGCCTTGTTCTGTTTTGAACTTTATTGCTTAGGTTATGGACAAAAGATCAGTGTCGTGATAAAACACACACAGAAATCTTTCTTTATGTCTTACTCAACAGTTTCAACAGTAACATCATTTTATAAATCCTGAAACTTGCTCATCAAAGGAATATATTTTTAAAGAGAGAGTTTCGAAAATGCTTTTTTTTGGTATCTTCCAAGTTTCATATTTGTGTGATTTTTGGTGTTCTTTTTCATACATTTAATAATAATTGCTACATATTGTTTCACATTTTGTATAAAAAAGATGTTGCAAGTTCAGATTTTCAAATTCTGTTTACCGTAGTAATTTGCAAATAAAGTCAACTCATAATTTATGGGATTTTGAGTAGTACGGAAAGCCAAAACTAACATTTCAAGGAATAAAGCATTTTTTTGTCTTCCAGAGAAGACCGCGTAAATTGAGAGCACGCAAGTTACGAGTCGACTGTACATGTCTCTTGTTTTTTGTTGAAAACTGCCCTGAAATGATGCATCATGAAAAGTTTTAAAGTTTAATACTAGGAAAAGAAAATGGTGTGTAGGAATTTGTAGAAATATCTGTCCACAGATTTCTACCTCTGACCGCAAGAGCAGTGTAGCTCAGTTTTGTTAGCCTCTGCAGAAGCATTGAGAAGATCTTTCATGGCCAACCGATGTATAATAACAAATGACAAATGTGGCAATAATATTTTAAGCACAGGTCTTTCCTGTTGCATGACCAGAAACCACTATATTTGCATTTAAAAATCAATTTGATTTTTGAGCAAGACATTTGATCATGACTCGGCTTTGAAACGTTTTTGATAATATTATAATAATATTAAAATAATATTAACCTGGTTCACCATGCTTTATCACCTCATAATTATATAATAAAAAATAACAGCAACTGCAATTAAGTCACCTGAGGAATGACAATATCAGCTAATGCCTTTGAAAGTCGATATATCTCCATCGTGTTCTCAAGTTTTAAGGAGCCGTTGTGCTGTACATCATATTTAATGCAGTCATAAATGTCAGGAATTTTGCTGATGTCGTATCTTCCATTCTTCATTTTAAAGTCTTTCTCAAGCTTTGCCCACCTACGCAACATTAACTCCAGAGTTTCACTGTGGTAAAGCTGTATATCTGAGTAGAAGAAAAGAAGAAACAGATGCCTGTAAGACAAAGGCTACAGAACACATTGAATAAAGAATGCCAATATCTTGGATATTTAAAAACCTCCACCTGAATTAAAAACCAACCTCGGTAACCAAGAGAACTCATTATAGTTACAAAACTATACTTTAAAAAGTATTTAATACATAGAATATAAAATTTAAAATGAGAATTTTACCATATATCAAAATATCAAAACTAATTTTGATCTAGCTCTTCAATTAAAACTGTTCTGGCACAGCACAAGTTTTAATTGAAGATGTAAAAGTGGAATCTCAATGTTGGTTTGTACATTGAAATATGTACTTAAAAAAAACAGGATTACAGTAAAAACAGATGTTTAACAGAATCGTTGCTACATAGGCTTGCCAAGGTGATTGGGAGATTCAACAGTTCGGTTTACCTGCTGATTTGGGGTCCTCCATTCTCTGTCGGATCTGAGAGGTCAAGCTCTGGATCAGGGAATAGACCTTGTCACACATCTTGACTGGATTTTTAATCATCTGCATCGACTTGATAAGAGAAGAGCTGGACGTTGGTGCCAACTGGATGAGAAACACACCAGCAAAAATGTGATTCATACTGGAAACAAGACTAAAACACTGATGCACAGAAGTTTTCACAACATTTTCAATACAAGTACCAAATAAAGGCGTCCGATATGAAAAATCTTATACAATCCAGACTGGATAACATATGAAATGGTATTCTGCAGATTAAGCACTTTATGTTTAACTTGTATGTGGCCAAAAAGGCAGAAATAAGAATAGCAAATGTAATAAAACACAGCAATGTAAGAGAATGTAATAAGACTCATATAAAATGAATTAAATGGCAAATCTGAAAATGCAGAACGAATACACATGAATTATAAATAGGCCACTCTTACGGTGGGCAATGAACTGACTGAAGCAGTAAATGACAGCAAATTAGCATTTCGAGCCTTGTCCAGCAGGGGAAGGCGTCAGATCTGATTTAGACAGCTCCTGAATGCTGTCTAAATCAATCCTGCAGACTCAGTACATGGAAACTCCTGTGCAGCTCCACCTGTGATCTCGGATAAATTTATGACTGGATGCAGCTAGAGAAGCCTCACACAGCTGTCCCAGGCATTCTGTGGGTATTGTTAATGAGTCCCGAGCTCTCACGAACCTTCTCATAATCCTCAGCGGTGAAATCCCGGTCTCTCTGAAGGATCTCGTGCAGCCTGGCCTTGACACGCTGCTGGCAGCTGCTGAGGGAGTCGCTGTCACTGTCCAGCAGGCCATTCATGTTGGCACTTTTGACCATCTGGACTAAGATGGGGGTCAGCTCTCCTTCCAGGGCCAGGAGACCCTACAGGTAAAACCAATTAATAATCAACCTCTGTCCGATGATATGAAGTCATGATACCAAATACTCCACAAAACGCAGGTACCAATGTAAACGTTTGTAAAATATGCCCTGCGTGTCCGATTTACTTCACATTTTATTCAAATTTTCAAAAAGTGATAACAGCATCAACACAAAAACCTATTATTCTATTATGAATTATGATGACCTATATTCTATTCAGAAATTGTCAATCTTAATTTTAAATCTTTGTATTTTGTTTGAAGTGCTCACACAGGTGGAAAAAGAATAACCTTTGAATACAATGTCCAGGGTTCCACATTAACAGCTATGTAATAAGCAATGATGATATAATAACGTCATACTTTCATTAAAAAAATATACGTTTACGTTTACCTTGGCAAAGGCAGCAGCTGTCATCTGAACTCTGCCTTCATCAGAGGCATAAATCTTTAGATCATGGCGGTAAGTGCTGTGCAAACGGAGTAACCCACAGCCAGGGAATCCTGCATAGTCCCCTGCAATGGAAGTCATGGGAATCAGAGACGATAGGAGTGGAATAGCTCAAACACCAGGAACTCTTGTTCTTAAATCATTTCATTTCACCTGGCCATAATAAATGTGTCTGTTTCCTTCAACTTGTTTCATCACGCAGTTTCTGATTGCACACCAGGGTACAACTTAGCATACATGTACAGTATAAAGTAGACATTAAAGTTGTACACAGCACTATCCATACATTTCTATTTCTGGTTGATATTCACACATTCATTCCACTTCTAAAACGTTTCTGTGCTGATAAGCTCATTGTGGTTTCCTATGTGTGGTTACTGAAGAGATTACCTTGTCCTCCTGGGTACATACACCTGAAGGCTCTGCCCAGCTCCTCTGCCTGAACGCGGCCTGCAGGAGTCAGCTCGCCACCCCACTTCAGCACCAGCAGGAGGGATGGGTCGTCGCGCCGGTTGTCTGTTGCAGAATAACGATTTGTCACACGATGCAAAAAAAATGAAGATGATTGCAGCTTTACTCGATCAACAAGCCAACAAAGAATTTGATTTTCAGAATCTAATATTGCATCATAACAATTTACTGCAATACGTATCAAGTACAAATTACTGTTCAAATAAGAGCCTTAAAAGGAACATTTCAGATTTGTACAGATTAATTCATATCTTACCCTCTTCTTCACTTGATGTTTTTGGGCACCCATGTGGTAAGTACGTTAACTGGACTTTCCGATTTATACCAGAAAAATGTCCGTACCTGTGAGAGCAATGAAGAGTCAGGTTTGTCTCCCAACATAAGCTCAATTATTATTCTACAAAAATAACTTTTCACTTACATCTCCAAAACTGTTTTGAGTTGTTCAAGTTTAGCTTTACTTTCTTCAATCTCAGAATCATTATTCTGTCCTAGTTCTGCGAGAAGTTGTCTTGCAATGTCCAAAACTTCCTGAAGACGAGAACACCACATCATAATTAAATAGCGCAAATATAAAAGATGTCCACAGCTTTGTACTGTCAAGCACAATTATCGTATGTAAACACTGAACCACAATGTAGACATTCTAAAGAATAAATATTACCTGCAGTTGCTTTGGTTTTTTCAGTTTTAATTTTCCTGTCTTATATCCATCACATTTTTCAAAGAGATCAAAAAACCTATAAAAGCAACACCACAAAAATCGTAAGCTTTTAATCCCATTTTCTAAAGTTAAAATATCACACTGTTAATTGATGCATTTTAAAATAAATATATACATTTATACATCACAGTTAATAAACAAAACCTCTCCAAACACTTTAATACTTATACAATTAAAATAATATTAATCGATTATGTAAAGAAAAGTATCACTGTAAATATGAATAAACTGAGAGTCTATCAACTATGAGAAACAAGAAAATACATATTGGATTATTTAATTATAAAAATAATATCGGAATTATTATAAAATAAATATCCAATTCGGAACATACAGATTTGTTGTCTAAAATGATGGAAAGCAAAATTACCTTTGGTGCCGAACTTCCATTTTCATTTTCTGTTTTGGAGTTCGATCTCCATGTCGGATAACAGCGATCACACAACGCAATTCCATCCTGAGTGAAGATGAAGAAAAGATCTATTAAATCTATTAAAAGCTGAAGGGAAACGGAAATGTATGGACTACTGAATTCACAGTTAAAACACAGTTCTGTCTGTGGAAGAGCATTTACAGACATTTGGAACTGCAACTTCAGATTTCAAGAACACGCCAGTAACATACTGCAAGCATGTCGTTCTACAATACATCCAAAAATTGCTTAGTTGGACCCTTACTATATGTCTCATCAGATTCTGAAATATTTTTAAAACTTGCTTAAATAAATACTTTATCTTTTCACTGTAGCTTCTAATGTACTGTACATTGGTTTGTAATTTAGTGGTTGTAAAAGAGGTTGTAATTTAGTTTTACTTTGATTTTACTAGGTCAATGTGCTGTGTTTATCTCTTTTGTTTTACTTCTGTATATATTACAGTATGTGTGTTTTACTTTACATATAATACATAAAGCTTATTGGGCTCTTACTTGAAATTGTAGTATTATTACTAAATAAACCAAACACTGCCGATGCTGCTCCTATTTAACGGCCTGGTGTATCTGAACTGTGATTACAAACTCTAAACTAGACCACATACTACATTGCATTTCACAGATGAACCAATTAGTACTTTTTGTTTTTATGTCCTCGATTTAAAACACTGACTGAAAAAAGAGCAAGTATATTTTTGGGAGGATTTAGAACAAAATAGTTTCTTATGTTTCTTGGGAGATCACACTTCAGAACCATTTTAATCTACTGATGTATTATTCACAGCACCTTATAAGAGTTCAATCTGTGAAATACTGTAATACAGCTTTGCAAGGTAAACCACAGCAAATCAATAAATTCAGATTGAAAACCTGATGTACTCACATGGTTCCAGAGGTTGTAGGCACTATGGGGATATCTTCAGCCTCCAATGGTATTGACCAGGGGATCTGAAACTGTGGAGCCAGTTCTCTCATAACAATGTTCCTGAAGATTAGAAAAAAGCACTTGGTAACAAAACACAGTTGAGCCATTCAACTTTGAGTGCTTCGGCAAGATTTAAATGGCATGTAAGAACCATTCTAAAAGTGAGATGAGGCATAAAAGTATAATACTAATATACTGCAACTTGATTTTGCCAAACAAGACAATATTTTGCATTTTTCAAAAGCAGTAAAACATCCTTAGTGCACTGCAACCGAAAAAATAATATGGATAAGGTCCAAATGTGTTTAGCCCCATTACCATTTCTGGTCATAGTAGTGTCAGATACCCTTCTGTTAGTCAGGCAGTGAGGTGAAGTATCATATGCCATCAAATAATTAACAAATTTTTAAAACTATTTATTAAACTATTGCTACAATAATAAGAAATAATACACCGAATACCATTATTCATGTGCAATACACACAAAAGCAGCAATACTCAACGAAAGCAGTTATGGTCATATGTTTACTATTTTTAACCACAGAAGCTTTCAATTTTTTCTGTATATTTAAGATAAAATGAAATAAAACAAACTTATTAACTTAGTCATTAGCTTGTCAGAGCTATAAAAAAAGCAGAGTTCTACACTACGATCAAGTGATGCTGAAATACAGTGCAAAACCAAGTACTTCAAAACCAAACATTTGTCAGATGATTGATTTCCCTATTTTCCATGTGTGTGAACAACTTCCTTCCAACAGCTACCCAATACTGCAAGGTAAGATTCACTCTGAGTGAAATAGAGGTTGAAATGATTCCTTGTAGCATTGCAAAGTAGACTTTCTCTGTGTTATTAAATAAGAAATATTCCATACATTTACAGTATATAGCATTTTCATTCCACAGGATCTCGGAACACTTTACATAGAGGAGAAATCTACTACATCCAGCAACAAAGTACAGCAACAAATCTGGGTGACACACAGCCGACCCACTACACAGCAGCTCAGATGAAGAAAAAACCTGGTACAGTACATCATGAACTGAGGCGGGGTGCGGCGATTTAGGTAGGCCACACAATGCAAGCTTAAAGTAGAATTTAGGATTTACAGCTCAAACATTTCTGAAGAGTGTTATGGGATCTTTAATGACCAAGTACTCATGACCTGAGTTTACCATTTAATCCAGAGAATTTCTGAACAGAGAAGAGTATCTGGAAAGGTTGTGTAAATGCTCTGCATTAGAAGAGTGTCATGATAAGCTGATTAAATACAAATGTAGGAAAAAGGAAATGAAAAGCTCACTAGGCCTATTCAAGTGACTGGAATCCAGTTTAAAATGTACTATTTATTCTCAGCTTTATACATATAATTGAAAATGCAGTATCCTAACAGCAAGCTTATTTTCATAATGTGAGTGGTAAAAAGGGTATTGTGTTGTACGCACTTTAAAAATCACTGAGCTGCATTGTTGTCTACTTTTTTTCAGCAATTTTTATATTAAAACCTACTAAATGGCTTTCATGTAATATGAAGAATGCAACAATATTAGAAAATAACTTCTTTAATGGGAATTTGCCTATCAGTGGAATCACTCGGGGCAGGCTTATTTCCAGTTAAGATGACTTTTCTTCTCTTAAATAGAGACTTAGGAGAATACTGTGTCATGACTGGTGCAGACTCCAATTCCGTTGCCAGGAGACGGCTTTGGAGGCAAAGAGGGGAACCATGGAAACCAAAGGCACTTCAACGAGCTTAAAAAAAATCAATGTTTTTAACAGCTTCACATTGAATACAGAAGAAAAGAATTAACTCCAAACTAAAAACATTTAAAAGAAAAGGTAATTTATTATGAATATTGGTTGAAAATAAAATAAATGTATTAGGTATAAAGGATATCTAAAAATACATAGTGAATTATTCGCAGATAAAGTACAAATTAGCTACTATGCCCTATAATTCATAGTGCAGTTTTATCCATTGTATTTACTGATCAACAATTCTGGAAGCAGGTGTTATGGTAATCAAAAACTGAGCAGTATTCAGTACTACACTAAACAAATCTGAATGCATTCACATCCAAGTAATTAAATCACCAAAGTAAACAGTGTTCTTATGACTCAATTCACATGTTGTGTAAACATGATGCATACGCTTGTGTGAAATAATCCTTTAATGAACCTACAAAATAGAACGGGGAAATAAGAAGTAACCTATAATAAATAACGGTCGGATTTATCTCTATTATAGCCAGAAACCTGATTATAAAGACCAAAGCATGTACAGTAGACAGCTCTGTAAGAGAATCTCAGTTATAGGGTTCTAACAAATCAGATTTAGCCTGCTACAGGTCAGAAAATTCAGCCTGGGTCACAGAAGAAAAATCATATTCAAGGATGCATAGGGTAGATTTGTCTTCATTAGGGTAATAAAAAAATCTATTAAGGAAGTTTAAATAGTTCAAACTAAATAGTATCCTTAATGCTACCTTATATTTTTTAAAAGATACCGTTTACAATCATAAACACATGCATTTCCCCCATAAATAGCAAAAACAATTAATTACAAGCAATCAATAACACAGGATTTTAACCATGAAAGGTTCTCTAATCACTGTGTAATGCATGAGCTCTATACAAGATTTAAATAAAACAGAAAACAAGTCCACTATAATGCTTTTTTATTGCATTTCCTGGTGCTCCGATCTACAAGGAAATAGTGGCCTCTGGTGGACACGTAATAATTGTGCTTGTTCTAGGACTGTAAAGGCAGAGAAACAGTCACAACATTTTTGATGACTAAATTACAGTTTTTCTAATAACAATACTTGTTTTCAGAAGCATATAAAGGACTTCAGTTTGAAAGGCATCAGTATGTGTGGCCATGATCTGCAACTCAGATCAGAAGGATTGAAGATTTCATCTAGCACAGCATCTGCATGAGGGAGCCCACAGGACGTGTTATGACCAGGAAGCCTTTGGAGATGTTGCTTGAGGACTTATCAAATGTGCTCGGTTTAGTTTAAGTCTGGAGATTTTGACCAGACTTTGGTTTTGATTTCAAATCATACTTCTTTGATGTTAAGCCAAATGCATACACTACAGGGAAACTGTAATATGGGCCTAAAGGAACAAAAAGCTGAACTTGAAAGAAACCCCTAATCCCACTTCTCTGTTTGACAATTCCTCTTCAGTTTTCAAATATGCATATTTGAAACTATTAAAATCTTATGAAAAGAGTAGTTTTTTTACCTTCTCTATTAGAAACCACTTGGGCTTGCAACTATAGCCCTATTAATATATTATCACAGAGTTAATTAAAAATTAAATTGTTTTTGGGATTTGAGACAGTCTTCCATCAGAGACTCCTACATGCATCCTCATGAAAGAATATATAGTCAAGGACAAAACACGCATATTACTTTGAAATTACGATTTTTTAAAAGGAAGTGGTACTGGCTCACATCACACCTTTCGAAAGGTCAAAGGTACCTGTGTACTTGACGTACTGCTTCCCTAAATGAATAAATAGCTCATTATTACTTGAAATATTTAAGTAGAGAAAAATTTTGCAAAGTATAAACAAAGACTAATGCCCCAATAATTTAAAAATTCTTAGGAGGCCAAGCCATATGAAAGTGAGAAGAATCTTACCCTAAAATTTTTGCGCAGTCATCGTAATACTTCATGGAGTTTTTCACAAAGCTGAAGCCATTAACGTCACAAACATAAGACTGACCATTGGCTCTCAACAAGTCAAAGCCACACACAGTTTGCTGTCAAAACAAAACAACAAACAACTAAACACCATGTATTTATTTAATGCATTGAAGCATATATTTTAGCCACATATCTTTTTAATGGACAAATGTGAGGAAACGATATGGGGATGGGGTGGAAACTCTCATAATTGAAGAGAAGAAGCTGTGATTTAAAGAAATGTTAAACAAAATCACAGCTTCTTCTCTTCTTCTTCTGAGAGTTTCCTCCCCATCCCCATATCGTTTCCTCACATTTGTCCATTAAAAAGATATGTGATTATATGTGTTAGCAAGGATAGAGCTTCAATATACTATTCCATTTACATAATATCTAAAGCCTTACAGCTTAAGGGATAAAATCATGTTTTACATGTTTCAACACTTTTTTCCCCCAAACTAAATGTAAAAAAAAACACTCACCTCAAGGTTCACTGTTTTTTGCAGCAAGTTAGCAATAGATTAAACAGTTGCTTAACGTATTTCCAACATATTCCAAACAGAAAAAGGAATATTTTAACTGTACTATAACATTTTATATTTTGGATTAGATGAGGTTCTCTTTGTAAGTGATTGCAAGCAGCAGTTGATGCACAGTATTTATGTGTTTTTTTTAAAACATATTTGGAAATAGCCACCCTGTGCTCTGAACCCGATTACCTTAAATGCCAGGCAGACTTTCCAGGCAATAAGCTTCTCTCTGGCATTGAGGATGACAGGGTACCGAACCTCTTTCCCTTCGCTGTCTCGTTCCACCTTGCCGTCCAGGGCAGGCGATTTGCGTGCTTCAGCATGAGCGTAGTCGGGGCCCACAGTGTAGACCTAGGTCAAAAACGAAATCTCACAATCAATATCTGCAATAACGAACAAAAAACGGGTGGCAAAATTACAGTGGGGACTCAACTACAACTACTGAAGGACAACTACTGCTTTGCAGCCGCACTAGATACTTTATTGATCCCGTGAGGGAAATTGCAGTACTAGCTGTACTGGCTAGCTACTCTGTATTTAAATTGATACTCTGTAACACTACTCTGTATTTAAATTGATACTCTGTAATACTACTCTGTATTTAAATACTAGCTACTCTGTTTTTCCATTATAAATGTCATGTGAAAACTGATCTCAACATAAAATGTAAATTTAGGTTTGCCTTAATGAAAAGTATTCAGCATTAATTTTTTTTTAAAAATTAATTCTGCTTTTTTGTACCTTTACATCAGTACCATCAGTTGGCATGAACTCCTCGTAAATGTAGGATCCAGTTTTTCTGACATTGCTTTCTGGAGAATACACGCTGCTTCTGCTGCCAATCTGAAACACAATATCACAGAAACAAATGAAAGTACTGTATGAGTTAAAAGACATCATTGTACAAACACTCTCTTCAATAGTGTGATACAAGAAAAAATACAATACTGTGCATGGAACATGTATGCTACAAAAAAGGTAGGTATGTAAGAAGAAAATCACTTCCTGGAACTTAAACTCAAATCATCTCATAGGAATATACAAAAAGTTAATGAGGAGAACAGGCCCTTCAGCCTATCACTGCATGTCATTTTTGACACTAAATGATTAGTTTTTTATAGGCTAAACAGCATCAGGCCAACATATGAAAATTCCTGGCTCCACTGTTTCCACGCATGTCATTGTACTTCATGAACTAATAACTGTGTAAAAAAAGTGTCCTATTAACCAGTTTCCTTTAATGTCCCTTGTTCTTTACGCTGGGCTGAACTTGAAAAAACTAGTCCACAACCTTAATTTACTTTAAGATTTAGACCTAAAAGATTAATTTTGTTCAATCTCTCTGAGAAACACATCTCCTTGAGCCCTGTGCCGATCTGCTCTGGACGTACACAGACTCCAGATGTGGCAAAACTGGTGCATTTGAAGAGCATCAGCACAACCTCCCCCGACATGATCTCCATCCAGGTGTTCCATTTGCCTGCTCTATTTATGCATCTCCATTTGTTGAGCCTCCAATAAAAATTTCATCTGTGAGAAAAAAGATGGCCTTTGAAGTGCGTGTCAAACAGACTGCTTGAAGTTACAGTGGCATCTTACCTTGCGAAAAAGCCTCTGGCTGCCTCCACCTGCTGATGTGGGGTAGTAGATATAGACATTGTGGTCCTCAGCACACACTGGCTTCTCCACAAAGGGCTTCTGGAAAATCTCTCCGTTCACTTCCACATGGTCCTCTCCTTCCACCAGGCTGCATTCTGTAAAAACAAAAGGTAAATCAAACAACAGTCCTTTCACAATATTTGGTTGCGCCTGTTGACCTTTTTGTTTGTTCTTGTTTTTAAGACAGGATACTTCCTTAAAAACTCCAAAAGACAAATAAACCTTTTGCAATGGTTTGGTTCAATCCTTATAGTGAAACAGATGTTGCTCAGTTGTCATACAGTGGTTAAATGAGGCCGGCCTTCTTTTAAAAAGCATGAAAATTCTTCTTAAAACAATTTTCAGAATTTGGATACTGGGGTTTTGATTGTAGAAGCACTGCAGCTCAAATCATGTTGATGCATCTAAAAAAGATTTTGAGTGATAGCGGTAATGGTACTGCATTGTGCCCGTTGCTGGCTGCTGGGATAGGCTCTGACTTTCCCTATTTGAAATGCAATGTCATTATATTCTTATTTTTTAAGGTATATCTCAATCACAAACATGCCAACATTCACAACAAAATTGTATCACCATTCATGATCAGGTGTTCCTCACACAATTTACAGTATTTAGCTGAATACAACACAATGAACATATCATATAACAAAGGTAACATCACATCAATTCCCAGGTAAATAAAATAATATATCGTGATTATTGTGCTTTATCTTCTTAGGAGTGTTTTTATAGCTTTAGAATCACTTGGCTGTTCTGTAGGAAATTAATCACAACTGGTATAATCCTTTTAAGAAATTGCACACTTAATCTGTGCAGGCTCTTAAATGGGGAATAATGCCTTGCTGAGGCAGAACTTCACTTTCTAAGGCTGTCAACTAATGTTAAAACGAAAGAGGATCACAGAAAGAGATATTTATATTTCAAATTTTCATTTCTCAGTTTGCCTTTTATTGTTTAAAAGTGAAAGCAAAGGTAAGGGAAGAAACAACAACATCCTCCAGTTGACACGACAGGAGATGGTAAATCCTGCCCACAGCTTAATGCGCAAATGAAATTTGAAAACTTGTATTTTATCTTGTGCTCAGGTAAAAACAAAATTGTTAGTGCGCTGATGTGTATGGAACAAGGACCGAATTAGTTGAATCACCAAGATCAATACTTCTATGAATTGAACAACCATAAAAATCTCATTATTTATTCAACTGAAAAACAACATCAAAATCTAAACGATCTCTTTTGACCATTAAAAAACTGACTTGTAGTAAATATCTTTCGATGTGGTATTTTTACAGTTAAGCAATTTCAATATTTTAAACTTCACGTAGCAAGAGGTTTTTGTGTTGTTACATGCTATTTTGAGCTGAGTGCTTCAACATCTGACTGAAGCAGATACAGCCAATAAAGCTTGAAATTCTTAGCATAGCAAACTAAAAATTAACAAGTGAGTACTGACAGATTGCTGCTATAGTTTCTAGCTGCCAGGTACAATTTTAGATTAGAACTATCTTAATAATAGCTTTTATACAAGACACTAATGGCTACAAGCAACACTCTCCTATGTTACGTAAAATAGAATAATGTCACTTAATTATAAATCCTAAAGTATGAAGAAGTTAAAATGTTTCATCTCCTTGTTGTCTGGTAGGTTTGGTAATTAAGTGGAATGTTAGCTCATAACACTGCACATAACTCCAAATTTCGCAGGTGAAACTCTTTTCAAACCAAAATTTGAATTTGTTATTTAAAGACGTCTGTCACATGGGGTTAGCCTCTTAAGAAAAAAAAATTAAATGATGTCCTGGAGCTCCTACAAAGCCACATGCTGCACTTGAGAAACTATTACTGCTATCTGCTACTGTAACACCCTGTGACATTTGCCATTTGTTTTGTATCGCAAGGTGCAATGTATTGTGTGCTGTGAGTGTTGCCTGGTTTCTGTCACCTCGCAGTGGGCAAGCTTTAGAGAAGCGAAGTAGTTTAAAAAACACGGAGAATTTTTTTGTACCCTCCACAGACTTTAGAGAAAACACCCTATGATCCTATGAAGCTCTTTGGGTGCTTTCTGAATAAAAACTTGCCATATAAAATAAAGGTGCCCTAGTCCATAGGGGTAACACAACACGTCATGAGCATGGCAGTTAGTAACGTCAGGGAAATTTTGCGAAGGCTACCCTATTGAGAAGTGATCTACAAAATGTAACAGGTGTGAGAATGTTGACTGGTGACTTGGAGGCTGGACCATAACCCTGTGACACCCTGACACAGTTGTGAATGTCTGAGATGGGTTAGGGGGGTCAAGTCAGAAACAACTCCAATGGCTGGAACATTGACCATGTGTGATGACACTGATATCCAAATCCATGATCTGGAGATGACACAGTGAGCATTTCTTGCTCCCCATTTTATAGAATAGTGCAGAAATTAAGACAAATTTGATATGGCATGAACTGAAATCAGCATACAAAGTAAGACATATCCACATGTCTTCCATGGGAGCCTGACCACTGCTTTTAGGTACTAAGATGAGATCCACTACCTGACATTGAATATCTTATGTCGTAAATGGGGGCAGCCAGTGGCGCAGTGGTTAGCACTGCTAAAGTGCAGAATTGGTGTTCTGGACTCAGTTCCTGGGGTGCTATCTATAGTTCATACGTTCTTCCCACATTCGCGTGGGTTTCCTGTGGGTGCTCCAGATTCCTTCCACAATACAAAAATATACTGGAGGGTTAATTGGCTTCTGGAATAATTGGGCCTTGGTGTGAGTCTGCACCTGTCTGTGTCTGTGTGTGCCCAAATTGTGAAATGCGGGTGCCTGCCTCGCAGCCATCGTTTTCTGGGATTGTCTCCAGCTCCCACACGGCCCTCTATTGGATAAAGTGATTAGAAAATGGACGGTTGTTACAGAGGTTTTCCTTTGAGCTTCCAACAATGTCAGCCTACACAAGGATCACCACGGCTCACCTTGAATGCAATGCAATTGAAAGAAGGGATTGGCAAAGATATCTTCCCACATCAATCTTAATATAAATACCCAAGACATATTACAAAAAGAGAAAGGACTGCAGAAAAACACCAACAAAGTAGATCCTTGCTTTTTTGATCTTTTGAAATGATCAATAATGAATCATATACAGTAAATAGTTCATTCTAATTTATTTATTGTATTTAAGGCCCATGATTCTGAGAACCAGAGTATAATCTGAGTGACACGTGTGATGCCACTGTGGTAGATGCACAGCCCTACCTATGAAAATACCAGAACAAATCCACACTTCAATGGCTCTTACTCTTCTGAGAATGTATTACCTTCTGGTTTGGCAGGGTCACGGTTGAGAACAGCATATCTGGGAAGCAAGATTCCTTCAGCCTTCAAAATTCGATACACCTCTCTCCTGAAAATACAGAAGAAAGGTTAAAAGAGTGCTTCTATTGGACAGAATGAAAAAAACATTTGGACACTGAAATTCTGTCTTTCATATATATATTTGATCTTTTAAAATATACATTTTTCCTGTTTTTGTAAGATGCGACTAAAAATGTAAGAAAGAAAATAACACCTTGTTTGCTGTAATTATGATGGCTTCATTTAGTTTATTTAAATATAGCACCGTGAATTTACGTTTGACCTAGGTTTCACACCATTTCAAATTTCAGACAGAAAAAAGTACGCTCCCCACACATCAGCTATCAGTGGCGTGGAGAACAGAGTGATGAAGCTAATTCATAGATGGGGATTATTAGGAGGCCATGATTGGTAAAGGCCAAACACACAGGTTCAATGTGTCAACAAACACGTCTTTTTCTCAGTATTCCTTAGTTTATTATTTATAGTTTGTTTTGCTACCTGCATGCAAAATCTTGCATGTCTACATTAAACATTATCTTCACTAGTCTAGAATTTAATCTAAAACCTTTCGAATTTCATTTGCAGCTTCTACAATTTTGCTTATGCTTATTCTTCAATTTGGTGTCTTTTAGAAGCGTGACTAGTTCACTTCCTGTACTAGAACCTAGACTGATGGACATCAAACAGAGCCGTCGTCCGACAGCTACATCATGTCCTTTTGAGGTTTCACCCCTTCCCTGTACTCTCACCTTTCCTTGCATGGTAACGACCTGCAATTTAAGAATTAATCTTTTATGAGGAATTTGATCCAAAGCTTTCACAATTATAAGTACACAATAAAGGCTGAAGTACAGTAGGTACTGTAGCTGCGTCAGCGTGTGTAGGAGTGGAGAGGAGGCGGGAGCAGAAGAGAAGCACTCAAAATGTGCAAATGCCTTCAAGCTCCCGCCTCCTGTTCTCCCATGCTTTATTAGCATCTGACTGTCCTCTCTCTCACATCCGAAGAAGGCTCCACAGCTGAAATGTGTTTATTTTCTTCTCTTTTGGATAAACCTTTACTTGTTCCTTTGCACCATAAAAGTCACTTTGTATATACCCATTACTGTTGTTGCTCAACTCATTTTTATTGATTTGGATAGAGCTACCTTTTCTAAATCCATGCTGACTATTCTTTAGGATTATATTTCAACACAGGTGAACCTCTAGTTCAAATCAAAACTGTTTTCCATAAAGAGATATGTAATGGAAGTCAAATGTAAAAGGTCTATAGGTATGTTGTTCAGTTTTGTCACTCATCTTAAGGGTGGGCAATACATTAGCAATTGTCCAGTACATGGGTACTATGCCATCTTGAGCAGATGCTTGTAGAAGAGCAACTGTTGGAAGGACAGTGAGAAGCATCCCTATAGCAAGATGATGCCACCATCATGCTTGACAGCTGGGATAGTGTTGTGTGGGTGATGGATTGTGTTGGACTTACAGTATGCGAGATGTAACACTTGGCAATTAGATCAAAAAGTCCAAATGTCGTCTAGTCTGACATTCAAAAAAAACATTTCAGAATTAAGCAGACGTTTGCAGTAACAGTTTCATTCTTGCCACTCACCCATACAGGTCAGTTTGTTTAGGGGTTGGATTACCGTTAATGCATGCCCAATGACTCCCATCTCAGACACAGAATATTGTTGGCTTTACAGTGACATTCCTAACCAGTTTCAGGTCTTGACACAGCTTTTATAGTGTCATTTCTTACCTGTCCTGAATATGATACTGCATATCCAGATCGTTGATAACAAATGGTTTCCTGAGTTTTTCATAAGCCACTGCTTTATCCAAAGGGAACCCTGGAGGAAAAAACCTTCAGTAAAAACCTGGCCGTATGTGTGGACAAAATAATTAATTTGGCACTGACTGAGTTAAAACATTACATAACATTCACATTAATAGATTTCTTCCCAGATGGATCATAAAATATTGAGGATAAAGAGGAAAAAGCTTGATTTCTGTAAAAAGACATATCTCTTTATTTGGTGATAGTAGTTGCATTTTTAAATTGTCATCTGAAAAGGTGACAATGATATTAAGTCACAATTTGAAATGAATAATTTTGAAACTTGTCAAAACCCTAATGTTTAATGAGATTGTGAAACGAATCTTCATTAAGGCTAAATCTATAGAAGGATTTCCAGGATACAAATTTTAATGGTCATAAATGAAAGAATATTACAGGGAACAGTAACTCCATTAGACGTTTTTGATGTGAAGAGCATTACCAGACTAAAACAAAAATAATGGTATTTCCAGCCTGACCTAGTTGCAGGAACAAAACATATCAGGGATTATGTTATGAAAACAAGGACAGTACTTTAGGTTATGAATATTCAAACAGACTTTTTAGAATCAATTTGTGCAAGTTAATTTCATCGTCTGAATTTGTTCAGAGCAGGTTTAAAGGCAGTCAAAAAATCTAGCATAAACAAAGTATCCTTCTGACACAGTAAATAATGGGATGGGTTTCAGTAAGGTTATTTCTGTGAATTACATTTCATAAAACCCGACAGAAATATTTTCTAGACTGCTGTATATTACTAAAAAGCTTTCCAAGGTGAATTTTATTTAACCTTCTTATCAGTTCTTTCAATATTATTATTGGCAGTGGTATAAAGGCTCTGGGAAACTGCCTTCTCTAAACGGCTAGATTTAATTTAGATCCAAGATTATAAAATGATGTTGTAATGCAAAGAGAATGGAAGTCTTCTTACCTTTGGAGTGGAAGGAAATAAGACAGTCACAAAGAGGCCAGTTCTCGACAGGCTCGTTTAGTATTACATCTTCTTCAAATATCACAACAGTTATGTATTTGAACAAGCAGAGGCGCTCCAATATTTCCTTCATAGGTTTAGATTTTGATTTCTTTGACATGGCACAGATTCCTACAACTATCTGTCGTTCGGGGGGCTACAAAACAATACATGGCAATGTTAATAATCACAGAGATAAAGACATTTTTGTTCAAACATCATTCATTACATCTTTACCTTGAGTTAATAAGTGCTGTCAATGAAATTTAATTACTTCTGGACCTTTTTTTCCCAGTGTCAACAACGTTTTCCACTTTTTTTGCATTTCATGTAGGAATTTGAGCAGATTATAAAACTGCTGATGCATTTCTTCAGTTGTCTCTCTCTGTACACCTAAGAATAACTGCAAGATCAGGCTGCCAGAAATATGTTACTTTAATTACTTGTACAGTCACAGCAAAAAAGGATTGGCATCCCCCCTTTGAAACCATATTAATCACTAATTCATAATTAACACTAAAACAAATATTGATCATCAAACCACGTTTAGAAATGTAATGCTTACTGACTCACTTCTTCCTAGTGAGTGGCAGGATTGCAGTTGGTATATGGAGAACCCATGCTTATGTGAATGTGAAGGTTATGTAAATAACCTATACATTAGGAGTATATAAAACATAATGGAAAAAGTAACAGTCTGGTTTTTGAGTGGAAAAAAATAATTGGTTATCAGCAGGGCCTCATTTTCCCTAAGTGTGGTTATAGGTTTCAGCTGTGAGCTGAGACAGAAAACACAACAGTCTACTACAGGTGTGTATAACAAAACATAATGTTCTAAAAAGGAAATTACTTGGCCATCATTAAGAAAGCACAGTCATAGTGAACTTACAGAGTCATATTCTTCATCCTCATCACCTTCTTCCTCCTCTTCCACATTTTCATACAGGCAGTCATAGCCCATAACTCTCCCCGAGTCCAGCAGCTCGTCTCCTTCACCATCTTCACCGCCAACAAAGAACCGTGGGTGGTCAGCTTCTGCCTCTCCCACAGACATGACCACTCAAGTGCCAGGACCTGTGGCAGGGAAGAGTGCCCCAATCCAAGCCGGCACTGCCCCTTCCACCACCACAGTAAGCCAACAAAATGGGCTCTCCTTTGCTTCCTGTTCACTGGCTGTTACAAGCCAGGCTTAGCCAGCTGACAGCAGCAGATTAGAGCAATACTGGGGGAAATGCGTTTATCCCTGGCACATTTTTGTAGGCAGACAGGGATCAGCTTTACTACCTCTTGGACTGGCCATGGGTTATCTTCTCCAGTTTCTCAATGAGAAGGATGCTGTCTCCTAAAATGAAAAATGACTTCAGTGTTTCTACACAGCAAAAATGAAACGGTGCAAAGACAACTGAAATCACAAAGGCTTGTTGAAGTCTTTATAATTTGACAGAGAAAAAGAAATGTTAATCACAGGTAAATCAGCAAATGTCAAAAAACAACAGGTTAGATGGTGCCTGACATCCATTTATAGCATATACCCCTTGAAAGGAATAATTAAATTATTTAATAGCCAAGTCGCCTACAGTATTTGGTACTAAGAATAGGTTCTGACAACAGGTTTAGAAACAATTAGTATTTCAACCGGTGCACTTTTTCCTCTTCATACGCACAAAATCAATTGATTTTCAATGAGAACATTTTATTTTGGAGGATGAATGAAAAAAGCAGTCGAGAGGAAATTAGTTTTGTGAGGTAAAAATGTGACAAACTCTTTCAGATTTTAAACTGTTATGTGCTATCCACTGATTATAAAAGAGCTGGAACTGATCCAAAGGTCATTCTTTGAGCTGAAACACATACAGGAAATTAAAAACCCACATTCTGTATTAGAAAAACTGACATTAGAGTTCATAGAGTCCAGACAAGCAGATTTAGGGATTTAAAACCATTAGACCAAAACTGATGTTTTCTTCCAGATTAAGAAATATTTATTGTGTAATATTCATTGCTTCCTAGATTTTGTAATTCTATTTATAAAGCACAAATTACAAAAGAGAGGGATTATTCAGAGAACAACAAAAGGTTTAAAGTTTCCATTTGTTATATACAAATACATAAGCGTTTATTTCACATTATAGTTATGAATAAAAGCAAACAGCTCTAATTAACAGGATACATTTATTTAAATTCACTGGGATATTTTTTTCCAAATAACAAAGCACTCCATAAAATAAATATTACTTGGCTCGTTTGAGATTACATCAGCAGACGAATGTGCACAGACACGCAAGCAGTGTGATTCATACAGAGGTTCAAACATTAAGTTCAAGAATGATTGCAAAATAAATTAACACAGATGCACAGAAAATTCTGAATGCAGATCCTGATCCTTAAGTCAAGGTTAAAAGCAATTTAATTTAACGAATTATATATTCAGTGATTAAAAAGATTCCATCCATGTCATGACAATCACCTTGTCTCGAAATATGGTAGACAAGTAATTTGCAGAGATCAGGTGATATTGGTACTATAAAAAAGTAACTTAAAAACTCTTGCTAGTTATTAGAAAAATTACAAGTTGAACATCCTTGTTGCCCAATAGATTTCCTTTAAAATTTTAACTCAAAAGGCTTAATATAAGAGGTAGTAAACCAAAAGCAGTTACTTCTTAATCTCTTCATTGCAGATGTGTACCATAGTTGTAATATCTCACCAAAAATGAATTTCAAAACATCAGAAAAAAATAATCCATAACTTTACCAACATAAAAAAAACATCAATGTGTGAGGGTATATTTATATATAATTAAGACAGGTCCCCTTGTTTTTGTGATCCTTCCAATTCATAGATCTGTATCTGTTACTCAAAGATAAACTCTACAGTTTGTGTTAAAGAAAATAAATGTTAGTCATTCTAGTTGCTGAGTTACAGTCACAATAATCATAAAAATATTTTTTTCTTAATGACTTCTCTAGTAATTATACATTTAAAAAAATTCCCAAAGGAAATATAAAACGATTTTCAAAAGGTAACATGAAAAAGCTGAGAATTTAAACTCACAGGTGTTTTTTTTTTCTTGATAGTTGGGAGGAATGTAAAGGAAATGATAAATCTCTCAAACAGAATGTCTGTTTTCTTTGCAGTGAAAAGATGCCCCCAACCCTTCTTTTAAATGAAAGACTGATTCTACTACGTGTATGTCAAATACAGGTCAACACCACAACTTCAGACATCTTGGGAAATCGCATAATCCGAGACATGCCATCAAACCAAGTGGTCATTTTTGTTCTGCCATTTTGGAAAGGAGGCAGTGGATCCCAGTGTAATCTCAACAATTAAAACCATATCAAATGGGTTATCTTGAAGTTATACCATATTGTGATATAAATCTTCCAGAGGAAATGAATTCTTTCACAAACATTTTTGGCTTCTTCATGCTTCAGTCATTAAATGAATCCACGTCTTTAAAAACACAGGCCTATAGTATGACAGAACACATACCATCTATAAAGGAATTTATCAGGCACAGGAAAAATAGTCCAGTGGTTCCCAGTTCTGGTCATGGAGTACCAATCTTTCTTCATGATTTCCTTCCAACTGCGTTCGTTATTAATCAAGCTTATTGAACCTCTAATCAAATTAAATTTTAATTAACCAGATTCTTTCTGTTTTCTACACTCAGTCTCAAAACGTATCTGGTATTTGCCTCATCTTTTTTTTAACAAATTATGTAATCAGATCTATCTTCTATCTTCAGAAACAACTGTTCATGTTTATCAATTAATGATATGCAGTCACAGGTGGGAATGGCACTGTTGAACACCCTCATAATAACTTTTGAGTGCTGCACAAGAGGAGAGTAGACACTCACGATATGGCAGAGGTTTCCTGCTAATTTCTAACCTCATTCTACTGAAACTGAAAAAGAAGCATTTGAAGAGCCGGACTTATAAAGTGTACAGTAGATTCTTTATTGTAGATCGACACCTGAAGAAGGCTCCACGGGCGAAACTTTGTGTTTTCTTTCTTCTATTTTCAGCATGGAATAAACCTATTACTTGTTCCTTTGCAGCCGAGGCATGCTGATGCAGCTACCCACCTGAGCTACAAGTGTAGATTCTACTGTGAATCGAAGACGCAGGGCTACTTCAGAACAAGGACTGGAAAAAACTGAGGTAAATTTACCAAATTACAGGGTAACAATCTCACACATTATTTCTGAAAACCTTGCTGTAGTTCTGACTGATAACAAAATCATCAGCAAGACTGGCCATAAGCTAGTTATCTCACTAGAAACATTCATAGGAAAGGTAATTTAAAGACTAACAATAATTTAATGTTCACATACAATACAGCTTTTGATATAGCTGTATCGCTAAGAACAGAACACAGCTGGAAAAGGTCCAAATTGTTCAGCTCCTCCAGCTTCTGGGCCTCCACAATCAATGTTTTCTTAGCACCTTGTCAATATAACAGGAAAGCACAGCTCCATTTCAGTTTGAATGAAACTTTCTCATCTCTCAGTTATTCTCTCTTTCCCTGCCCTAATAACACCTTGGTTCATCACAGCTTAATGCTTTTTTTTTCTATTGCACTTCCTTATGAAAATAAGAATAAAAATCAAGCTACAGAAAAAATGGTAGTTTATCATGAAGTCTCTGCTAACTAGGAGCTAGGGGCTGCTGTAGGAATGCTGCCTATAAACATACTGTAGCACTGGCTAAAAAAAACGTATTTTCTTAATGTCTAAACTTCAAAGCAGTATCAGATGCAATAATGGATCATACAGTATGTATCCAGTAATCGCATTCATCACAAAGCAAAGTCAGAGTTTAAACCACTTACCAGCTACACTTGCTTTCTTTTCTTTATCGTTGAAATTTTTTTCATTCAATAACATGTCCCACTTCATTAAAATGTTTCTTAAAATGTCAGTGTAAGGGTAATACAATCAAGTTGTGTTAATAGCCAATAAGTTGTGTTGTGTTTAGGATACTAGATCATTCTATTTTATTCAACAACTGAACAAATACTATGCCCTATCTTGTGCATAAAACCAGACTAACATTATTGCAAAATAAATCAAGAAAATATTAAAAATATATTTAAAAAGTACAGTATATTAACATTATTTCACACATTTATTAGTATTTGAAAAGCAGTATATTTCTACCATGGGATGAACACCTTAGAATTTTAATTAAGATTACTATGCAATCTTTTCTGTAATCCGGATTTCTCATAGCGAGGAAAGCACAGTGGCTCAAAGAGCTCAGTGTGTCAAAAATACACAATATAACACACCAGTGAAGGATGAACAACGCAGTTCCAGTTGAGCTGGGCTCTAACAGCAGGTGGAAAGGTGATGCGCTGCAGTACGAACGGTTCAGTGATTATGATAGGCTTTGCTTGTCATGCAAATGAACCACTCAGGTGAACATTTCAAACAGAATGTTAGTCATCCTCTTGACAGTAAAGAAAAATGACACTAATAGTACGCTGCATATTGTGCCCAAGATTTGAACAGGATGATAAATGGGAACAGAGTGATAATTACTTCTTTAAAAACAGAACACAAATTTAGCTTTCTTATCCAGGGCATTGAGTACAATACCATGCAGTGCTTTTTGACCACTATTCTTTGCTATGCTAATACATTTCTAATAATAACAGGTTCCCATAACCCTTATTTCATTAAATATCAAAGACAACAAGGAATGTCACTGAAAATATGAGGCAGCCTGTTTTGATGACAACAGCCCAGTCTTATCAGTGATACTGATGTCCTTTGTGTTCCTGGATCATTGAAATTCAAGTTGGAAAAACAGCAGCCAACTGGCTGATGGCACTCTGATAACGGGCAGAGTGGCGGCTCTATGGCTAAGGATCTGCGCCCGTGGCTGGAAGGTTGCCGGTTCAAATCCTGTGGCCAGCAGAGGAATCCTACTCTGTTGGGCCCCTGAGCAAGGCCCTTAACCCCAGCTGCTCCAGGGGCGCTGTACAATGGCTGACCCTGTGCTCTGACCCCAAGCTCCTCTCCCTGTCTCCTCTCCCTGTCTGTGTGTCTTAGTGTCTCATGGAGAGCAAGCTGGGGTATGCGAAAGACAAATTCCTAATGCAAGAAATGGTATGTGGCTAATACAGTGATCCTATCCTATCCTATAATGACAACAGTAACAGCAACGTAATGAGCAACAAAAAAAAGTAAGAACTTTCTGCAAGGTACAGTATAGGACAACTATACCAGAAAGCCAAATATTATCAGTCAAAACACTGTTGCAGAAAAACATCCAAAAGGATAAAAGTTTCTGACTTTTTTTAAATGTGTATGACAAAGGTCTCAAATCCCAATACTGGGGAGCCCCAAATTCCGTTAGTTTTTATAAATCACCTGAAACAGCTATTTCTTATATTTTAAATAATTGTAAACTATTGATCAGTTGAGCAAGTGATTTTAACTCAGGGACCTCAGCCTTGAGACTGAATGGTCTACAGAATTTGGTCTGAAATTATCCATAAATAGCTAAAGTTAAAAAAAAAATCACCTTTTTAACCATCAAAAAGTAATCCTGTCCCAGGTCTTCAGAAATCAGTGGTTCAATGGCTAACCTACTACATAGCGGCTCTCTAGTAGAAGTGCAGGACACATTTATTAATTTCAAACTGAAAATAAATACATAAATAATAAATATTTCGACTCTGTTTAAATGTGAACACCCGAGGAGCCTGTGACAGAATAAAAAGTGAGACCTTGCAACAAAATGTTCAGCTTATCACTACTAACATTTCAGGTGGTTGTGTTCCCTTATATGCATTTATAATCTATGCACAATAGAAGGTACTAAATGTGAAAATTCAGCCTATAAAAAAAAAAGATGTGAATTAAGGCTCAGATGTTTACTATTTCTTTTCTAATTAGGAAAGCAAAGAGAGCCAGCAGAACATGTAGTGGATGCAATTACTATGTTGTAAAAAAGGGTTTAAATTAAATCTGGGCAGGAACTGATTCAATATTTATAAGAGTTTTTCAAGAATCTCAGAGCACTGTAAAAAGGCATTACAAATTTATATGGGTTATACGCATTACAAAAACAGGCAAACGGGCCCAGAAAAATCAAAGAATAAAACTAAAAAAAAGCATCAATAGCTACAAGTAAAAGAGGGGACTTGAGGGGAATGTGGATAGCCTTTAAATGGATCTGAGCAGAGTTCCACTGATCTTTTGCTACAAACCAGAAGGATTTATTACCTACTGTGTGGAGTCTGGGCTAAGATAAAGACTTCAATAATCAGATCTCAGATTAAGAGTTGGACTATACTGTTGCAACTTAAAATAGTCTGGGGCTAGGTCATTCCGTAGTTTATGCATGAGAAAGAGTACATTAAATATCACTCTAATTTTCACAGGTAGCCAGTGTAGTTTTATAAGAAGAGAGTTACTGTATGTGCTAAACAGTTTTGTTTAGAAATGTTCTGTGGCAGCTACATCTTAATAACAGATAGACACCTGTCAAGTGCAGAAGCCGATGTAGTGCCACTGCAATAAATACAATTGTAGAACAACATTTGCAAGAATATGACAAGCTTTGAGAACTGTACAACACAAAAAGACTCTAAAATCAAGCAGACACATTGTTGAACTAAACAAAAAAGTCCATTTGAAAGGTTAAAAGTGCTCCAATGCTTTTGCCAGGTATTGAGAAGAATTCAAATCTTTGGGAGAGAATAAGAATCATTACGCCTTTTTCTAACATCTTTCCCATTTGGCATGTAACAGCAAATTTGATCATGGATCTCATCCTGCCATTTCCTGGAGAATGCCAGAATATTGGCTTCAGCAACATGGCTACTGTAGTTTAGGTTGTTCCATATTCTCACTTTGGGTAAAGAAGTTCCTCCTGTTCTTGGTTTTAAATGCACTTCCATATCCCGATCAAAAACGTAAAACACTGAACAACTAGCCGCTGCATGGTGACCAAAGAAATAAGACCATGAATGGAAATTAAGTTCAGATGAATTTAGGGAAAAAAAACAAGACGGTGTTTTAGTGAAAATAGTATCTATTTATCTAGGGTCTCGTTGTGGGTTTTAAGTACACTACCTTAAATTCTGAACAGCGTTTTTTTGTGAAAGAATCAAATACGTTGCTTAACATGTTAGGCTAAACAAGGCCAATTTTATAAAGTTTCACACCATGATTTGTATATTTTCCAGTAATCAAAATACTCAATTGGATAACTGCTGATGAAACACATGATACCTATCATAACATGGGAAACTTCAGATACCGTATGACTGTTGGAACAGATTTTTAGTTGGAACTAATGGTCTATGAATAACATCTCTTGTGTCTTTAACAATTGGGATTAATGCCATGAGAGCATGGAGATTTGTCTGCTTAAAGTACTCCTTAACACACATGCCTCTTTTAGGCTAATATAATAAACACCTGTGTGAAATATTGGTTTAGAACGTCAGCAATTGCCTATTCATTGTCTAAATGTTTCCAATCATGACCTCATGTCTCTGTCTAATTGATTTATTAAACCATTTAACTGCTATCTAGCCTTTGATTTGCTGAGAGGAATCTGTCCTGTGCTTCAAGTAGAACATCTTTAAACTGAACATCCATTCTTTAAAGATTCCAAGTCTTTCTTAATCCTTTTTGATTCTCATTTCTGTATCGTATTCCTGAAATTGTAAACCCTTGGACTCTACCTGTAGAGTTTAAATATAGTTCAGGTGGGTAGCTGCGTCAGCATGCGTAGGCTGCAAAGGAACAAGTAAAGGTTTATTCCATGCTGAAAAGGGAAGAAAGAACACCTGAAGAAGGCACCACGTCCAACACGTTGTGTTTTCTTCTTTCTTCTCTTTTCAGCATGGAATAAACCTATTACTTGTTCCTTTGAAGTTTAAATATATAATTCAAAAGATATTATTATTTGTTGTGTAAAGGGTTCTCTCGCCTGTTTTCTTAATTTATATATACTGAAGAACTAACAAACTGTGTAAGAAAGCAGTCCTTAGTTACTGTACATCTACTATTTCAGTTTCAGATCCCGACATCCCTTATGAGTTTAATATTTATTCATTCTGTAAAAGGAACATCCAAATCTCCCCACTTCTTGTGTTATACAATCATCCCAGAATATACCCATTTTGTATGGCCAATACGTAAACATCTGATTGAGTCCTAAAGTTCAAGCAGCCTAACGATATGTAATAAAGGTTCATCATCAAACAGACGTCTCTGAGTATTACACCAGGTGAAAGGTGTTATAATGTAGTCCTTTCTACAATAAATGCAAACTCAAGCGCATGGCCAGGGGAGGGGGGTTCTAATATAGATCAGTAACAGAGCTTTAGCAACAACAGCTATAATAATGTGTATAAACACCCCTGTCTTTTCTGGACAGGTTTAAAATATCCAGAAAATTGTTAGTTGTGTGTTATAAACATTAGGACAATTATTGCCAATTCTCTTGTCTCTCTCTGTGAAACTACTACATTTTCCCAACCAAGGTTGGCTTTTCGTAAGGTTGCTACACAGCACAATACAGAAAATGGACCTGACACGAAAAAAAAAAAGAAAAAAACCATTAATGATCACATGTACTGTACAGTACAGTATATTGTATATTGAATGGTTTACTGTAGGAATGTCTCCCTTTACACGCCCTTCCTCCTGTAATTAAGGCAGAGATAAGTTACAGCTTTAAGTTATCTTTGGGTCCAAACAACACTCTCCTTCAGACACGTGTGTGTGTGTCATACAGTGGTTAGGCGGATGCGGTGTTCTTTCAGTGAGAACATACCGTAAACACGGGGTTATATCTGTTATAATTGGACAATACATTTTTAGGACAGCAAGTGTCGTTTCGCCACAGAGCGTCACCGTATGTCCTTACCCGGCAGTTCTGCAAAAGGGCATGAACATCAGTACCATTCAAAACAGATAACAGAACTGAATCAAAACCTTGTGACAGACACTTCCCCTCATGTACAGTACACGGCTGGTTAATGCCTATAAAGAGGGCGCGGAAACTGAAGCACAGGGGGACTTAAGTTCACCGTGTCATTGCCTGTATATATTTTTTAAAACACATAAACACGGTTCTACCGGTTTAACGTCTTTCGGCTCCGTTTTCTCACAACTGAAGCAGCATCACCTGGAGCACTGGGCTAGCCGACTGTTTTTCTGACTGATGCTACTACATTCACACTTCCTGTCAGTTTTCGTGGCTACACCTCGCACATGGCTGTGGTCGCACGCAATGCTGCAGTCAAGCCCCAACGTCGTGACAATGCAGATACCTCCCGAAATAATTTGTGTGCGGCTCTTACCTTAACTTCTGAACCATCTTCCCGGTCAATGCCTTCTGTCCACTGTGCTTACAGCATATTCCGGTTAACCCCTGCTTAACCCCGGTTGCTGCAGAACACAACTCTTCGCCCCCACCCTCCAAGGAAGCAGCTCTTGTTCAGCAGTGAAGCCAGGCTCTGTCAAAGATCTGCAGCAGACGCTGAGGTATGGGTTGAAGAGATCTCCGACCTAACATTCACCCTCTTCCAGCCTCCATCTGCGACTTCTCTTCATGCTTCACACGAAGCCAGATTCTTCCACCTTCCCTGCACCAGCATAGAGCACCCGCAGCGGCAGGACAAGGCAGCGTCATTCGGGATATGTCGTCACGGAGGGGCGGGAGAAGGCCATCTGGTAGGTCAGAAAGCCGGGCTGTTCTCTGCATTACAGACTGGAGTGAAAGAGCGTTTTCTTGATCAAAGGTGCCTTGAAAATGTGTTGTTACATAACATTCCTTCTAATATAGATGTGGATTAAAAAAGTTTTTTTTAATTACAATAATATACCGTATTTTACAGAATTCTGAATGATCTGTAGTTTTTGGTACAGTTCTGGTACAGTATCTGAAGTACAGTACAACATATTTAAAGTAGAATTAATAAATAATCCTATCAAATATATAAACCCGAAATAACAATTTGCTTGTGATATTATTAGATAATAACATAGATAATTATGTTTATTCTCTCTAATTAAAAACAGCAATCCTAGCAAAAGTATGAAATTTACTTTTCATTATTATTTTCAACATTCTTGACCTTCTCAAGTTGCAATTTTTAGAAGTAAAAAAAAAATACAGAATTTTCCTACTATTGTACAGACCTGGCGTTTTGACACAACGCCTTAGAGGTTTAAAGCACATACTTTTATTTATAATTTGTAAAATGTTTTCTAAGACTGTTCTGAAAATGTAAGAAAAATGTATTAAGAAAAAGTAGGTATCACAGAATAAAAGAACATTTTCTTTTCTTTTCAATACTGGATAAACCTTTACTTATTCCTTTGCAGCCTATGCATGCTGATGCAGCTACCTACAGTACTTGAATTTATTACCCATGCATTATTTCAGTCTTCATTAATTGTGAATAAAAGGAGACAACACAAAAAATGTTTAAGGTATTTTAAAGGACTGGTATTTTAAAGGAAGAAAAAATGCTTGGGATAATGAGACTTTGGGTCTAGAGACATTGTCATGTTTAAGATCTGTGTAAGACAACACATGGGCTGCTCCTTTGAGGCAATAAAGGTCCTGTCTCTAGTAGTTGGAATTTGGCATCTGCTCCTACCAGAAGTCCCATTGCATCAACCCCAGGATGCTCTAAAAATAAGGGGTGACCCTGCGGAGGCAGGTTGTTAGAGGAGGGGTTTTGACAAGGTGCCTTGTTACATCATGTAGCAGACTCAGTGCCACGGTGTCCCTCGTACAAACTAAATTAATGCAAACACATTTTCAGTCCTGTTACAATCACATGTCTGTTAGCATTCAATTGTTCTTAAATTCCAAACTGTGAAAACAAACAGTTTTTGTGATTAAACATCTTTAAACAAGCTGGTTGATTTCAATAGAAATAAACACCCACACACATGTATGTACATATGCACACACATCTTGGTCAGTGTTACTAATGCAGTGAGCTCTCAAAGGAATTGCTGTTAGGATACCTGGCTGTAGTCCCACATATTGCATAGTATTTTGGCAGTTTAGATTTCATTACATGAGAACTGGCAACTGCAGTATGAGAAGGCACAAAAAAGTATTCATTTTTTAGGAGGAGGGATTTGATAAACTTCCAATTATGGATTAAGTGCTTCATAAGAATTTCTTAATATTCCTTATAGAAAATGGGTTCATACCAGAGAGCCTACATGAAATAAACATAACAAATAAATCCTCAGCTACCAAGAATACAGATTGTGATCAATTAAGTGGGTTTTCAATTAAAATAAGGAACTTAACATAATTAAGAATAAAATGTTAAAGAATAATTAGAGACTAGCCCTTAAGGACAAGAGATTCTTGCCTAAAACTGAACTTCATTGCCTCTGTGTGAGTGAGTGACATTTTGCAACTGCAGTGCCACAATAATGTAGTAATTGGAGTAATGCTTAATTTATGTTATTATGATTTTGGAAGATTTTGGTTTTGAAGTGGAAGGAACTGTTATTCAACAAGTCACAGATTACAGTATGTCTCAGGCATTTAGAGAACCTTAAAATCACTGTAGGCAGTGCCAGTTCATAAGCCACTATTTTAATTCAGATATTGGGACCTCATTCATACATATACTGTATGTGGGCTGCACAAAATGACAAGGCAGTGATATTCTTTTACATTTCCACTCAGGTTGTTAATCACTGGTTTGTGCATTGAATATTGATTAAATGGATTTTTTTCAGTTTTTAAATAATGACTTCAGTAGTTAAGTGTAGCTAACAGTCTCCCAAAAGGCTCCAGAAACAATTCATGTTTGCAGTCTGTAGCCTGGCTACCAGCAGTATACTGTATGACTGCTACATGGTATGTGGGAGTAATCACAGAATGGTCTGATACACACAGTGCTGTACTGCTAAAGTTCTTGTGCCAGCACAAACCCACAAGATAGTTGTCATGGCCAGCTAAGCTGCACGAAAGCCTCGTGCCTGTTGATGGCATCCAGTGTTGTTTTCCTGTTCCTTCTTAGACTGACAACGGTGAGAGGCAGTACAAACTAGAAAAAGCTGAAATAGAAAAGTCTGAAAGTGTGTAGATTTATTCTTTGCAAACTGTTTTTCATCTCCACTGCCTTTGAAAAAGCTCAGTTTGGCTACTTCTGTCACCATCAGTGTTATGAACCTTGGTGTGTGTTTTGTCTTGAAGTATTTAGCATATATTTTAGTATATTAACCTTAAACTGTGCAACAATTGATGCAAAGTAAAACTGACAGTTAAATTAAAAAAGTTCATTTCTTTGTTCATGGTCTTAAAATAAATCCAGGAACAAGTCTATTCCTCTGAGTCAGCTCATTAGTAACACCCCTGACACATTGTGAGTAATATAATGCTCAAATCAATGCTTCCATATCTGTATTTCTAACAGTGATGCACACCTGGATTCATGCCCCAGCAGGACTACACCCATTATAAATCCTCTGACAGGGCTGGAATGACTGATGTGGAGCTGCCGTGTGGGTTTGCCACTAAATCAGACAACTCCACAATCCTTAACCAACTGTGATGGTGTGACTTCAAATTTGTTGCACATTATTTTGAGCTGCTCAGAAGTCCTGACCAATTTGACATTTTGTGACTGTAGCAAAAATACTTTAGGCACAAGAGGCTGGCAGACTGATTTAGAGATCTATGTAAAACAGAATTGTACCCACAACGTTCTCAGCTTCAAGAGAAGTGTTTTGATAAACTCTCAACAGTGAGTTCACCTAATATAATTTGGAATTACCAAAATTACACAGTGGGCCATTTATCTATGAAACTGAATTATCAAGTCACATTTAGTATAACAACTACAAAGTACAAGTGATCAGCCATTCCAAGTTAATCCAGGTGAAATTCAACTTGCACCTTTTGTCCAAAGGTTTTTCATCCTTTGGAAGAAAACAACTGCCATATTCCAAAGAGTTCTTCCCCTTCCTTCACCAAAAGGCACAACACTTTTCCTTGGCACAGCACCAAGAAAGAACAGGAAGCTTCTACACTGGTCCAGCTGTTCCTCCTCCTGCAAGACTTTCTGATCTCCTCAGAACATCTTAATAATAACAACAACAACAACAACAACAACAACAACAACAACAACAACAACAACAACAACAATAATAATAATAATAATAATAATAATACCTTACATTTTCTGGACACTCCACTCAAAGCACTTAACAGGTAAGGGGGATTCCCCTCCACTACCAATGTCCTGCAGCCATAGTGTGCCAGTTTGCTCACCACACACCAGGGGAGGAAAACAGAGTGATGAAGCCAATTCATAGTTCTGGATTCTTAGGATCTGATTGTTAAAGGCCAATGGGAAATTTGGCCTGGACACCAGGGTAACACTCTTAGTCTTTTCAAGAAATGCCCTGGGATTTTTAATGACCAGAGAGTCAGGACCTTGGTTTTACATCTCATCCGAAGGACGGCGCCTTTTTGTAGTATAGTGTCCCCGTCAGTATACTGGGGCATTAGGACCCCCTACTGGCCCCTCTAACACATCTTCCAGCAGCACCTTAGTTTTTCCCAGGAGGTCTCCTATCCAGGTATTGACCAGGCTCAATTCTGAAGAGTATTTCCATTCAATTTAACACTTAAAAACTAGCTACTATTCTAAAAGAGTATATACATTGGAGAATCTGTAAATTAATTACAGTAATTTAATATTTATAATGTAATAACATTATGCTGGACACTAAATAGCTTAAACCTGCATTTGAGTTCAGCAGTCCATTTAGTCTTAGCCCTCTGTATAAATACTTAAGGGTATTAAATTGTGTTCTCTGCACTCCAGTGAGTTTGAGGTCTCAATAACCACATGTTACAATGGTATCCGAAGCAGGATACATCACTGGTGAACAGAGATGACAGAGCAGAAGGAAGCAAAGTCTGCCCAGTGAGCAGTGGTTCTGGCAGATAGAGGAGAGCAGCTTTTTGAGCATTGGAGACTGGGATATGCCAGGATAGTGGCAAGGTCTTCATTGATTTAGAAATGAGGGCACGGCAGGGTGCCCAATCAGAACAAGAAAAGGAGCTGCAACTAGGGCAATTGCTTAAGAATGCTGCAGCTCAGGACAGGGAGTGGAGAGGTCTGCTATTACAAGCTGCTGCACCTGGCTCTAATGCTACAGCCTCCCCTGAGAAGCTTTCCTTGTAGAGAGTAGGCTATTTCACTGTGGACGTTCACTTCCTCGCAGCCTGGAGCCATCCCTCCCTGCCAGGAATGGCCAAAGAGGACCTTGCACTGACAGCTTTCATGAATTTAGTGACACCAATAGCCCTGTGCAACCAAGTAATTCTTTCGGGTCTGTCTAACTTATAGTCAGCTGTTGAACGAGTGGAGAGAAAAGAGGAAAACTGCAGATTTACAGCAGGGAGAAGGTAAGAAAGAAGAGGAGGAAGTTTTCTGCTGGGTGGAGGCTGATGGACTGAGAGGCCTGTGCTGCTGGGATTGCGGAAAACAAGGGCATCTACAGTAGTCAAGAAACAACTGCTACTGTAAAGGGAGGGGGTCTAGAATATATATTACAGTATATTTAATTGTGTTTTTAATTCCAAAATACTTAAAAAAAAAATTCTGAACTGATTAATGCAAAA